AGGTGCATGACTTTGAAATAAATTTTCGGCCACTCGATATGACGTCCCTCTTAAATCTTGTCTCTCAACCTCGAGCTTGGCCAGCCGCCGGGATAGTTTTGCGACGAGCAAATGGCATGACTCCACGGGCAGTACGTCCATAACCTCTTTAAGTAATTGAGCATGGATAGCACAAATAAGAAACTTGTAATACACACGTCCAATCCCAGGACCATGCAGGGAGTAGAGAAATCTCTGTGTACAGACCCGAATAACCAAATACAGCGGGTTCCTACGCCAGGGAATATAAGCGTTCGTCCAGCAGACATCATCCCTTAGCCTTTTGCGAAGCTTTGGGGTCGATATCTGGGAACCTTGTGCCTCTAGGAGTGTCATGAGCATCTGTGTTATCAAATGCGGTTTTGGGGTGTCGCGGGCTTCTATCAGGGATGTTCCCGCTTTTCGCGCTCTGGCTGCGAATCGCTCAATCCGTTCCTCACTTGCCTGGTCCAGAAACATTGTTAGACGTTCCTGGAAAGATTGCTCTTTGAACCTAGCCATTGGAATCGAAACTGCGCTCCCAGGAAAGTCGCATTGGAGGGCATCTTGGCACTGGAGGACACTCTCCGCAGCAGGAGAGGCTTCGAAGGCTTCGAAAACGACTTGTTCAACACCGTCATTCCTATTTACCACAGTTAAAGAAGGCATTGTTATCTCGAATCAAGATGCATACTGACCCTTCCACCTGCTGGACATAGAGTCCGGAATTCTGGTTTTTTATGTAAAGGATGATCCCCACGTCTTGCTCCATCTTAGAAAACGCCTCCATGAGAGCGAAACGGTCAACATGACTATTGGTGTGGATTGCATGGCAAAGGTCTAGCGATATTTTCACTCTATCCCATACATCTCTGTGGTCACTTTCGGACGCTCCCAGGAGTGTATTTGCTGCGTTTAAGGCATGCTGTGCAATGTGCTTATCAATATTATGCACAGAACTGTCGTGTTCACTGGGCAGTCGGGGCGGCAACACAATGTGATTGAATATCAATTCTAAACACTTTCTGGGAATTGTCATTTTGACCGGGGAGAATCAGAAAGCGATAGTGTAACGTCAGTGGATGTTGGGGTTCGAATATGACGATTATGAGCAAGCGATAATATAAAGGAAAAATGAGAGGGAACGAGCAAAACGCGGTTGTATCATGGACACCCCAGCATTCACTTGTTTTTAGGCATCTCCAGGCAACCTAGTGCTCTGTGTAATTATCTCATCCTTTGGCTTAGAGAGTAGCTTAGTCACTGCGACATGACTCGACAACCACATTTTTAGTGGTTGTGTACTAAGTCCTGGATATATTAAGACCTAACCTGAATCCTGGGGCGATCATGTCGTGATTTCGTGGATCCAGTAGACGACCAGTATAGCATAGCCTTGCAGACGCGACTCGCAAAACATGTTCAATTTCAGGAAGGCTGCATTATCTTGTCTCAAATTACGCGCCGGCAGGGAACCTGCCCCACCAAGTCAATTGTATGCAGTAACGTGGCTTCCATCTTTTTTGGTGTAAGTCCAATGTGGACACATATGGCACAATCCATAGGATAATAACCATCATCTGTGGACCACGGAGGACTTTTTCCATCCGGTAGGTAGGGAAGCAATTCGCGTTCATACCGAAGGCTCCCGCGTATCCCGGTTCAGTTCAACGTGTTGCAACTCATTAGGCACCGGGTGTAATGACCTATTGGTGGAGAGCCTGATTTCACATGAACCTTCCCTTAACCCCTGTAGTGCGTCTGATATGACTGAGGCTGTGAAATTGGAGTTACGGGAAGTTCTACTCCGCCTGTCACGTTCGTCCAGACCGTGCCCAGGCGGCATTCCTATTCCTACTAGTGGGTTTTATACTCGCTGCACAACATATCGCCAATCTTCCTTACTGACTAGTACCCTTCCTAATGTCAATTCCGGACATATATTGCATTAGAAATGATTAAATCAATTTCCTGCCGTACGGGAGTGGGCCGTTGCCTCCCCTGTCACTGTAGAACAGTGAACTTTGTGCAACTGGGAAGAGACTTCCAGAACACTATAGAGCTTAGTACACTGTTTTAACCTCAGCTAGAGGGAAGTCGCGCTTTTCCATTTAAACGTCAACACCCATCTATTTCAAATATTCATTCGTCTTACCGAGAGTAAATTGGCTCTTCAACATTTAACAGATACTTGTCAGGAGGCCGAACAGCACGGGACGAATTACATCCCAGATACCCTGTCCAATCCATTTAAGTTGTTGAATATCCAATTCATCATTGGGATATAAACTGCCAGGGAAATATAGTACCTTCTAGACCTCGGAAAATCCAAGCGGTAGGTTGGTCGGAACTCGAATTTGACAAGCTCTCAAACGTAAAGGAACCCAAGTATAAATAGAAAGAATGAGAGTAATGCTATGAGAAGATAACAAGTAGAATTCAGTGAGACTGTCGATTACGTTGTTTAACAGCGTGTCAGTTATTCTCCGCAATTTATGATTGTGTCGGGCATGTTATTCAAACATACGAAATATAGATTAAGTGATCGATTGTTTGGAGTATGTGGATAATGAAGTGGCTGGGTTTCGTGGTTGAGTGTTGCTGCGCGATGGGAATGCTAGATTGTCTGTCTTCGTTTCGTGACTCTATATTCTATCTCAAGTTTATATTACTAAACGGCCCTTTCTATCACAATGAAGTCTCATAGGACCACTCGAGAAACAGCAGCATATGCCTTAGACCTAGCCCAACTTTTCTAGATAAGTGTGAACCGCATCAACAACCCCCTTCACATCCTCAAACAGATGCCAATGTCCCACGCCCTCCAGCACCCCGACTTTAGAGTTTTTAATACTCTTCCCGTAAGAAAAGCACAGGTCCGGTGGACTGATAGCATCATGATCACCTGTAAGGATTAGTGTTGGACAAGTCAAGCTTGTTGTATCTAGCGTCTCATTTGCAGACTTCGCAAGAGCTGTGCATGCTTTGGCATATCCCTCCGGATCTTGCCCAAGCAATGACATGCGTGTAGCTGCAACTGCTAGAAGGTTACTCTCCTTTGTTTGGGATGATAGTCCCGCATTAACAACTGCGTCGGCAACCGCCACCAGACCCTTACTGCGAACCAACTCGGCGCGCGCAAAGATTCCAGCACTACCGGCTTCGGGTAAGGGCGAGGGGGGCGGGCCCATCAATATTAGAGAGGAGACTAATTCTGGGCTTTCGAGTGCAAGTTTCATGGCAACCAGGCAGCCCATGGAGTGAGCGATGACAGTTGCCGGTTTGCGATCGGGACGAGCGTTGTGGTATATGTCCCGGATATCGGAGGCGAGTGATGCGATGGTGATTTCGCTGAGCGCGTTAGTTGGGGAAAGGCCGTGGCCTTCGAAGTCGCTTAGGTAAAGAGCATGTGTGGACGATAATTTCGCGACAAGTGGGCTAAAATAGGATGATGAGCCGCCGAGGCCGTGTATGAAGATGATCGGTGGTCCTTCGATTTGTCCTTGTATTTGAGAGAAGAGCTCCTTGGTGCCGATTTTCACGAGTCCTTCATGGCCTCGAGCTTTTTGGTTAGCAACTGGGATTGCGGATTGGGATTTCACGCGCTCAACGGTTGGGTTGACGGCATCGGTGGCGGCGATGTAGTTAGTGAGAGTTCCTAGTCCGGTCACGGAGACCTTGACTTCGTCTCCAGCTTGGAGAAATTTCATGGGTCGGAAACCGAATCCAACGCCGTATGGTGTCCCGGTTGCAAGCGTATCCCCGGGTTGTAGTGTTTGGCCCTGGGATAAGCAGGATACGAGTGTTGGGATACTGAAGATTAACTGGTCGAGTGTGGCATCCTGCCTCCTCTCTCCGTTGACGAACGTTTGCAGTTGGAGATTGGTGGGAAGACGCTCCTTTGGAACCGCAACGGGCCCAATAGGACAGAATGTGTCCGGGGATTTGCCAATGTAAAATTGTTTATGGTCCCGCTGCCTTTCCCGGGCAGTGAAATCGTTTATGATCGTGTACCCCCAGACATAATCCATTGCTTCGGACTCGGGGATCTTGTGTCCGGCTTTGCCGATGATCACTCCGATCTCGCCTTCATAGTCTGGTGTTTCTGTGAAACCAGGATGAAGGAGGACCTGCTCTCCATGTGCGATGATAGATGTTGCGCGCTTGGTGAAGATCACCGGGAAAGTTGGTTGATCGTTTTTATCTGACGAATCAAAGCCTGAGGAATTGAACTCTTTCGCATGTTCAACATAGTTCTTCCCGACTGCTAGGATATCCCGGCCAGATATCGGCGGGAGGAGCTGAACCTGGGATAAGGGAATGGGGTCTCCCCTTCCAAGCTGGATATTCCCCTCTCCCGCTTCGATAACCTGGTACAAATCGGAAATCTGAGTACCGGAGATGAAAACAAGACGATGAATCTGCTCTGTCGTCAGGTCAAGATGGCCAATTCGATGCTCCCCGGAGTTGGGGTCGACATAAGCACAGTAGTTGATAGAGGGGGGCGTGGACATGGTGGTTATCTAAACTATTGACACAGGATTGTAGTTGTTTCTCAAGACCACAGGGGACTATCGGCTCTACTCCTAGTATTTATTTGATGGGATGCATGACGGTGAAAGACGGAGATCCGCTTTTCCCCGCCGTCACGCCAGATCCCACCAATTACCGCGGGCATATGGCATCTCCACATATCACCGTGGGGGGTTGACAGATGGCCATTTGAATATAGTTACCTATGGTCTACGTGGACGGGATTCGCGCACCCGGAGGAGCCAGAATCCAAGCCATCCTAATGAGGTGTGAATCGCGATCCGCAAAGGTTTACCTTACCTCGTTAGACCTGTTGTTAGGATGATTCTATTGCGTGGAATAACCGACTCAACTTGTAATTAGGGTATTATATAATTTGACAGTAGATGATGTCTCCTACTTGCAGGAAGAGAACGTATAAGTGCCGACAAGGCTAGTTTTCTCATTAACTCTAACCTCATAAGATATCGCCCAGTAAAATTGTCCTCTATTGACTGAGTGTACAAAACCTTAGTAGTAGCAGTAGTAGTAGTAGTAGCAGTATATGCGTATATCCATGAATCATGTGTGATTGCAAGTATGTGAACGTGTGATAGCTTCTGAGAGATAGGAAAGAGCGCAGAAGAGGATAATAAAGAGCGGTATTTACTACCAATCCTCTCCTAGAGTACTCAATCCTACATATCGTGGGCGTTCTTGGAAGCGATTCTGAATCCCACTCGTGCGTCCAATCCGGAGAGGTCTTCCATAATCTCGCATATGCTCTTGACCATGGAATCGCCAAAATTGCCAGGAACAGTCTTGGCCGACGAAGCTTTGAATGACATCGATACCACCCGGATGTTCTCGCTGGAACTGGGTGCAATCATACACCACATTATCAATAACAATCCAGACTTGGAGATGTTTTCCGGTAGCGTCCGAGCTTGAGCGCCACTGCTGGTACACAAGGGACACTATGCTCGGGTCGATATAGGGCAAGTCAGAGTCGGACAGTGACGGTTCTTGGAATGAAAAGTCTTCTTGTTGGAGCAATTGGGGTAAGCATGTGGTTGCGGTGGCTGTGTTTTCTGCGTGTTCGCTATACATGCTGATCATATTAGAGAGTGGAGTTGTATGGGTTGATTCTCCTTCAACAGCCGCTGCTGCATCGGTGCTCCGGAGACTAAGCCACCCCATGATAACGACGCCAGAATTAGAAAGCCTAAACTTGCTTTGAATGATAATATCCGTAGCAGCGCATTTCTCAGGAATCCGACTACTAACGACTCCGAGAATATTGTAGATTACTGAAAAGTGACATCTCTGATCGGCGTTTTAGTAGATATGACAGAGCGGAGAAGCGCGGCCTTCGGCGGAGTGTGGACATAAATCAGGAGACCACTATTGGTGCCCGCAGAGATCCACGCTGAACAACAGCTAATAATATTGCGAGGTTAGGAAGGCTTACAACGCACCTCTACGGAGAAGGAATGAGGAGGGGGTGTTTCTCACAACTGTGAGTTAGAGACCCTTCATGGCCCTGTTCGGGGTATGACAGCTGTTATATATCTTCTCCATGACAGTCTTAGTTACTGCCCAGACATCACGCTAAAGCAGAAGATAGTATGCCTGCAACACAAGTACCGTGGACATCACCAGAGCATGTATCAGAGGTTTACGATGGACCTCCGAGGAACATCGAATCCCTGAACAATCTAAAATTTGATGAGAGGCTTCAACCCAAGCAATACTCAATTGCGGGGACACATCCCGCATCGAAAATCCTTATCACCGACGTTCAAATTATAGAGGCAACTGGAAAGAATCCGTATCATGGGGATGTTCTCATCGTCGGTAGGCATATTCTGAAGATTTATGGAGGATAGGTTCTGACTGGGTACCAGGTCCACGATTTGCACATGTGGGCGAAGTACCGGGAAAGGCGGACTTGCTCAGGAACCCAAGGGTACGAGTGTTCTATGGGCATGGGCGGACTTTGATACCCGGTCTCGGAGATGCCCACACACATCTTAGCTGGAATGGCGGTGACCTTGGCCGGTTGGGCGAGCTGGGAGTCGAGGAGCACACTCTTTTGACCGCCAGGAGCGCACGTTGCTATCTTGATTCTGGTTACACTATGTACTCTATTCCACCCATAGATGATTTTCCACGGCCATGGATAGCTAACTATCGATGTAGGTGCTTCGGGGCAGCGTCCGCCAAGAAACGTCTCGATGTTGTTGTCCGCGATGCAATCAATATGGGTGATATTCCAGGACCTCGGTACCTCGCGAACAGTCAAGAAATAGCTCGTCGAGATGGAGACCTTGTACCGGGTATCACGGCATATGCCGATGGGCCTGAAGAGATGCGATCAGTGTATGTCCACTAGCCTTGTTTAAAGAGGGGCGATTGAATTCCTAATAGATTATTTCCAGAGTACGTGAACATGCTGAATTGGGAGTGGATCAGGTGAAACTGTCCATGTCAGGAGAATCGGTATAGTCTATTTAGCTCTATTACCTACCGTGATGCTCATAGCTGTCTAGATTACCGAAATTAGAGACGCAGAGGACTGCTACTTCTCGAATGAGGAAACCAAGGCTTGCGTGGATGAGGCCCACAAGCAAGGCATTCGATTATGCGCCCATGCTCGGGCACGCGACTCTGTCCGACAATGCATTGATCATGGAGTGGAGGTTATCTACCATGCCTCATATATCGACGAGGAATGTAAGTCGCGCACGAGGAAAGAACTGTGCACAGGATTTAATACTGATTACCATCTACAGCTATGGATCTGCTGGAGGAAAAGAAATCGCAACATGTGGTAGCCCCCGCTTTGAACTGGCTGGTGGCAACTCTCTACGAAGCGAGCGCGTTTGGATATGCTACGGCAACAGCTGAAAAGGCAGGATACAAGAAGGAACTCGAGGCTGCTATTCGGGGACTCCGTGAGATGCACAGACGAGGAATTGTAGTCCTACCGGGCGGGTAAGTCCTGAGCCTAGGGGCGTTGTTTGACGTTGTCAGCTAACAGCCGAACCATGTAGCGACTACGGCTTTGCCTGGACCCCACATGGCACATACGCTCGAGAACTTGAGCACTTTACGAAACTTCTTGGGTTTACGGCCCATGAAGCCATTATTGCCGCAACCTATGGCGTTGCAAAATTGTTCATGAGGTCGCATGAGATGGGCCAGATCAAGCCAGGTAACTATGCCGATTGTGTTATCGTCGATGGGGACCCGTTGAAGGATATCACTATACTACAAAATCACGGTAAACTGGACATTATCATAATGAATGGCCGCGTGCATAAGGCGGGTCGGAAGGAACTTTTCGTCCCAAGTACTTCTGACGTTTATGACATCCAGCAGATCCGCCGGGAGATCGAAGAGGTTGAGATTAAAGCCCCAATGCAGAAAGCTTATTGATGCCATGTGTTTGATTGGGATGATATTTCGGCGACATTGTATCTAACAATTGTCTAAACTTATATGATAATATCCGTTGTACTTCTTCCACCGTGGATATATTGGGGGCATGTAAACCTCTGAGTCTGTGTATTCGGGTCAGAGCTCATCTTAAGAAGTCGTTTTCTCCAAACTGAGGGCCCATACGATATGAATAAACATGAGACTCTGGCTACTCTCTACGCACAACGCCGAACAAGAAATTTTGAAGGTCAATAATTATTACTGAAAATATGGTTAAGACTTCATGCTACCCCGCACGCTACAGCAGCTTGTAGTAGGTCAGAATCCTGAAAGCCTTGAAATTAGTACTCCTTGAAACTACTTAGTGGGTCATCTCATGGTCGCCACTCTTATAGAGTTCAGGTATCCTTCCATGCAGCCAAAATCCCTCCCCCCGTGCCCTTCTTTCCTCCTTCACTTTCCCCCAACAGATGCACGCACGGGTCTCGACAACACAATTTTCTTCAGCTATCTATTAGTCCAAGCTGGTCTCGTTTCATATATCCCGACCTAACCATCCGTTGAATGACGAAAAGAGCTAGTCCTGTCGAGTTCTAGCATACGGTCGCTGCAATGACGTCCAAGCGATTGCCCTTCAGCTGTGAGAATTGTCGGCAGCGCAAAATTCGTTGTATCGGCTCTGGCCACTCACCTTGTCAGACATGTTCACGGCGTGGTTATGCATCAAGTTGTCGGTTTAAGCGTCAGACACCCCTAATTGGTGTGAATACACAACTTGTAGAGCCTCAACAAACATCAGACCCATCTCTCGGGCTTATGGGAAATGCTGCCAGTTTGGAAGACTTGTTGAAGCAAAATATTGCACTGACCACCGCATTATTGAGCCAGAAAGGCCAAAGTCGGCTCCCTTCGCCAGCCTCCAGTCCGGAGGTCCCTTCATCCCTACAGCCATCACTTGAAGAAAAGCCACTGCATGGTCCAGTACCAAGTCGGACAGGTCGTTTGGTCGTGTCTACTTCGAACCATGTGCGGTTGGTCCCCTCGCATGATATAGGGGACTCCGATCTCCTCGAGGCTATGCAAGAGCCTGCTTCTAGCTTCCCCGTGGGATTCCCATTTTTCTCCGAACAATCGGGCTCTGTCTCCGATGAGCTTCTGGGCCTGCTCCCACCACTTTTGCACCTCGAAGAGTTGAAATCAACTTATTTTCGAGTATTCTCACCTCTCTTTCATGTTCTCCATGATCCGACATTCCACGCCAAATACCAAGCGTTCAAGAGGAATCCCAGGTCCACCCCATTGGCATTTTTAGGATTATTGTTCGTGACTCTAAGTCTAGCGGTCACCGCACTGGACGATAACCATCCCCTCCTGACAGATTTGGGTCATGACGTGAGTCCCCATGCGAATGTGCGCAGTCTTTCGGCAAAATATCGCTCGGCAGCCATGCGGTGTCTTGCTGCCGATAATTTCATGTTCTGCCATAATCTCTGCACATTGCAGTGCCTGGTGCTCTTGATCTACGCCATGAACCACGCCCAGGAACCGGCGTGGTCATTGCTTGGCACAACCCTGCATATTGCAGTTGCTATCGGGTGTGCCGTTGATCCAGATCATTTGAATGTAGACCGCATCGAGGCAGAAGAGCGTCGCAGATGCTGGGCTGCACTCCGGATGTTGTATACTATTCAGAACACATGCCTCGGGAACCTCATGCCATTCCGCGTGGAGGCAAATGTGGCTCTTCCAGCTGATATTGAAGATGACGAGTTGGTGACAGGTAACCTGGGTTCCAGGAACGATTCAGTAGAGACGCCCCCGACACAAATGACTTACCTTTTATACAAGTTTCGTCTGTATGACTTGGCAGTCGACATCTGTCAGCTTCCTGAGTCAATCCAAGCACACGACCGCGCAAGGATAGAGACTGTAGATGTAAAACTCATGCAAGAACAGGAATGTCACCTGGCTCGCTTTACTCCTCGACTGATGCTGAAACCGTACGACCAAGCCCACTTCTATATTCTGACCATCTATATAAATCACCTAATCCTCCTGCTCCACCGGTCGCAGCTGAACACAGTCGACTGCAAGAGCCACGAAAGATGCTTAGAGGCGGCCACAGGAACCTTGTCTAATTTCGAGGCACTGTGTTCCACCCCGGCACTCGGGTCATATCGATGGTACACGGATGGTCTTGGGTCATTCTACGCCTTTTTTGCTGCAACTACCCTCCTTGTGCTGTTGGGAAGTCCGCAACGCGAGACGGAGTGCAATCCAGAAGCCGTCGTTCTTCTTGTTCGGTGCGTAGAGAGAATGAAAGAAAGGGCATCTCGAAGTTCTGTTTGTCAAAAAGCAGCCGATATTCTTGACCCTATAGTCCAATGTTTTGCCCCTGGACGCGTCACAGACAGCAATGGAGACACAGAGCCGACATTGCTTGGTGAAATCGCAAATGAAGGTTTATGGCCCACATACCCAGGGCTGGAGAGTATGTTTTATGATGTTCCGTGCGAGCAGTGGTTGACTCCGTCGGAATCTGTCTGGAACGCCGCACAGAACCTCTGGGGTCCATCATCCGCGAGTGTATCGACACTATGATTTTCAGCCTTTGCAGCACTACCGGGAATTACACTGGGCTTGCTTTCAATTCAGAAATTCAGGAAGTTTGCGGGACGGAATGACCAAGGAATAACGGGGCAAGGCAGCGGCCCGTTAAACATGAGCAGAGAATATACTCAATGACGGGGCTGATTGGATTTCCTTATTTTATCTTACAGGGAATCTGTTGAATAATATTACCAGTATGTTTAAATAAAAAGTGGCTCTATGCATAAAACATCTAAATGAGTTCATGATTGTCAATGGATCATCCGCAAACCATAGTACCACCCCGCGTACTCAACACCCCCGTATACAGACTAAAGCTCTCTAGAGAAGGCAATTAAGATGACAAGCAGAAACAGCTTTGGTTTGACGGAAAGGCACATTCTCTACAGCCGACTACATGGAAGCAGCAATCAACAAACATGTTCCGTTGAAACAACACACATGTTGAATAAACACTTTGCGGGGATTTTTTTTGGATATCGTCCAATTTGGACCTACAGTGGGTGCTTTTTAATCCTTGTTCACACCCAATATCTCACCGCTTCTGCTACTGGTTACCGAACTTTCCGATAACCTGCCGCATCCTATCGATTGATCTATCCATATGGATTAAGTTCAGAAGAACGAAGCCCACACCCATTGGGCAGTTAGGATCTCTTGGCTTAAGAGAAAGTAGTAAAGGTATTTTTCCACTGGGGCTATGGAAATCTTTCCCGCCCCAAGTCCGAGGAATGAGTGGCACAGAAAGCTGGGACCAGCTGCCCGGCTCCACCTTCATGCATCAACACCGCTCATTTGAAAGAAAATGCATGTCCCAACCGAAGCTAAGTAATTTCCAAGGGTATGTGGTAGTGACTATGCATACCATGAAATGGAATCAAATGAGTTAATGTAAATACTAGACGATTCTTTGTTTGCTTGGGAATGGATGTGTGGACATAGAAAACCGACTATAAATACCGCAATCGTAACTCTTCAGAACACTCAAAGGAAATAAATTAAATGAGGTGAAAAAGAAATTTGAGTTTTTTGGTGCCTGAAGCCTGCATAATTAGACTTCTGGGCAACGCAGAACGATAGGCCAGGGGACTTTTGGTCGATCTTAGTCCTTTTTTCTGTGCATAAAAGGGTACTGAGAGCGCAAATCCCTATATAATAACCTATTCCTCATGTGCGAGAGGCCCCCAAGCTTTTTTTTCCTACTCAGATAAGCCAGCGGGCCGAGGTATCACCCATCATGGCCGCCAGTAACAGAACACTATGGCAATGGGAAGACTTACTCGCTAAATACCCCAAAGTCGAGTTCATATGGCTAGAGCTCCTGTGGTATACGGCAAATAAGTTCGTTCGGATGGTGCCAAAAGCAAAATTCGAAGCAATGATCCAGAGCGATATTTACTTCAACGTCCCTCTGGTAGCCTTTTACCTTACCCCAGGTGATCATCCGGCTAAAGGCGCCTCGCCCAGTGGGTCTTTTCGGTTACGTCCTGATTTAAGTACAGCATATTGCCAGCCAGGCTCAGGGGGGACCCGTCTGGTCATCCAGTGCGAATGCGCCCAAAAAGATGGGTCTCCATTGGATTTGTGCGCGCGGTCCCGCCTCCGAACACTGGATGATGCCCTACAATGCAAGATGGGCATGGACATTTTGATTGGATTTGAAATCGAAGTGGTATTTATGAAACCCGAGCAACCACGTGATGGGACACCCACATTCAGCCCTCTGAGCTCTCTTCATTCATGGTCCTCTATAACACGAGACGATTTTATGTACCTGGACCTTATCGAGCGTATTGTGCGCTCATTGGCCGATGTCGGTATTACGCTGGAGCATTTTCATTCTGAGGTAGCACCAGGACAGTGGGAATTCGTCCTCCCCCCGGAGAGGCCAGTCCAGGCCATTGATACACTTCTCAAGGCTCGAGAAACGATCAAGTCGGTGGCTCGTTCAGGCGGGCTGCATGCTACCCTATATCCCAGGATCTCAGATGACGACATTGGAACTGGTGCACATGTCCATATATCTGTCAACAACCGCGACGGGTATGCTCAGCGGCCGGAGAGTTTCTTTGGCGGTATAATACAGCATATGCCTTCCATTCTCGCGTTTACGTTACCGCAAGAAGTGAGTTACCAACGAGTCCAGACGGGGCTGTTCAGTGGAGGTGAGTACGCTTGCTGGGGTTGGGAGAATAAGGAGGCATCGCTATGCCGGATTGACGTAAACCGGTTTGAGTTCAAATTGATGGACGGGCTTGCAAATCCTTATCTTGCCCTTTCAGCCATCTTAGCTGGGGGTTTAGACGGTCTGGAGAAGGAAACGCCCCTCCTAGGTGGGCCCTGCGACGACGCCTATGCGCATCTCCAGCCAGAAGAGCAGAAAGCGCTTGGCATAACGACTAAGTTGCCGAAATCACTAGAGGATAGTTTGGCCGCATTGGAAGCAAGCCCCGCATTATGTGCACAGCTTGGACCAGGTATGGTCTCTGTCTATGCTATGGTGAAGCGGGGAGAAGCAGATTGTCTACGCAAAATGCCTGACGACACAAGAAAGGCTTGGTTAATCTCGAGGTACTGACATGAAATAATTGCACCACAATCTCACTTGATAATAGAAGACTTTCTTTATCCGGTACTTTTTGTTCTCAGGTTTTATATCTTCTTCGTTGGATTTTATCTCCATGCGTCAGAGTCACAGTGTATGAAGCTCACATCCCGGACGCATTGTGGGTGTCATCATTGCGAGATCCTACCCCTTGCTCAAGGCAGAGTTCCGGACTTGGACATGGAAATAACCATAACATTATTTTGGCCGTCCATGTATGTTAAGAACATGGATGTAAAGCTTAGAAAGGAGGATATGCTTTCGGTTCTTATGAGCTTGGCCTCCATCAAAACTTGTAACCTAAAATATACCAGGTGCTAGAAATAGTGCATGGGTGGTCTTATGGAATGTAGTAGTACCCCCTAACGGTTAGAAGCATTATGTGAACACGAGATATTTCCAGCTCCTTGTCATGTTGTCGCTGATATCCTAATGATATCGTAGGCCCCTTAATATATCTCCCTTGGCCGTAGCCGTGCTATTTCATATACCTGCGAGGTTGGCTTTGAGCTCTGCACTAGTACTGGAATCTAAATGCTTTCTAATACTCTGCTATACATTGAGGTTACCTCCAGTGTTCATCACCTGCTTATGGAATGATATTCTGACCTTAACGCCGTAGTTATATAGTTAGCTAATTACTGGCCAATGACGCAACCACAGTGTTTATGCGTGGCAGCTTCATCTGAAAGAGAATCACTCGATCTGGTCCTACCTGACCCGATTCAAGGACTGGAAAGTGCAATGGCGAAAACTAGTGCGTTTACTCCGTTTGCAGAAGTTCAAGTATCTGGGCGACAAAATCCTCCGGATTCTCCTCCGCAATGTAATGACCGCTATCAGCAACATAACGCGCCTGAACATTTTCAAATACTTCGCTCGCCATCCTTTCTGCGCCCACAGCCAGCGCATGATTTGCTCCAGTCAAGACCAGATTCCGTGTTCTCACTTTTCCCCGCTCCGCTATCCATGCTCGATTCTGGGCGGCATCAATCTCAAACGCGCTGTACACATAAAACGCATATTGCAACGCGCCGCGCATTGAATACTGCGAGGTATAGTAGTCGATGATATCATTGCCAAACACTGAATGGTTATAGGCAAATCGATCGTAGAACTGCTTGACATAAATCTTTTCTTTTCCTGCTACCAGTGCCGCAGCCATATCGGGCTGCTGTCCTTGGAAGGCAAAATGCCAATGATCTCGGTCATGCTTGAGCTTCTCGTATTCTGTGGTCCCTGGTAACGGGCATTCTCCCCCAAACAATGCTGGATACAAAATCAGGGTACTGCATAACAAAGGCAAAGGCTATCATGCCCCCAATGTCATGACCAACCACATGGATCAGGGTTTTGATCGATAATTGATGAGTCAAGAAGTTGTAAAGATCCTGTGCCAACTGCTTCTTAGAAAAGCCGGCCACGTCTCGGAGTGGTTTCGAGGAACTTCCGTGCCCGGTAAAGTCAGGAGCAATCACGTGGTATCCTGCAGCGGCGAAAGGTTCCAAGACGAAGCGGAACTGGTGAGAAGATTGGGGGAATCCGTGAATGAGAAGGAGAATTCCCTTACATTCACCGGTTGGCTCGGCTTCGAGGTAATGTTTACGCACATCTTCAGAAAGGACCGCTTGTCGGCTAGAAACCTCGGATTTAGGAAGACATCATGTTAAGCAGAGTAAGCCGACCGTGGATAGAAAAGTGTCGAGTGTGCATGCTAATTCAGCCATTTTCTTTCTCTCTCCATAGGCTGGCGGATACTGTTGGTGGATTCGCTCGGGATGCGGCTTCTTTCGCGAAGCTATCTCGCGCCCTTTACGGCTCTATCCATGAGCCACAGTTTTCTAAGGTATCTAAAAGTACTAGCAGTTTTCTCGGTGAGCTACATTTCACGGGCCATGCCAACATAGTGTATCCCGCAGAAACCCAGTAAGGTTCTGTACCCTGTGGAATACTGATCCAAGACAAGCACGGCGCATGGCGCTGTCCTAGAATCCTTCATTGCTAAGCTGGAACGGTATCTCAGCAACACAGATAAGCTTAGAAGAGATCTGGGCGACAACAAAGCCAGTATCCGAAAATACCACCCTGGAAAAATACCTTGAGCATGTCTTTGAATGGGCCGGAAATCCCTCTCAATGGAAGGACTTTCTCAGCCCGTTCATAACTGAGTACAAAAGCACCTACGGCCGAGATCCAGCTCTCAACCCCCACAATGCTTAGCAATGGCAATCTTTGTTTTTGTCAGAAATCACATGACTTCCAAAATAGGAAATGTTTCTGTCTCTTCGGCTAATTTTGGTATGCCAAGTAGCAGATATATTCTCAATTGGCTAACATTGTCTTTAAAGGAAAACTCTCTGCCCAGTTTGACAGATCAATATTGTAATAGTTATGTTGTACTTTGACAAGTTCCTATATTCTGGTAGGCCTAAAGCTCATTTCACGGTGTCTTGAAAATTCTGACTGAGATGATCGAGAGCGAACTGATCATTATGTCACTACGTATCGTTTCTACAAACTTAATAGCCCTATAAGGAGATTACAAATGGTATCACCTCGACCAATCCAGATTAAAGGATATATTTTTGGAACAGTTTAATGCAGGCCTAAAACGAGCAAACAAAAAAAAAAAAAAATACCCGAAGACCAACAATAAGGCTAAACCAAACCAGGCTAGTGCAAATGTCCTATTCTAGAAAATCGAAAGAAGAGAAAAAAAAAAAGGGAAATGCCAGCTCATCATCCGAAGGTGCCCCACTACCAGTCATCCACCGGAGGAGAGTAAGAGCGCTCCTCAGGAGGCTCATCGTAGTGGTGGTAAATGTGCTGCTCCACGATCTTGTGCTCGACTTCTTCTTCTTCTTCTTCCTTCTCAGACTCAGAGCTGGAACCGCCTTTTTTTATGTTAGTTTTTGTTTTACTATATTTTCAAAGAGGGGTCGAGGTAGAATGTAGACATACCAAACTCATGATTAAGAACAGCTCCGGCAACACCACCAAGCGCCAAACCTGCGGCGGCTCCCATGAACATCTTCTTCTTTTCACTCTTCTTCCTCTCTTCCTCAGTCTGGTACTCGCCCTGCTGAGGAGGAGGGTAGTAGCCTCCCTCCTGGGGAGGGGGACCGCCGTAGTAGCCACCGGGGGGAGGGCTAATCGGGCCGGAAGGAGGGGGGCTCATCATAGGGGGAGGGCCGCCGGGAGGACCCATGTCACGCGAGGTATCGCCAAGAGGCTGCTCCCACTGGGAGTTGCCGGTGGCTACCTCAACCCAGAAGGCGCGGCGGGCGTTGGGCTCCCATTCCTGGACCCAACCCATGGGAAGAGGTGGTGGGGGAATTTGTGGAGGACGGGCAGAAGGTGGTGCGGAGGAGTAGGGAGGGCGAGAGTCGAAAGAACGGTCTGAATCATATGGAGGTCTCTCGTACGGAGGACGCTCGGATGGTGGTCTGTCGTACGGAGGGCGCTGGTCTTGAGGGGGCTGCCCATATGGCGGGCGCTCGTATGGCGAACGCTCGCCAGAGGGAGGTTGTTCGTATGGGGGACGCTCATATGGTGGACGGTCACTGGGAGGAGGCTGTTCGTATGGAGGTCTGTCGTAAGAGGGGCGATCGCCGTAGGGGGGTCGCTGGTCATATGGAGGGCGCTCATAGCCTCCGGGAGCCTGACCATATGGAGGTTGACCATATGGAGGCTGCCCATATTGGGGTTGAGGGGGGCCACCGTAGTACGACATAGTATAGGTAAACGAATTGGTGGTGAACAAGAAAGCGAAGTTAAAGTAGAAAAAGTAATAGGAGAGAGGAATAAGAAAATAGAATGAGAGCAAGCAGTTTGGGCGGCTTTAAATATATCGCTCAATCTGGTGAGGAGGGGAAAGAGCAGCCCTAGTTAGGTCTCAATTCACCAGTGACCACACCCCTGTATGGAGTCTCCAGACGCTAAGTTAATGACAATGAGACCTCAGGAGCCTCCGGTGTCCGCGGAGACTCGAAGACCATTCGCTAACAGTGAGATACATATCACTAGAGTATCCACTACATTACTGGTTGCATGGGGAAGTGTCAATAGTCTGGCGTTTGGTGGTGCTGCAGATCTGTCCTCTCAGATGCAAAAATTAGGCAGATACATATTTGATGGCCGGACTCCATCCATACCCCTGATTGTTTCCAAACCCGTAGCGCTAAGTGAAGCACAGAAACAGGCCACAGAATTCAATGAGAGGGGGGCGTGCTTCATCCTCCCGCCACAGGTTCGACCTACCATTCTAAGTTGTTTGGCTGTCGACAGCCGTCTTCATTTGTTTCATTGTTGAACCGTCAGGGAGGGGTAGTATGACATGTTCGATCATGGGCATCAACCCCACCATCCCCTACAAAAACGCTGCCTGTGGAGGGTCTCTTGGCGCCACTAAAAGGAATATATGGCTCACTGATGACACATCCAATCGGAGTCCCTGCTGTCTAGGCATCAGCCACACCGGCGTATCACCATTGACCCCCCTCCAATGATCCTTGCCAGGTGATGACAAGCCACAAATCCCGCATACTGGAGGGGTTCTCTATCTGACATCCTCAACCTTGACACCGAGTTGTTGCCGTCTCTTGGCCCCTATAATGTCAAAAATTCTAGATCATATGCCTTGTGCAAACTAACATGTCTATAATATCATGTCGAAAAGAGACACAAATTGCATGTCGTATTGCAGTGGTAAAATTACTAATTAACCAAACCAACGGGGTCACGCCAGAGTTCCCCCGGCACCTTCGGCATCAATAACACTGGAGACTCGCCACGTGTGACTCAGCCAGTGGCTGTGGCTATGCGCCCAGCCACAGCCCGTTCCGGAAGATTCCTTCAAAGTGGATCGGATGTGCCCTCTTGTTCTCCTTTTTCCACATTCGACGTTACGGAGTCTAAAGATGGAATAGTGTTTCCATTTTGGCACCTTGGCGTTGAGGTCGTTGCTCCAGCAACTGCGCCTGGCGGAAATTGGAAGGTGGGCTGTAGAATATGGAATATCTCATCCGGGAATTAATATCAGAGCGGAGAATCAATGGAAAACAATTCAATCTATACTTCGTATTCCTTTTTTTTTATTTACTGTAAAATAGTATAACTATTTATTATTAGATAGGATAAGTATGCTATATATCTCATCGACAAAGCGTATAACAGTACAAATGATAGTGACATGCATGGCGAGGAACTTCTCCCATCGCTAACTCTACTGGTAGGGCACGTTCGGACGAAGTTGACAGATGGTCGCCCAAAAAGCCTACTTCCAAACTAATAGGCCTCGCCCATACAGGAACGGTTCCTTGATATTATCAGTATCCTATCATAGTAGCGGCTTCATGGAAAGATAGGGTAGATTTGTAAATGTGTTGGCTTATCTGGGATAGTGTTATAGACCGATTGACTTCTGTCTCTTCCTGTATATCGGGCAAGAGTACGATTTTCTTATCGAAGCGTGCTACAACGTCAAATCTTATAACGTCGAACTACTTCCTAACTCAAGGTGTGGTGAGGCGACAGCTAGGGTACTTGAGATTTGGTACGTCTTGCCATAATGGCCCATGTAAAAGCCAATACCCCGTTATGTACAGATTTCACACCTACATGGTGTTACAATGTTCTAGACTTGTCGGAAGTAACCAAGACGAAGGGAGTATTATTAGTCAGTTCTTCGGAATCAAGCCTGAGCTATGGTTTTCCAGAGATAGTCCTAGTAGGGTTTCTCAGCCCTGTTGTACCTACCCTACGCTTGCTAAGGCCTGAATTATATGATTTCAACAAGTCCAGTCATGATATAACACCTTTAAACTCATCATGACCCACTCTCCGCTTATAGTAACAGTTGTTATATCGTCTTCCTACCTGAAATTAACCATGGGAGCGAGACGACCTCTATTGGATGTGAGAAACTTGGGTCTTATGCAATTTGAATGTGTCAAAACAAAAAAAGTGTTTTAAAAAAGAACGTCAATTCGGGTCAGTCTTGCTCAGTAGATGAAAATATCTTCGTCAGATGAAAGTTTTAATACAGTCGCTCTAGACTCCCCCGTTATATCTGGCTAGGTATGCTAAGAGCTCGCCATGCAATATCAGATACTCTTTTGAGTCATCAATGATCTGCAAGGCTCTAGGAATCGACCGATAACCATATATCTAAAGAAGCCACTTGCCAAAGTGCCACCACTGCATGACGACTACTTTCTGACTCGCAAGAGGGTCATATAGCCTTCTTCAAATGAAGTAGCACTCGTTATTGAGAACCGGACTAAACTGTCACGTCATGTACGAAGGTTAAGCCCGGAACCAAATAGTAGTTCCCGTTCCCCACCGACACCGTAACCGACCCCTGTCAGAAGCCGGATATGGAAGACATGGATGGTTCTGTAGCATTGGCAGAAGGTTTACCATCAATCTATACTTTCGATCCCATAGGACTAATGTTAATGTTTAAGAGTGAAGTGTCGACCCTTTTAGTATATGAATCATAATGATGTAGAGGATGTGAGTAAATGATTCTGAGGTCGATGAAGTCCAGGAGATAAATATATAAGTATAGCTATTCCTCTGTAGAACGATATCATTTTTCCTTACCTTTCCTTGCCCGGATTTCTATTCAAAGCCAGGAATATTTATCATATAATCTCTCAATATAATTCCCTTCGCAGAGTGAACCTGACAACTACATCATCATGGTGGCCGCCAATACAGTGGATTTCTACAGCAAGTCAAACTATGACACCCACGCCAAAACCACCCCACTGAATGATGTCGAGCATCAGAAATTAGGGACTAGCTATCTTTCTTGCAAGCTCGGAGACGGGACGAAGCTACTTGTGTGGAATCACGAAGACTATACCGATAGCAAAGAATTGACCAGCGACCAGCCCAACCTCCCAAAGGACCAACATGTTCAGTGCTATCAAGTTCTCAAAGGCACCAGCGCTGTCATTGGCTTTCGGTTTAAGGATGCCACTGGAGGGGAAAAGGGCCAATATTCTCTTCTACTGAAACTCGCCAACATTGGTGATGTGAAAGTATGGTCGGACGAGTCAGACAAATACGCGCTTGCCGGTGCTGTGCCCCGGGATGGCACGCTGGTGACAACCGCCTTGTATGTCCAGGATAAGGAGACAGGTCAATTTCCTGTTATCGGATCAATTTATTTTAAATGGGACAAAGACAAGAACAAGGTTGTGGTGGAGGAACAGGAAGGTTGGCCGAAGACACAGCTAAAGCACGAAGACGATGGAAAAAACAACTTCACTATTACCCTAATTTCGACCAAGCCATAAATTACGAGAATTGTCGCTGGGAATTTAGAAAAGAGAAGAAGGACGAGGAGACAATCGCATGACAAGGCAAGCGGAGGGGATTGTCATGTATATAGTTGACTACTGTTTTCTTTCCTGCCTTAGTATAGGTTTTGTCCTACCAGTGGGTTTCCCTGTACTGTTATGCAAATGCAGAGGCAATAACCAGAAATACGACCTCCAATTAAATTTCATGTTCTAGCTTTTATCAAAACAGAGTAGCAACTACGGTATTCGCATACGGATATGGGGAGACTCCCCCAGCTGGGCTGTAGAGAAAAGCATCCGCATGAGGCAAAATTACAAATCAACAGACAGTACGAAGCCATTTTAGCTGCAACCTGCCATCAGCCAGGAGAAACATCACTATCGTTCAGATGGTTAGATACGTGGAGTATCCTTTTATTTCTCAGAAACATTTCGACAATATTTTTTTCTTGGGATGTCACCTACTACATGCTTCTATTAGAACGGATTACCTCCTTTCCAGACTGTTCGGCAGCCAACTTTTGGTCCGCAACCCTAATCCGGCAGAGCAAACCTTGGGGGAATCATGTCACGAAAAAATCATTGTTGCCGCCACCTCTGCGTAACGCGAATGGGAATGTAGAGAAGGGAACTTTCAGGCTCGTAAGAGAAGCAACGGTACGAATTGAGCTGATGTCACCATGTATCACAGACCTTGGCGAATCATCCCCATTCTTCCGCATGCAGCGACTATGGAGAACTCATCATGCCACCGCTTATTCTCGCAGCCCGAGTAAGTAAGAAATATAGTACACATGATGTGGCCTCTGGCTCGGGCACGCAATCCCAGGTTGTTGTCGGTCTGACATCTTCGAAAACTACGAGGCGCATTACAAACTAGCGGAAGGAACTTAAGATCCAGAATTACAGAAAATTACTCTGTATCTGAAGCTTCTTTTATCCCTATTAGGCTTTAATTTACAACACATAGCAGTTTCGATTTGTAAGCTTTTAGAAATCAATTCCATCGAGGACGTACGGAGAATCAATACGTGTCGATCCTTAAAGCTCCAGCAGACTTATCAATTCTCCTATAGCCTTTGCATCGTCAGAAGTCATCGTAGTAGTACGACCCCAAAGAGGCTTCATCCGATGCACCGTTGCCATGGAGGCTTTTGTTCCCTTTATCCAACCCCGCTCTTCGTTTGTGAGATACCACGAATCGTTCCTCATAAGCGGCGCACAATATTTCACTTGTACAAAGTTTGAAGGTTCCTCAATGGGGACACAATAGATAGCAGCACATTGTAGACTTACGTGCTGTCTCTTGCCTCTGAGTACAATGAACAGAAGATGGAATGCTGCGTCTCGCGATAAGGTCTTCTTAACCTTGATAGTTTGGTAATGTTTATGATCGAGGTCGTAGTCGGTTTTGCAGGCCCTGAGGTTGACAAAACGTTTTGTCGATGGTCTGATAGCCAGGTACATCAACCCCGAGCCCGTCGTATATCCCGCAAAGGGTGGAATATTGAGCTATGGAAACTGGCAGAGGCCGAAAGCAGAAACGGCCGCTGACTCAAGTCCTTGCAGTGTAATATCGAAGCGAGTGATATCGCTATGAGCAAACTCCTATTCAGATCCTAGTAGCCGACGATTGCGTTCGAGCCTGACGAACGACGCTAAGTATGGAATCATTGAGAGGTCAATGTGGTAACGAATATTCCCGAACTTTAGGGGTCAATTTTGGAGAATTAATCCCACTTGTGCGTTTTCACTGGGTATACCTTCTATGATTCAGTTTTGAGTAAAGGTCATCAAGTAACAATTTACCTGCAGAAGCCTTGCAGGCCTCCAAAGTATCGCTCTGGGCATCCGGTCGATGACCTCGTCTGGGGCACGTGTTTGTTGCTCTGTCGTCGTCCCATTGTCCTCAATCTTACGCATTCTATAGTTGCGTGTGATGTTTCACACACTATTCCAGCAATATGAAATCGCCACATAGTGGTGGCAGAGTGGGCTCTCAGTATCAAGCCGGACACCGCGAAAGTGTTTGGCTTGCTTACGCTTTGACAATTTGGAGTATTTTAGACAGGGGTCGTATGTAGGCCCCTGCTTTGCTTGATTCCTCTATTTGGAAAAAGTTTCTCAACACCGGCTGGGGCTTGTTGGACTAATTCTTCGGTCGATTGGCGGTCTGCCAAGGATCTTACGGTGCTCTGGTCTTAATCCTAGATCTATCCCTGGCTTCCGGCAGTAAGATACAATGCAATCACACGCTCAAGCCTGGTGTCTTTGTCTTCGCTGTCTTCATCAGATGCGTGGTGCGGTGCGCTATCATTTCACTCTTCCTGGTGATCATTCTAGAGGGATAGTGCAATTACACGTTGAATCTTAATGTCGTTTTCGTCGCCGTTTCGATCTGATAGGGTGCTTCATATTAGTCTGCTTTATCGGTGTTTGTCTCTTCGTCGCTTTCGTCCGTTTCTGTATTATTGTACACTAGAAATCTCTTCTTGTCTATTTCATGTTGCCGTCTGGCCCGTTGTCCTTAAGCAGTCTCGAATGATGTTGTGATTGAGTGTCATTTTTAACAAATAAACTAGGCCTTTGTAAAAGAAGCTCTGGAGTGTCGCGTGAGCACACCGAGCCCAAAACTAGTGGAAAAGGCTCAAAGAAGCTGTCATTCTGGAGGGTGAAGGGTGATCTGCTTATTTAGACATGGACCCACGTTCTCTGTAGAGCATCACAGCCACCGTAATATTCAGCACTGCCCTGTGGCTGTCCTGTGGTCGGCCACGGTTTTCCGTGGACTGCGGCCTGCCCTGTTCTGCATCTGCCACATCATATGGACCTCCATCCTTTTGAGCCTTCCTCGAACCGGAGGCTGAAACCAGCAATGAAATGTCTGCATGCAGAAGCATTGTTGACTGTACTCATCAAATGACGGCCGAATGTATCATTGGTACAGATACCAACCAAACACTGACGCTTCCCTTCAGAGTCGGCAGACAGGAGACAAAATCTTGAAGTACAGATACCGTGAGATGCCCAGAGCTTTCGAGAATATCCAGCATAGAGCCTTTGGCAATAAAGGAAGCGATATTCTCAGCTATAACTTTGGCGAGCATGTCAGAAGCTCTGTAATTTACGGAGATAGGGACCGCAGAATTTCCGCTGCCAGCAGAGAAAATGAGTCTTTGCTCCATTTGTTCTCGAACCACCAAGCCAGGCAGTTTCTCGAACTCTTCTTCAAGTCATCGATGCCAAACATATCTGCGGTCACGTACACACGAAGATGTTTGTGCATCTATTCATGAATGTTGTACTCTGAGGTCATGCCATCTTAGTGATGGGTTTTGGGTCTCAGTAGTCGAGTTGCCACCACACATCTCATGAGAAGAAGCATTGTTGTCATAGTTCCCCAGATATAAAAGAAATAACATATTCCTGATTGTGCTGACGTCGTGAAGAGCGAGATCAATAAAGTTCTGGTAGCTTTCCTGTCTCAAGTCAGCAATAGCAGTGAAACGGCAAATATCGTCTACCTAGAATTTGCCGTTGAAGAGGGCATCAAAGTATCAAGACAGAGGACAGACAACCGCCTGGAGTACCTTCAATTCTTTTCCATTATACGTTATAGGGACGCCACCAATACAGCACAAGCAACGTCTCTAGAAATGCGAACCGATATTAAAATAACTATTGGACCAGTGTATAATACACAATAACACCTATCAGACCTTAAGAATCCAGCAAGGAGCTACCTCGATGCCGGCTCTTATAATCATCGAACACCCTCACAACATCTTCACTCATCTTTGACGGTGCAAAGATAGACGACTGATTCATCGTTGTCAAGTCGAAATCAGTTTGCACCCGACCGGTAGAAAGCAAAAGCTCAACTGCCTCGACATGTCCCCTCTCAGCCGCGAGCATAAGCGGCGTCATACCCTTCCTGTCCTTCCTATCGGGGTCGACCCCCTTCGCAAGCAGCAACCGCACAATATGCGTCCGTCCTAGTTGCGCCGCACTCGCGAGTGCCGTAATGCCGTGTTTATCTGGCAGGTTTGGATCAACCTTTTCGTGGGTAAGAAGCGCCTCCACCACGTCCGTGTACCCAGCCGCAACGGCCGTTAACAGAGCCCGGCTCCCAAAATTCGGCTGTTGGTCGGGCTCCACGGTAGGGATACTAAGAAGCAATTTCACGATGCGCGTGCGTCCGGTCCTCGCGGCGGCCAGGAGTGGGGTCTCTCCGCACTGGGATCGGGCGTCCGCGTCCACGCCTTCAACTGCTAGGAGGCGCTGGACGACCCCGAGGTGCCCGTTCAGGGCTGCAGCCAGGAGCGGCGTTTGCCCAAACTTATCCTTTACGTTTGGGTCTACCTTCCCCGTGCGCAGCAGCTCGTCTACTACATCTTCTGCTCCCGCGCCTGCAGCAGCCGTAAGGGGTGTTTCCCCGCGCTTGGTCCGGCAATCCGGCTGGATGTCTTTCGCCGATAGTAGTAGTTTCACGATGGCAAGGTAATCGCCCGCCTTTGGATGCATGGCATCCGTAGTTGTTGTTGGCCTGAGCGAATCGAACGCCGTGAATGGAGAAGGCTGGCCGTGCCCTGCCGCCCAGGCGAGCGGAGTTTGGAGATGCGCGTCAGGCACATTCGGGTCTATCGTCCCCGCGCACAGAAGAATTGCAGAGACCTCGGTGTGACCGTTTCCGGCGGCCCATGAAAGGGGCGTTCTGTGCTGCAGCTCGTGGGTGTTGGGGTTGGCGCCTTCTTGCAGCAGGCGGTTGCAGGGGTCTAGTTTGCCATGTTGGGCGGCCCATATCAAGGCCGCGCTATCTTGATGGAAGATTTGGTGATGGTAGAGAATGGGGTTAGCGATTGCGTACAGGATTTTAGATGCTTTGGCGACAGAATCCACGTCTTGTACCGATGGGAGGAGGAGGGTAGTGATGCGGAAGAGTAATTCGGTTGGGAGGGTTAGTAAAGACATGTTTATGCAGAGTCGGGATAGGATAGGACTAAAGACTATGTGAGGTACTTCGACGCAGGAAAAAGTTGTCGAGGGTGCCTGAAAGATGCCTGAAAGATGCCTGAAGGGTTAGGCACTCGACCCCTAAGACAGTATAGCTTCACGTGCAGGTATACTTCCGGGTGAGATTCGGTTGTGATAGCTAAACGTATATCAGAAAGAATATTTGCCATCTAACCTCAATTCCCACCCTATTCCTACCCTCATGATTTCAATCACCTTGCCTGAATAGAAGAGCGCTTGTCAAGCATGAATGCTTTGTCCAACAAGATATCTCTGTTCATTGATGAAAACCCTCTTTCAAAGCAATATGGCATCTACGGTGCTATAATCGGCAGACCTCCTGACGCCCCACACTAACGTAGCCTTGGCTATCGGCAGTACAGAGGGAGGCAGTTATCTCACCAAAGTTCCTCAGAAGAAAGGTATTCCCTATGACTACATTGCGTTCCATGATCTTGCCAGGGCGGTGTTTGAGTATCGGTACAACAATCTTTATGAACTGGTGGTTGTGCGGCAACCGGATCCTGACATGGAACATATCTTCTCGGTGTACCGGGATAGAGACCGCTACTAGACGAAAGAATTGTGGGTGGAGCATCCATCTCACAAGGGGCACTGGAAGATTGTCGGACGGACGGATGACTATGTCTACCTGTCTAATGGTGATGGGCTGCACGCGTCGCTGCCGGAGATGGAGATTGAGGCCCATCCTGCTGTTAGGGCGGCCTTGATCAAGGGACAGGGTCGTCCCGCTCCGGTGCTAATTGTGCAGCTATTCGGAGAGTATGAGAGTGGCAATCGTGAGGAGATGGCCGACAGTCTTTGGTCGTACATTGAAAAGGTCAATCTGCGGTGTCATGACCGTGTGAAACTCTCTCGTAGCGGGTGATCTTCGCGTCAAAGGAGAAACAGTTTGTGCAGACGGTCAAGAGGAGTGTCGCTTGTGGGTCGACACTGGCAATGTATGAGGAGGAGATTGGGAGTTTGTTTTCTTGACCTGCAGATAGTATATTATACGATCGACATCATGATGATTACTATCAATGATGTTAGGAGTTCAGTCGAGCAAACTTCGCAAATGATAGAAGGCAACTAGAGTATGCAATCGCAAATATTCATTGAGCTGTCATACCCTGCCCCAATTGGTCTTTGTTTTCTGGAATGGTGGGAGAAGAAAGTGAGCTGGTTGGAGGGTTGATATTCCCGTTTGTTATTGGGTACAAACAGAAGTGAATCAGAATCTTCCCTCTTCTCTTCTCTTCTTCCTCGCTTCACCTCTTCTCTTTTCTTCTCTTTTCTTCATCTTTTCTGGGATCCTTTCCTCCTCGTAACTTCCATCATCCCACCAGCATTTCATTCTCCTCCTCTAGTCCTGTTTCAAACACCGTGGGTCACTGGGTTGGCGTATGCCTTCCCCCCTCCCCCCATGTCAATAACTGACATCAATCGCAGGCCTCTTCGAGGGCGACCAAGATCTCGACATCTCGTCTGTCCTGCCACGATCTGTCGGCATCGAAACCGAATGGGAGCACACCATGTCTCAAACTGTCCATCAGGCCGACAAGCTGGCTCCAAATGAGATGCGCGAGGTCTACAAGACCCCCAAGTACGCTTACGATCTCGCAAACATCATCGTGCCGTACGTGCGCCAGAAGCTCGACACCAAAGACCTAGGACACGCCATCTTCGCTGCATCTGTGACGAGAGAATCCGAGCCAACCGACTCTACGGATGACAAGTATCGCACTATCACCGTGGGGGCTTTGATGATGCGCGTCGGCGCTAGAATCAAGCCGGAGGACCTCCAGCATCTGCGCGACTTGGTTCCTCAAATTCCCTGCCACGACCGATTTGCGTCGCCCCTAATTGATGAAGGGTCCCGTGGGCCCGGCTGTGCGCAGCTTCTGGCTGCCCTGGATCATTATCAGGCTGGCGTGCCGCGGAGCTTCCAGGAGCCGAGGTGTGTATGGATAATTGGAGGAGAAATGATAGCTGACGGTGCGATGCAGTTGCTTCCACTGTGGTCAGATCAAATCGGACATTGGACATGCCCTTCGCATATGTGGAAGATGCAAGTGCATCTGGTACTGTGACAAGGTACGACTTGTCGGCATCTACTTCATGATAACTGTTGGCTAATGGTCGTAGGATTGCCAGAGCGCCCACTGGAACATCACATGCATAGATGTGTCCCCCCCCAGCGGCGTTTCTCTCTCAATGTGTAGGTGCCGTTTGCTTCGCCATCCTGACCAGACCAGACTGTTGTGTTTATTTCGATTGACGCCCGTCGGCTGTTTATGGTTTGTTACTGCAAGGCCTTTTAGAAAATACGGGCTTGTACAATGACTGCCTGTTCATTGTTGTCTCAGGAGAGGGTATTTCCTATCGTATCCTGTAGCACTTGGGCTTGTACCACCTTCGAGCATGTTAGTTCTACACAGGTACCTAGATAGGCCCTAATGGTGATTAATGCAGAATCGCAGGACTCTCAATGTTCGCCGTCTCCAGGCGGGGCTCGTATGAAAGCCTTCAGACGCTGCCAAGGCGGTGGCAGAACTCAGCTGTTTACATAGCCGAACATCGTCCATCTTTAGCCTCACTTCAGCGTGATATGAAAGTGGATTTGTGCATTCTTCTACGATCTCCGATGGACTTGCGGCCTCCGCTCTAGCACCTTTGCACAATATGGGGCTCTTATTTAGCTTTCATAACCATGACACTCCGTACCTGCTCCTCCAGAGCGCTCTCGCGCTGCTTGTAACCGCAAGTGCCTACACGCTCTATCGGGGTTACCAGGTGCGGAGGATGTTCCAGTCGCTCAAGAAACAGGGCATTGTAAGTATATTGTACCCATAGGAAATGTAGCGGGGCCACACAAAGGACACACTAATGGGGAGTGTTTACTAAACATCACCAGCCACTCATGCGTCACTCCATGATCCTCGGCCATCTCGAAGTCATTGGAAAACTTATGTCTCGTCTCCCATCTGATGCCCACGGCGACTACATGATGGTCATGATCCAGGAGAACTGGCAGGAGCTCTTTCCGGATTGCTCCAAATGTCCGCCAGTGTTGTATATCGATCTTTGGCCGTTCGCTGCGCCAATGCTGATCTCTATCAACCCCGACACGTCGTGCCAGTGCACGCAGGACTATTCATTGCCCAAAGCATATCAGCAAAAGCGTACTTTGTACCCGTTGACTCGCAACCGTGATGTCTCCTCGATGGAGGGGGCTGAATGGAAGGTCTGGCGCAAAAGACTCAACCCCGGATTCTCCATCCAGAATATTACCAGCCGAATGTCCGACATCCTGGACGAAATAGAGGTATTCGTTAATGTTCTCGAAGCCCGAGCGGGTAAGGATGGTGCATGGGGAGAAGTCTTCCCACTAGAGGAGGCTACGACCAATCTGGCTATGGATGTCATCTTGCGTTTCTTCTTGTGAGCAGCCTTCTGCTTCGATGGAATACCATTAACTTACAGGGTAACAGGAATAAGCGCTTCCACCAACAGACGGGCCCAAGGTCGCCCATCACCATCGCCCTCCTTGACACCATATCGAGGATGTTTTTCTACGTCAATATATTCAATTTCCTATCATACATCAGTCCTTGGCGACACTTCAAACTGTGGCTCAACTACCGGACGCTGTTCAACTGCCTCAGTCCGTTCCTCAAAGAGCGGATCTTCGAAATCCAGAAAAACAGCCAGGTGACCAACAAGACCCTGGTAGATCTGCTCGTCAAAAGCATGGAGGAAGAGAAAGGCCAAGATGGTGCAGGAACTGACCTGTCCACGAACACGGAATTTCTGGAGACCGCCATCGGCCAGATCGCCACCTTCCTCTTCGCAGGCCACGACACAACCGCGTCGACCATCTGCTGGCTGTTCCGTCTCCTCGAGCAGCACCCGGACGTCCTCGCAAAGCTCCGCGCGGAGCACGACGTCGTCTTAGGCCCCGATCCAACCCAAGCTGTCGCCGCTCTGCGGGCGAACCCCCAGCTTCTCAACACCCTCACCTACACGAACGCGGTGTTGAAAGAGTCGACACGGGTGCACACCAACGTCGGAACCATGCGCCGCGGCGAGCCGGGCTTCTTTCTCGTCGGACCGCCTGGCTCTGGTCCCGAGTGTGAAGGCAAGCAGATGCCGACGGACGGATTCATTATCTGGGACGGGAATTTTGCGATCCACCGCAGCCCGGACGTGTGGCCGCGCCCGAACGAGTTCATCCCGGAGCGGTTTCTCGCGACAGACGAGAACGACCCGCTGCATCCGCCGAAAAACGCGTGGCGGTTTTTCGAGCTCGGGCCGAGAGGCTGTATCGGTCAGCACTTGGCCATGGTGGAAATCAAGCTTGTTCTGGCTTTGGTTGCGAGACGGTTTGATGTTGAGTGTGCGTGGGACGAGTGGGATTCTAAACGGTAAGTTGGGTGCATTTACTGGATTCGCAAAGAGTGGTCGCTGACGATGCTTTAGGAACTTCAAGGGACCGCGGAATATGGTCTGGGAGGATCGGTGCTATCAGGTTGGAGGCGACTCGCCGCCTCATGTGAAGGATGGCATGCCTGTACATGTGAGAGTTCGGAGTTGAACAGGAAGGACTAAGCAATGTATATTATGACGTAGACATCAGTGATCTTATATGATGGAGAGTCTCCTTCGCGCAGTGCATCACATCCAGGGGGCTCTGACAACTTGCAAGTTACCTCTCCCTCTGGAGATATTATAGTTCAACTGTCGGAGTAATGCTACCGCATTGCAAACATGCAGGCTATATGTATCCCGGGTACAACTACAGGTTTAGTCTATCAAGTACATGCGATCAAAACACCTGTATGAGGCAGTCCAGCAGGATACGTGCTAGCCACATGCCACCGCCGGAAGGAGACCATGCTAATCAATTGTACCAGAACATTCTAACAACTTCATCGTCCTATGAAGCGGAAATGAACAGAGCCATCCGGCCGGGGAATACGAATTACGCGTTGGATAACCTTAGCCAGGGGCAGCACGCGAGGCTGCTTGGCAAGGGGGCAGATATCATGGAGGGTGACAGCCCCACAAGACCATTAATTACATGGCATGTAATAATAGTTCGACCGTTCTAATAGGTACCAGTGGTATAAACTAGGTACTTCACATCGAACTTAATCCACCAAAATGCTCTATCTTTTCGCCAACGTCAACTTCAAGCCCGGCCAATATAACAACGTCAGTCTCCCCCAAATCTATTGCAGTATTCGAGACCTAACTGACATCCAACCTCAGTGGCAAGCAGCATACGACAAGCGCGAAGTAAGCTAACATATCACTGTCAGAAAGCACATGGACATAATATATTCTAATCGGTACAGTATTTCATTGTTCCATGACATTATATGTGGCACTTGAGCGCTTATGTATACTATTTCATCCTATCGAGCAGGACACACTACTAGATCCAAAAGACAATTCACTTCCGGCACAAAATCTCACCATGCAGCAATCCAAACCAGCCTTGCTCCGCATCCACAAACTCCTTCCATCCATCGGAGATGCTCTCTAACTCCTCCTTCGTCGCAAATCCATCTTCGATGGCCGTTTTCGCAAACCCAGAAGATCTCGCTCTTGCGCCCATCGATCCACCCCAGTATTGTCTCTCCTCGGGGGTACTAAAGCACCATGAGCCAGTGCTCTTCTGGATTTTAGACTGCTCGAATCCGGCCTTCTCGGCCCAAACATGAATAGCCCGTCCCGGGTGTGGGTTACCCCCTTTAGCTTTTGCCATTCGCGTGGTGATGTCAAGCCATGCCTCAATGCCCTTGTTTTCGGGATACCAAGTCATAACTGAAGATTCCCGTGCTGCGACGAGTCCACCGGGTTTGACGACGCGCCGCATTTCCTGCAATGCTTTGACTGGGTCTGCAATATGTTGCAGTACCTGATGGACATGCACGATATCGAAAGTGTCATCGGGAAAATCGAGGGAGTGGATATCCCCCACACGGAATTCAATGTTTGTCACCCCTTTTGAGGATGCTAACTCGCGGGCTTGATCCAGTGGGTCAGGCACATATTCGATTCCAGTGACATGACCCTGGGGTGCACGGCTTGCGAAGTCAACGCTGATTGAGCCGGGACCGCAGCCGATATCGAGGATCTTGGAGGTTGGCGTTATGTGTGGGAGAAGGTAGGCAGTGGAATTGGACGCAGTGCGCCAATTATGAGTCTGAAGGACAGAGGTTGAGTGATCGGTTGTATAGACTCCCATAGTGGTAGTAGTTGTTGCTGTTGTATTATTAGATTGACTGACTTGATTTACTATTTAGATAGTTGAATGTTAAAGGTAGAACTTTAGGAGGGTTTATATAGCAGGCAAGCTCGGGAGGGGCCTGGTGGAGAACTGGGAACTCCGTGACGGAATTCCGAGAGTGGCGTGCGGCCTCGGGATTGCCTCGTCAAATAATCAACAACCATGGATATGGGCACAGACTCCGAATATCGTCATCCCGAACTCGTCCGCCGACTGCACCCATCGCTCAATTCTCTCCCTGCGCTCGGTTGAGCCCGTTTCCGATGACCTCCATAATTCCGAGATCTCCAGAATCCCATCCTCCCACTGTAAGAGATATCTATCGTATTCTCTGCTCCACGTTTCTCGGTCTTTGGCTTCCCATAATGCCTTATTGCCCGGTGCATACACTCCTCTCATCTCATCTGCCACAAAATTTGGAAGTAGCCTGTCTGCATTGTACACACTGCTAAACAGGTACATAGTGAAGATCGCGCGTCGCTTTGCGGCTACCACAATCCAAGACTCCCATGTCGGTCGGGCGTGGGCTAGCTCTGCGGCGCAGAAGAGGCCATTCCGGGCGGTCCGGAAAGCCATCTCCATGAGGGTGATCATCATCTTATCATTGACAAAGGACGAACCACTTCGAGGGGAGAAGTATAACATCAATGTGTATAGTAAGTAGGCTTGGAAGGCCGATAGGAGCTCGTAGTCATGCTCAGGATGCTGGTGCTATTAGCTTCCTAAATGTCACAACGAACGTTACAGCATGGAAACGTACCTCTTCAGCCAGTCTTTCCAGTTCCTTTTCTAGCGTACTCATTACCATCATCTCACTTCCTGGTACCGCCTGTTCCCACATCCGTACGAGACTGTAACAGTTTGCAAGTGATCGAGGCAATTCTTTCCCTTCAATCTGGGAGCGATGGATGATGGGAGGGACATCCTTGTCTTTCAGCATGCTCCGCGGATAAGTGCTCAATATCCGCGAAATGTACTGCAACGTGAAAGGGTGGTAAACTTTGGGTATCTCATCTTGCCCCAGGGGCGGCAGAATATATGGTCTCAACCAGCGATCCCGGATATCCCCCGCATTAGCACTGGGTACTAAATCAACTGTTCGAAAATCAAGTCCATCTCCATCCCTCAAGCCACTGGTGACGGCGACTTGTCTCCTTACCTGAAAGTGACTAGACGGACTCCAGGCCGTACTCGAGGGAGTACTTGCCAAGGGCAGAGGAATAGGCATAGCAGATATTGAATCAAAACGAGGTGTTGAATCTATTGCCGAGCCGGTATATGCAGCTCCAGCGTCTTCTGTAAAACCCCCTTCTCCAGGAGGAGAGTCTCGTGCCAACGCCGAGGCAGAATATTCGCAGACACGACCCGTCGATCTGCAGCGCGAACAGGCAGGTTTTTCGAGACTGCATCGAACTTTTGATTTCGTGCAGCTGTTGCAAGCCTTTTTGCGTGGAGGACGCTGCTTGGGGTGGTGACTTTCTGATATGCGCATTGTTTGCGATACAGTTGGTAAGCCTTGGGAATGAAGTTGTCCTCGGGTAGGTTCGGAATTCCGATATTACGGGTGGGTGGCATGGCAAGTCTACGGGTGGGTCTACGGACCTCGTATGTAATTCTTATATAAGCTTCAGTATTTACGGGGGTATACTGACATTGTACTATGGGTGTGAAAAAAGGGGGTTATGTTAAGGTAATACTTCAAGGACTTTATGTAGAAACGCTACTGTAGCTGTTGAATAGTACACCCGAGTCAATTAATCTAACAAATGTTATAGCTGAGATAGGGCCAATTCAAAAGCTATGGATCAAACTTCGAAAGAAATAACATAGGACGCGACGATCTGCAAGAGCGAGGCTGTAGACACCTCGTACCCTATAAACGGTTGGGCCAAGCGTGGTGGCTCAGACAAGGCTGAGACTTGTTGTGAGATGGATTCTTTGGACTTGAAGCCTTTGATTCATTCTTTCAATCAGTTGTTCTGGACTCTAGGCTCTTTATGCCATCTCTCCAACATGACCATCCAAAGTTGCCCCTCTGGGGGAAATCTATGGCAAAAAGCCCCTGGTGCGGTCGATTCTGAGACCAAACAAGCCTAGCCGGTATTATCAGTGACCATAAAGGCGATATAATAACTGAAATCCTGGAGGAAACAGAAAAAAAGAAGAAGCTTTGCCTCAAGAAGCGCTGGAAGGTCGAGTTTCGAGGCAAAACCATCATCCTTCGCGACTTGCTTGACAAGATCATTGAGTGGGCTAGACAGTTCACAGCTATCGTCGATGTCGCTGTCCAATATGACCCGACTAGCGCTTCACTTCTATGGGCAGGTATAAGATTCCTGTTACATGTGGCTGTAAGTGACCGCGAATGTTTCGAATCGACAGTGTACGGCCTGGAATCAGTATCTCTGTTGATCGCTCGCTATGTAGTGTTTGAAGTTCTCTATCTGCAGAAAGGCTCAATCGTCGAGGCGGAGTTGGAACGCGGGCTTATCAATCTGTATAACCGTATTTTGACTTTCCTAGCCAATGGAATCCGGTATCCTAGCCAGTCTATACCAGTCTGTATGGTGAAAAGCATTTTCCAATCTTCTCAGAATGAGGAAGTTGATCAGATAACCAAGTCGGATGAAGAAGCCCTCAAGTTGGCCCGGATGGTGGATTCACAAGCACAGCAGCAGGTATTACTCCAAGTCAGAGAAATTCGCAGTATTGTCAAAACGCTCCAGAGCCCAGTGCACCGGCTAGTAGATGAATCGATGATATATGTAAAGACAATAGAAGAAGGCAAATCTGTCAAAATCTTGCAGTGGCTATCTTCGGTGCCTTATACCCAGCACCAAAAGCGATATTCTGATGGCAGACTACCGAACTCTTCTGAGTGGATCTTTCGTCATCCGGAGTATATTACATGGAAAGGCTCAAGTTCTTTGTCGATACTGCTTCTCCATGGGATTTCCGGATCAGGAAAAACACATCTTGTCACTGCCGTGATCGATGTGTTCCTCACTGAGCATTTACTCAACTCTCTCAGTGTTCCGATTGCCTACGTTTAATGTGGTGATAGCCTGCTCGGCAGAAGCTGGGCCGATCCAGATGAGCTGATGCGATCTTTAACCCGACAATTTGTAATTGTGGACAAGGAAAAGCTCAAGATATATGAGTCTGTTTCTCTTGAGTATGAGCGCAGAGAAGCAGAATCCAAGCTGGATGGCTTTGATATACCCAGGCTCCAGTGCAGTGAATGTGCTGATTTAATTCTCGGGATTCTCGGAGCAAATCCCGCAGTCATCATAGTAGATGGAGTAGATGAGATTGAAGAACATCGACGACACGAATTTCTTAGTGCCAAAGATACGAGGGCGAGCTTCACGCTGCGGTGGAAGCTGGTCAGGATGAAGTTATCGATTTATTCCTCTCCAGAGGCTATTCTTTCCCCGAAGACATGAACTGCATCGCCGCCATGCTTGTGGAACCTGTCCCAGTCGAAGAAAATGTACTAGCAAGATCTCAAGGATGAATATCCAATAATCTCAGAGCAAGGCGAACGACTTCCCACCAGCAGCTCTTGTCTCCGAGTTTGAAGATATCCTAAAGGATATGGAAAGTAATTTTGTCTCTCGGTTGGATATTCCACCAGCTGTCACCTTGAAAAAGGCTGAATGCTATGCACTGGAGGCAGCAGCGTCGAGAGGATGCTCCAGGACAGTTAAGAGGATACTAGCTAAAGACAAACAGCTAGGCCTTCAAACATTCCATTTGGGTCAAGCGCTCTGGGTGTCGTCCAAGTAATGGCTACACAAGCTTGGTTGAAGCCATAATATCTACAGAGACTGACCTCCGCCCATTTATTCGAGAATTTCCGGAGCGTACAGCGAGACATGGAGACTATTGAAATACTGTTTAGAAACGAAGAGCATTGAGGTACTCTGAGCAGAATCCCGAGCAAAATTGCTTACGTCAAGTGGCCAAATATAGATCTTAAGGAAAGAACATACTGCAGAGAGCCTCAGCCGGTAGGTACTTCGCTATCTGTCACTTCCAGGAGATCACTAACAGTAGCCAGTTTGAATGTAAGTTTGGCTCGAAATACACTTTTCCCTGGTCTTGCCTGGCTGTCAGAGTGATCAACTACCAAGTGTACTGCGCAGTTTACACCTAGCAGTTGCATCTGAGATAAAAGGCCTGCGCAAAGTGGTATTGGAAAGAGACTGGCAAATTCGACAGCATCCGCATAGTTGAGTTTTTTCTCGGCAAGGACCCGGCATTGCAACCCAGGGCTCGAAACTCTCAATGGCCCTGTTTTCTACCAGGGATGTCACCGGGGATATACTGGCTGAAGTCTACGATGCATGCTTCAAAGAAGCAATCACTGGTGACCATAAGGACGTCATTCAAAGTATTTGGTCGATAAAGGAACAGTTAGCTGCAGTTAGGGAACATTGGAGACGTCCTGTGTGCACGTTGCATCCACAAGGGACCTTCCTATCCTAATACCCCTAGAATCAAAGCTCCAGGACCTTCCACACATATTTCGCTACTCTAGCCCAAACCCTCAATGTTGCGTGCACAACAGATCAGAATGACACAGTTGAATAGCTGATCCGCGCTGGCGCAGATGTAAATACACTAGTCGACAGTATACCCGAGTTTGAGTCTGAACAACAGGATTAGAGATTGCGAAGGCGCAGGAGAAGACACGCTGAAGGTATATGGCCGAGAAATACAATACAGGCATGTCTGCATATTCTGGACGAGGATGAATTCGATCATTGTGTGACTACAAGCAGAAGGCAAAGCCCCAGAGAGACAATTCTCAAGGCAAGAATCAGTAATATACCTACTCTTAGAGGATGGTGCGGATGTTAATGAAGCTGGAGGTTTTATCAAGACGCCTTTAAATATCGCGGTGGAGTATTGCAGAAACCGATACAAAGGAACTAAAAACAAAGGAATAGCGGCTGAGTCACCTGGCTTGCCCTGTTGGGAAACACGCAGAGAGTCACGAGTCTAGCCGTCTAGATAACACGAGTGAAAAGGCGCAGCTCCTTGGTTTTGTTATATTTGAGCCAATATACAAATGTGGATCCAGCTCAGCTACTCATAACCACTGGAGTGAATTCATAATCCGAGATTAATTTCCACCTTAGCATCGGTCCATCACTGTAGTTACTCTAATACTATAGCCTAGAGCGCTACTTAGTACTAGTACTCCATACTCTCATAATCGATAGTGCAAGGCGGCAAATGGCGGCAGTTTCTAGTTCGGGGAAAGCGCAGCCTCACGATATGCAGGATAGCCTGAGGCACCCCCGCGTCACTAGTCTATGTTTGACTGCTGTTGAAAGAATGATGAGAGCAACCTTGCCAATAACCTTGTCGAGACGAACGTCGACACAAATAAATCAATCGCTAAAATGTCTTGTACTGCGCCCCATTCCCAAACACCGCCTCCCTACGTCGCAGAGCACTAGAGAGCTCAACCAAGGGTGTAGCCCACAGAATCGCACGAGGAACATCCAGTATGCCTTCGACCCAGTCAACACTGCGACAGCGAAACGACCATCCAATCCATTCTTCTTCCTACGCCCTGAAAACATTGAGCTCCCCGTATTCCAACATGCGAACTGCCTCGTTCCATCCAGCCTCGGCGTCCCATGGCCCACCTCCTTCCCCTCCTCCTTGCAGTCGAAATACTACGCGGAAGTGGAGGAGACGACAAGGGCATATACTCAAGCACTTCAAGCCCAACGACCGGAAGGTTATCAAGAGGAATATATCGAGGCGACTATCGACGAGGCGGTCTCACTGCTAGTAAATGTGGCGCCGATGGGCAACTTGACAAGGATGAAGGTCCTCACAAAGCTCTACGTGTTCTTCTTTATGAGTGATGGTGATTGAACGTGTGAATACTGTCTGGTTGTTCTAACTAAACTCTGGATAGATCTGGTTGATTCCGGGAATGTATGCTCTGTCCATACCGATGCGCGTTGTTGAAGCGGAACGTTGGCCTAATGATCCTACAGCGAGTGACGATAATCCCCAGTCATGTTGAGGGGAATGAGGAGCAGGAATCGGAACATACAGTCTACAACATGCTAGCGAAAGAGATCCTCTCAGAAAATTTTGTCCAGGGGAAGCGATTGCTGGAAAGTGTCATATCCTGGATATCAACAACACAACGTACGCCCCCTGAGACGTTTCCGGCCTTGGAGGATTATATGGCATACCGAGCAGGTGATGTGGGGGCAGAGTACGTCCGACCACTGATCTACGACGAGTGACACTGACCCTCCCAGTGCTGTTTTTTACAGTATGGAATTCGCTTGTGACATTACCTTGTCTGACACTGATGTCGAAGCCGTCGCGCATCTCAGATCACTCTGTGAGAAGCACTTCTTACTAACCAATGACCTGTACTCCTATGCTAAAGAAGCAATCGCTGAAAAGGAGCATAGTGTCTCTGTTCTCAACGTCATTCGAGTCGTTCAGGGCCTGATGAATACCTCCGAAGATTCGGCAAAAGTGATGGTTCGCCAAGTTATCTGGGATGTAGAGCGCCAGATGAACGAGGAATACGAACGCCTGCTTCAGGATGCGCCAAAGTCGCAGTTAACATATGCCCAGGGGCTAATAGTATCCGTTGCAGGGAACATGTTCTTCTCGGCCACCTGTGCTCGCTACGCGCGAGTCGTTGAGGGGTCGAGATTGCCTGCATAGATCCGTTGTAGACGTCATTGCATATAAATAAACCCTCCTTTGACAATTCATACTATAGAGTTATATATCATCTCATGGCATCAAGTCAATTCAAGTAGTGTATTAATTATCACAAACCCAAGCACCTCAAACGGCCATTCTATGCAAATAGGTATACCCGAGAAAAGCAAAAAGAGAAAGGGACAGAAGGGAGAGTCTAAAACCTATGAATCTGCCCCTTCTCAAACCCCAGTCTGTCCAAAATCCCCCTCTTCCCGACCAACGACTCCTCCATAGCAGGCGGCCCACAAACAAACACCTTCGCACCCTCCCCCTTCCCATCAACAACCCCCCTCAAAAGCTCCTCAGTAACATACCCCTTCCTCAATCCCTCCTTCTCCCCCTCCAACCGACTAACCGTATAAACATATTCGAACCTCCCAGGAAACCGCTTCTTATACTCTTCCAGCTCCTCCCTGAGCAGCAAATCCTGCTCACCATTCACCCCGAAGACAAGCTTAACCTTCGTCTTATCATTCGGGTTATCCAAAATCCCCCGAATAAGTTGGTAGATGGGGGTGATACCGGCTCCGCCAGCTATAGCGTAGATCTGGGGGTGTTGGTTCGGAACCCAAGAGAAGCCCTTCAGGGCTGTGAGGAAAGTGAGGGTGTCCCCCGGAACGAGAGAGTGAATGTGGGTGCTTGCTTTGCCGTTGGGGTATTGTTTTACCATTAGCTCTAGGATTCCTTGTTGGTCTGGTTTTGGTTTTAATTAGCTGTTGTATAATCTAGTATGGATGTGGATGCAGGTGGAATCACTCACTCAGATCACTGATTGGTGTATACGGTCTGATGACAGGTAACCATCGTCCAGTTGGTCGTGAAAATGTAAGCAGTGCCGCTGTTATATATTAGCGATAATCACATAATCTCTCTTCCCAATTCTTGGAAAAAAGAAACATACAAGTCAACGACAATCCGCTCCTAGCATTCTTATCCGGAAACTCAAACACAAGCCGCTTCGTATTATGATTCACGGCCTTAACGCTCTGCACGCGCAAAGTCGTAAACCCGAACTTGGAAAACATAACAGGCGACTCGTCTGATTCCGCGTGAGCCTGAGGAAGAAAATAAGAGCGAGCGCAATAGGCCCCGATGCCGAAGACAGCGAGCGCGGAGAAGAGTGTAGTCTTTGTCGCTAGGGATGGGGGAAGGCGTCTGATTTGAGCCATTCTCTTGATAAGTACTGTGGATTAAGTTATCGGAGATGTACCGCAGAAACACTCAAATATAGGCCAAGGTATATATAGTAGCACAGGCGTCTCTTTATATGCGATGTCTCTACGCAATCCATATCGGACACTGCAGTCCCCGAACACCGACCTGTTACACGAACCGAATTGTCCATCGGAACTACTCCGTACGACACGGGATAATATGCATCTATATGGGCAATGAGGTTTCTTGCGTGCGTGTCTTATGGGCTCAACCCGGCGTTCGGTAGTCGTTAGGGCCGATGATGGAGATCGGTCGCTGCGGTCTTTCTCGGGTTTTGTCGGGTTTTGGGAATGGATGTAAGTATAGCTTACCTTGGAAATGCAATTGTGGCACCACGCCTCGTCTATTCTCTTTTTTAGATATATTAAGTCATAAGCAGCAGCTTAAGGGAGGCAATGGGCTAATAATATAGAATATTTTTTAGTTATCCGTCTCTATAAAGTGTAAAAATATACGACGGCGTCCGTTGCATGGATGTCGGGATAAGCTCTAGAGTCCTAAGCTTATTGCTGATGAATGCATTCATCCTTAGCCTAGGTGTAATCTATGCATCTGTTTTAGCGGATTAAGGTGTAGAACAAGACAAAACCCATGAGTGAGTGGTCTGATACGATACCTGGTAATGATATATATATCTTGGCCGTGACCGTCTAATCATGGCTAATAACGGCATATCTACACTTCTTTCTATGAGACTAGTTAGGTATTCAGTTCCCAAACTAATACAGTCCTATGATCTTCTTGACAGAGAAATGAATCCCAAGAGCAAGTTGTCTCCATCAGTTAGGGCCCAAAGGGTCCTGTGAGATGGCCGGAAGATAGCAGCAAATGCCAAGGCTTCGGCTGCCAAAGACGCTAGATGAAAGCGGTTAGTTCCCACATCATGGACTAGTATAAATTCTTCCCGTCCGCCGCGAGTTTTCCAATGTTTTCCTCTTTCTTGTTTTACCCGGCAAAAGGGAACACCACCTGCTTTAATGCAAGCAGTTGTTCTACCCTACAATCGCAACCTGATACATACAATGCCGAACTCGTAGACTGGTCGCTAGTGATCCAGATCATCATTTCTTCTCAGGGTATTAAACCCCAGCCGCGACAAGTCCCTCATGGCCAATCATCCATGTGCGAGCGTCGTTAGCTGTCTGCCTCTAAATACCCAAAGCAATGGATAACAATAAGCATGTTGGCGTTTCCTACGAGCGACTCGCATTGTCTCTCGATGATCTTGTCGTGCGTCAGCATGAAAGTCGTTATCCTACATCCTTAAACTACATTGTAAACTTGGTAGAGAATACTGGCGCTGGAAGCCAACTTGGACACGAGATATTGTGCTCTGGTGACCAAGACCGGCATCTCTGCGGACCTGCATTTGCAAAGTCACTATCTATTCTTCCAGAACGCGTTTGTTCTATGAACATAATGCCAGGGGATCAGATTAATGGACCAGAGAAGACCGACCGTTTGTAGCTCTCTTGGTTATTCCAATAGGTGGTGTCATGCTGCACCTCTGGTCCGGTGGCTCCAAACTCCCATCCAAGTTTGATCTTCGTCCACTGCATGAGATGGCTTGCAATTTTCAAATGTCCAAAATCCGTTGGATGGCCGCCCGGTGAGATGTCGTTGTGTTGCAGAATGCCCTTTGTGTCGAAATAATGAACGTATCCATCCTTTTCGAAGTGCTGGTATACGTTCTGTACTTCGGACTCATAGAACGGTTTCTGCACCCAGGTTGAGCCGGACTTGACGAAATTACCCCAAAGTGACTATTGAAATCAGCATAAACCGATTGACACGTGAGAAGAATGGCATACCATGAGGACAATCTGCGCATCAGGCCAGACGCTATGCACATTCTCCACCATTTTAACGTAGCTCTGGTAGTAGTCGTCGCCGGGGATATCGTTTCCGGTCCTACCGTCGTTCGTGCCCAGGTTGATGATTACCAGGTCGGCCACCCGATGAGCGGTGAAATTCCACGATTCAGGTTTATCACCGAAAGCTGCATTCGCGCGGTCGCCTACGTCTGAGGCACGGGACCATTGGTACGTCTGGGATGGTCAATAACAATTGTTTTGTGGGGAAGGAGAGGTATACCATGCCGCGAGCATCGCCACCATAACATTGCTTGTCTACCAAGCATATTCCGGGGTAGGCCTGCGCTAGTTAGAATGACGATATCATGTAAAATTAGAGGCGCACATACAGTAATTGTATATTCAGCATTGCCCAAACCAGCCGCGAAGTTGAAACCCCACGAGGCGAGACCCTCGTAAGTAGCGTACTGCCCTGATGCGAGCCTTCAATGCGATGAAGTGAGCAAAGTCTACTAGCCTTGTCCAGAGGGTGCAAGACAACTCACGAATCTCCAATGATTTCCACCGTCCTATTGAACTCTGTGGCTTTTACCAACCGCGCATCCGAAGCAATGGAGACGCCATCAATTTGGACTGTGTGGATGGTCAGTAACGAACATCAAGTCAGACAGGTGAAACTTATCCATAGCCCCAATTTGTGACTAACTCGGTTAGTATTTGTATGTATTGTATAACGTCCCATCCTATTCACATACCTCGCATTTCAAATATCTTGTCATCCGCATACTCTGTTTCATTCAGTGCCGATGATCCAGGCTTGACAAACTGATACGCCGAATTGGCCGTAACGTTCGAAAATTCCCAGTCAAGCCCACCAATCCTATTGGAGCAATCAGAAACAGTCTCATAGACAACCCAGACGAGCGTACCGATAAGCAACAAGTACATTCTTAGACGTCTTTTCTCCAAAGCTCATTGCAAGCTACCAAGAATGTCAGCCACCAATAAAACTCAACTCCAAGCTGTAGGAGCTCCCTACCTTATCGCCCGTAAACCCAAACTTAACACCAGGAACACTGCAGCAATTAGCTATCGTAAAGTGGGGAAGAATGGCCAAAACATACGACCACCCTAACAAAGACAATTAGCATCAAATTCTGAACATGACCCAATCTATCACTCACAGGAAGTATAAGTACTATCCCACCGCCCCTTGTACGAGATCTCCGACGCGTCGGCCCCGTAACTCTTCCAAGAACCATCAACAGACACCTCCTCAGCCTGCCCAGGATAAGGATTCAGCCTCTCCTGCCCATTCTCCAAGATCGTCGCAGCGGCCTGGAACGCCCAAGCCAAGGATAACAGCGCAAACCGCATGCTAAACACCAAGATGCAATCGTGCCTCTCAGATCAAACACCCACAGAAGAATCAAATAACCAAAATACACCAGCTAACGAAATCATCAGAATTTAAATCCAGACTAGCGTCATGCAAGGGAACGCACTCCTTTCTCTATACCATTTGCGCAGAAAATCTGATTTCATTTGGTGGCTGGGATGACATGTACTATGTTTATTAGAGGTTCATTCAGCTGTGCGATGGCTCGCTGGCTTCCATTTTTGAGCAGCGTAGCTGATTAAATACCGAGTTGGGTGGTCAATCACTTCCTTTCCGGGCGTTTATTGCACAGAGGAGCGAAGCCGAAGCAAGCAATAAAGGTACGTACTCTGGAGTCCTTAAGCAAACCCCACGACAATGATATGATTGGTCAGCTCACCATCTCTCCGTCCAATCGAGGAAGCTGCGCGAAAGGATCTGGATTTTGATTGGACAAGGATTTAAGAGTGACTCCTTCATCTTACATAATCAACTCGAAGACAAATTCAGACAATCTAGGAAGTGCAATCAATTTAGTCCATTCAATTCAAGCAATCTAGGTAGTGCAATCGATTTAGGCCATTCAGGTAATTTTGGTAATGTAATTCGAGGTTATGTGATTCCGCTGCGCATGTCTTGCTAGCACTTGAGCCGGAACCCCCTAGTTTGTTTTTGCAGTGGGCCATGAAGTAATAGATCGCACGTTGGGGACCATGAGTGGGCTGGTGGTTCTGCTTTGCGTTCAATGTCGATCAGGGGTTTGTCTTAGGTTTTAGCAATCTGGAATATGATCTGATCTCAATAGGAGCAAAGGATGGAGAGTTACTGCTTCCTTTCGATTGTCACGAGCGACCACGTGACGTCATGGAAGTATGCTCCCGATTGGGAATTTAGGAGTGACTACGCTGTGGAGACTCGGATGATCATAACTATACGTATAGGGTAGTCCTTGGGAATGCCTTGGGAATGTGCTCCATGAATATATTCTGAGAAATTCTGCAGTCATATGTGAATACTGCTATATTGCAGAAATTTTTCACTTGTTGTTCAGCTACCCAACTTACCTTATGTAGTTCCATTCACGTATCGGGATCATCCTATGTGGTTAGTATTACTGGTACTGGGAAATATGCCGGCGCTGGAATGAATGTACTGATTCAGTAGAGCAGTTAATGAGATGACGTCTCTCATGCACTGAAGGAACCACTGACAAGCGGCTGGATTGAATACAGGATGCCTTTATAACCAATTCTTGTTCTCTCCCCCTCCCTCCTTTCTTTCTTTCTTTCTATCTATCTTTCCTTTTTGCTTCAAGAACTCATCGAGTCAGGCTTTCGAATCCCAACCCATCAAGATAAAAATCAACTGATATGTGAACAATGAATAGACCCAATCATGTATCACTTGCCCAACTCCGCGAGGCAATCCTTGTAACTAGATATGGGGCGCAGCCACCTCTCGACGAGGAGTATTCTGCAAGCCGCGACCAGAGCGCGTTTCTGCTGTTCGTTGGATACATTTCTGGTGGATTGAGTCAAAATTCAATCATAACGAGACCATAGTTAGTCTTTACAAGGCAAAATCACTCATCACCCGGGACGTAATCCTCATGAGACTTTGAGTGATAGCCTAGGCGTGGGCTTTAGATATATACGGATGAAAGTGGACGTAGACGCGTCGATATAACTATCGAGTATATTGCAAGTGCCTTGGGGCAAACCCGGAATTGGAATATGTTTATGCTCTCACACCATTTGGTACGATGTGCCGTGCATGGTGGTGCTATAAAGACGATGATCACCTTCAGCCTTTATTCGGTACCTATGTGTTGGCAGACCGTAGCCAGTATAATGAGCTACACTCTTCATATGTCCACCTAATCAGTCAGACCGCACAAACAATGAGAGCTGTACCTACGTGCAGATCTTCCAGATCCTAAAAGAACATATCGGCGCAGGATTATGTTCAGGGGAAATCTTTGGTCCACAGATGTTTCCCGGACGGAACCCAGCCCCAGAGTTCAGTAGATGGACGATCACCTAATCGAATGATGTTAGTTTCTTCGGAACCTAAAACATACTGCCAGAATAACGGAAAACCAGGCAACAGTCCCACGAAGCGTCGAAAGACGGCACCTGACAACATCGCAGAATGCCTCCTTTGCTGTACATGGTAAGGCCACTGATGCCACTTCTATGCCAAACTTCCGCGACACCCTTCGCTCTGTTGTTGGAGATATTCGTCTCATACTCGTACGACCTATCATGCTTTTGCACCTCTCAATTTGGAATATGATAGTAGAGACCATGCATACATAAGGAAACAACCCCTTATACACGTTCATCCATGTTCATCCCCACTGTACACAAAACTGACCTCTGAGAGGAATCATTTAGTTGTTGGGCTGTCACTTAGTGCCTTCCGGTTAACTCAAGTTGCTGAGTCTAGCACCTATCGCCTTTGAAGGGCATATCTGTCGGCGCGCCTAAGCCAGGATGCCTTTTATGTGTTCCTACGCGTCTATTAGCCCAGGAATAAAAGGTCTATGTCGTGAATCTCTATCTAGATTAGCATTCCTTAGCCGCTATATGTTTCACTATATATACAGCTTAGTATCTTAGTATTGGTTTACTCTAGTCGGCAATCGCAGGGACTTTGAATTAAAACCATAATGGCATAGTGAGATTACCCTATTCTAGTGCAGACTATAAAACTATGCCATATAAGCTTAGTATCTTGAAGTATGGATATTTGCGTTTTTACATACATATAACATGCCTGGGAATTTTTATGCCAAGTTGAATCTACTCATCTACCCTCGTAGTCGGCGTCTTCCGATCCGCATCCCTTGACCGCTCTTCATCATTCTTCAATGAGCCACCCGCAACTACCTCGGCATCTATGGCATTCTGAAAAGCCACACGTTTCGGCAATAAGTATCGTACATCGATGAAGCGCAGAATACAAGTCATGACGATGACGAGAACCAACAACGCAAGAGCACTTTGCCAACCGTACCGATAATACGGGGCCTGAGAGGCCGGCCAGACCAGGACCTGTGACCAGGCCGAAATCGCATAGTATCCGGCGACTGCAACACCGACGACGAGAGTGCGCGCTTCCGGGTCTTGCGGGATAAGGTCAGCAAGCCAGGCGAAGATAAGCGGCGCGGTACCGAGACAGGTGTGTGCGATGAAATACGACGCGTATGCGGCGGATACGTCGACCGATGTAGGATGTCGCGTCCAGATGCTCATGATGATACATGGGATTATTCCGATGATACCTTGCAGGACGATGAGTGTCCATCTCGTTTCGAGGAAGTCTGAGAGTAACGCCCACACCCATACGAAGACCACGTTGATGGCTGAACCGCCGATGGGGATCGCGTTCACCTGGGATACACTCCATCTTGGACTGCCATCTGGTCTTTTGAGAGCTTTCAGGAAGAGCGAAAAATAGACGTAGCCGTAAGTTCCCAGAACGGTTGCGATATATAACACCGCGATGAAGTAGACCACCCAGCCAGAAAATGTGCGCTTGACACCAGCCCAAGTCATCCTCTTCGGCTCGGCGCGGCCGTTGCGCGCTAGTCGCTCCATGGAGAGTTCGGCGTGTACTTTCTTAAACCAGAATGCACGGGGGTTTGGCTTGTTTGGCAGATCAGGAATCATGAAGAACCCTAAAAGTCCCCACACCACAGTGATAATGGCGTTGATAACGAACAGCCACCGCCAACCCGCTAGACCATGATGTCCCTCCATGGTGTTGGTGATGGCAGTTTGTAAAGCACCGGACATCATCTGTCCCGCCGCCTGACACGATTGATAGAATCCCATGCGTTTCGCTAGCTCGGTGGGGGTGTACCAGTACACTATAACCTGTTGGTCTTGGCTTATAATTGTATGGTGCAGATATCAGGAAAAACGGAAATGGCTTGACCTACTAAATAAGGTCATCATTCCAGGCCACGCGCTACTTTCACAGAGACCGAGAAATACTCGCAGAACGTATATCTGCTTTGCACTGTTACACATAGCGATTAGTCCGGTTAAAACGCCCCAGGCGATTTCCAGACCAGGTAACCAGAAACTGGGTCGGACGTAGGTCAGAATGATTTGAGAGGGGATGAGCATGACGCAGTAGGCGGCATTGAAGTACGTTGTGAAGCTGAAGAAGTTAGCGATATGCTCAAGTGTCGTGATAGCTTCTTTTACACACAGATTCAGCTCGTTCCCGAGCAGATTCAGGTCTTCTTTCATGCCGGACACGTAGGCATTGTTGATGTTCTGTTGGTCTAAATATTTGATAACTGTGTACGTTATTAACCCTGGGATATTATAGAATTTCTATCTGCATTGCTTACCTTGAGAAAGACAGCCAAAAGTCAACAGAAATATGTCCAGCCGTCGAACAAGCGCTTTCTCATCTGGGGAGCGAACATGATGCCTTGCCAACGCCGTGCGACGAAACTTAAAGGACACCATTGCTATGCTCGAAGAAACAAAAATCGACAAAAGAAACAACAATCACTTCCGAAAGGAATCTTCACCAATTTATTGCAGTCTATCTTCACGATCCACGTGGTGCATTTGGGATACGAAGCTCCACCAAGACCACTCACATCAATGCCGATCCCCTTGCATGAGCAAATGCCGTTTTCGGACGTGTGACCTTAAGGAAGAATCAAAAGATTAAGCGTGATAAGAGACGGCGATGACCACCAATCGTGACGCTGTTCGCCACATACCCCGTAATATCTCGGCAGGATTCCATGGCCAAGACTACTGATAACTGGGACTGCTTGAAATACCCCGCTCAATGAGGGCTATCGGCGTGCACGGTTCACATTGAAGGTCCAAGCGATAGCCGACCCGATCAGCGAACTCTCAAGGTTAATCCCAACTTTAACAAGTATTTGAGATGATGACAAGACTCCTGTAGTAATTGATCATTCGTCGCGGCCGTTATCGCAGTATACAATATCTTCTAAGTTTCTAGTTTATATCCACCAAGCTACCACATAAGAAACCACCCTTGGTAAAGCATTAGTATCTCAAGCTTCGCAAAGCTTCGCACAGCCTTGGCACTATTTTTATTTACCTTTTGTTTACATTCACACAACCATGTCCTCCTCATCTCGAGATGGGTCCAGCAGAAGTTTGCCTAACAAAACCCCCTGTCTCAGTTTCTGGCAGCGAACAACCCGTTCATTTCCCCTGCTACATGCGAATCGAAACACAGCTGTTCCTTCTAGGTCCAAGTACGTAGTTATTGGCTCTGGGATCTCCGGTGGCCTCGCAGCATTCGAACTTATCGAGGCTGGTGTCAAAGGGGAGGATATCATAATTCTCGAGGCGCGAGAGGCAGCAAGTGGTGCAAGCTCGCGAAATGCAGGACACGTACGACCAGGTACGCATCTATATTGCGATGTCATTTTAACCTTTCCATTTTTAATCGGCCGATAGATGCATTCCGGGGATTCAGTGCATATGCAAAGGTCCATGGCGAGGAACAAGCTCTAAAGATAATTGCCAACGAGCGCCTCGTGCTCGAGAAGGTAGATGAATTTACTAAGAAACAAAGAGTCCAGTGCGACTTCAACCTGACCACAACATTCGACGTATGCATGACGCCCGAGTTTGCAACGTATGAAGCCGAAAGCTTCGAAGCGTACAAAGCTGCAGGAGGCGATGTCTCACACATCAAGTTCTATGAAGGCCAAGAAGCGCAAACAAAGACGAAAGTAAAAGGCGCTGTCGCAGCATATGAGTGGCCTGCTGGATCCAGTCATCCGGCGAAACTCGCGCAGTTTCTCCTCCAGGCGGTTGTAACTCGCGGGGGCAGATTGTTCACGTTCTGCCCAGCTACGGAACTGAGGCGCAATGAATCGGAGCCAGAGCTCTGGGATGTGCATACTCCGCGAGGGGTCGTTACAGCGGAACGGGTAGTCCATTGTACGAACGCTCATGCAGCACTCTTGTTGCCACATCTGGAGCCTTATATCCAGCCGAACCGCGCTCAGGCGCATAGCTTAATCCCCGCTCCCTCGTTCGCAGCCGGGAATTCCCTTCAGGAAACCTTTTCGCTGCGTTATAGTCTACATCACTTCTACTCTTTAATTCAAAGGCAGAATGATGGTACACTCGTCCTGGGTGTGTCGCGATCGAACCCTACCCTCAGTGAGGAAACACGAGCTAGTGTTTATAGCACAGACGATACGAGCTATAACGAGGAGATAGTCCGAGATGCTCTCCAAAGCTTCAACAAGATATTTCCTGAGTTTGATAGCGCGAATGCCGTGCATGGGGAGGGTCTGGATCACGCCTGGACCGGAATCATCGCCATGACGACCGACTCCGTACCGTTCGTTGGGGCAATTGAATCCCTGCCGGGGCAATATATTTGCGCTGGGTTCAATGGGCATGGTAAGTTTTAACTCTACCTATTGTGGGAACGGACTCAGTGCTGAGATATAACAGGAATGGCACGTATATTTACTTGTGCGCCGGGGGTTGCCAAAATCATGCTTGGAAAGGAGTGGGGCGATACAGGTTTGCCTGAATGTTTTAGATTCAATGAAGAGAGGCTCTCCAGACTGTCTACAAATACTGTGGGGTCTGTGTGGTGAATTCATAGATGATTTTGATTGATTGGTGGTCTGCAGGTTGTGGGTTTGAATTTCGAAGATAACGGACTATGAAGACTTTTGTCATTTTAGACCAAATGTGATTGTGGATAGAGAAAATACCTGCATTTGTTTTAATGGCCGGTGCTTGTATTTTGGTCGCGGTGATACCCGTAGTCCTATTTACAAGCCTCCGACATTCAGATGTGCAGCAGATCTCTCGAAAAAGAGACTCGCAGGTTCGGATGATGCCAGAAGACCTACACTGAGCTTTGATCTAACAATATAAAACAGAAACACCCTCCTGTGTGCGAAATATGTGTCATATCTTTCATTTGTCTATACCGCAAGGTCTATACAATTTAAATGTGTCCAATCATTCTTCCAATGGGAATCCATATCCGACCATCAGAGCAGGCTCATCAATACTATGGTGTTGGTAGCTGTACGCAAGTCAGAAAATGTCAACTAGATGGCCAGTAGGGGAGTGAAATTATTTCCTACCTCAAAACACCAACGGCACCAGGTTCGAGCATCATGGAAAGAGGGAACTCCATGGGGTATCCAAGCCAGCGTTTGGTAAAAGCGCGAAGCAAGTGGCCATGAGCAACTAGTAGCACGTCACAATGCTTCTCGCCGTGCATGTTGTCTTTGTGGAGCTCACGGATCTCTTTAATGAGATTGTCAATGCGGTCCGTGACTTCTTGAGGAGACCTAATTAATCCGGTTAAACGTGCTCATGGCAAATATAAAGCCAATTAATCTAGTCGCCTATGGAAAGGAGACTTACTCTCCATCCTCACAGCCATCGCGCCAGATATCCCATTCCTGCTCGGTATCCAGACCGTGCTCTTTGCGCAGGGCCCGGATCTCCTTCGTTACCAGTCCTTCGTAGATACCGTAACCCCACTCAGCCAGTCTGTCAGTCTCACTGACTTTGTTTGTATCTCTCAGTTCCTGCTTAGCAGCATCAGAGAAAGCAATCTCGAAAGTCTGCATCGCCCGCTTGCGAGGACTAATATAGATATGCGCCAGATGGGCCGGGTCAATCAGTTTGCCCGATCCAACAATCATCTTGCCAGAGGCAAGGACTTGCTTCTCCCCATCTTCCGTGAGTTCCAGCTCAGTGACACCGGTGTACCGGCCATTCTTGGACCACTCCGTCTGCCCTGGAATAGGGGTCAGTGTAAGACCCCACGGTGACTATTTCTACTCTATTCGAACATACCGTGTCGGTAGAGGAAGACACGAGGTGTACCAGCGTCCTTGTCAGGCATTGTGCAATTATATCACGAGTAGGTTAATATGTTGCTGGATTGCGAACCAATTCTCGAACAGCTATGGAGGTCAATTGTCCGGCAAAAGTGCGGGTCCGCGGGGTGGGAAAAAAAAAAAAAAAAAAAAACCGCCGCCCCAGTTATTGACCTTCACCGGTGCCCACTACGTATACTAGCCCCATACAACCCGGCCAATCGAGAGGGATATGATAATCTCGTGCACTCCGGTAGGTGTATGGCTCTGTGTTGATAAAATCAAAATTATGTGGTTGGATCTACTGTACCGTAAATTCTTCGCGGGGTACTCAAAAGGACTTCTAGATGTAGGACGTCATTTTTGGCCACCCGTTTATTGTATTAGGGTTATTACTAATTATTGGGACTATCTAGAAACTAAACGGTGGAATTTATATATCTTAAATCTAGAATATAAATCAGAAAACTAAAATCTGTACAAGATAACGTTTAGTGATATATATGTGAACTGTCGCGGTGTCTGCCCAGCGAGCCTGTGAGGTGATCTTAATATCTACAGATTTACAGACACGGATAGATCTACACTGCCAAATCTAAATGAATTATCTAAAACCGCTATTAATATTATCTCTAGCAGCCATATGTACTCTAGATATCAATACGAGCTCTAACTCGTGGCAGGCTTGCGTTGCGGATTCCTCATAGGCGGATGTTTGTATGAATAGACCTCCGCAAGAGTCTTACATGTACTGATCCCAGCTGCAAAATAACGACTTCAACTTGGATCCTCTTCCGCATATAGAATAATTCCTTGTCCTTGCTCCAAGCCAGTGTATATTAAAGGACACAGAACGCAAAGTGGCTGGATTACAAAAGCATGTGTTACTCCTCTACCCTGCAATCACTCACGAGCGCGCAACTTGCAACTCAGTGGTATACCAATTTTGAATGGCCCTAACGTCATAACTCATTGCCACGGTATCAAACACTTTCAGATGCTCCTTGCACGAAGCCCCATCGTTCGATAATCGGCTGACCCATTTACCATGCTTTCTGGCCGCCGCTACGATCTTGTCGATAGCGTCGATAAACTCGGGCTCAGTGCCTTTTGCAGGAACATACCCGAGGAGTGATAGGGCAAGATCGTTCGGCCCAATGAAAATCATATCTTACCGGAAATTAGCGATACCATATTTAGGATATGTAGGGTCAACCACTAACCGACACCAGGAACAGCACAGATCGCGTCAACATTCTCAACCCCGGCTTTCGATTCGATCTGAACACAGGTAATGAGCGTCTCATTCGCCGTTTTCATGTATGTTGGCATGTCGACGCCGTGAGCGATAGCTGGAAACGCGGAGCCTTGCCCTCGAAGTCCCTGGGGAGGGAATTTCGCATGAGAGACAACGGCCCTGGCTTCTTCGGCTGTGTTGATTTGAGGTACAACGATACCGCTTATAGCCATTTTAGTACTGGAATGCTAGGATTGGTATTATCACTTACTGTACACCAGCATCCAAAGCTCTTTTAATCAAATCCGCATGGGTCATTCTAAGACGGACAAGCGGCGATACTCCTAAAGAGGCTATGGCGGCAGTCGAACTGTGCATGGAATCATCGCTTATATGGCCATGCTCACAGTCGATGATGATGCCCTTTACTATTATCAGCTGAGAAATTAAGCTACAGAAAAATGGGGAATGCTTACATCAACACCGGTCTGAGCTACAATTTGGGCTGTGCGAAAGGACGGAAGTCCCAGGAAAGTCATGATAGGTTTGGAGTTGGCTCGCAGAGCATTGAGAAGGCGTAACTGCGGGTTGTGAATCGCGGTTGTTATGGCTGAAGTATATGACATGTTGCGCTTTGCGTGTTCTGTGATGGATCGACCGAAGCCCTAAGACAGGTGTTACGAAGGCGTTTAGAAGAGATAGCGCTGGAATATGAAAAACGAAGCAATCTAGATTAATGATACAGTGGACAGCGGTATTGATCGCAAGAAGAACTTTGGACTTCAATTATAATACTCACATTCACTGTATGGAAGAGCAATCGAGATATCCCGTATTCAATATCGGGGAAATAACTCTATACCGACGGCAAAACCAAAAGATCCCGTTGAAAACCTCTAGCACGGGCCTCGGCAAAAGTCCTCCAAGATGGTGTGTGGACCGTAAATGTGGTCCTTCTAATGCTAAAACTAACTAAATCGGCGGTACTTTTACAGATCATACTGAATTGCATTTTTAAATAGGCTTAGATTGATGTCTTATGTCACAGTGTTACTATATAGATATGATCGGGGGCAGATCTAACCGTACGGTCAGATCTAGCGGAAAGTGTGCCTGCCCCGACACATGTTCTCTCATTACTATATTAAAATTGGATTGAATTAAACCTAACAGGCCTGAATTTAACTAGGAATAAATTAATTTATGAAAGCCATACTATATGAAACTTAAATGAGACTTAATACAAGCCTTAGCAGAGAATATATAAAGTAGACTAATATCGCTGTAGATTAAGTTTTTATCTAGATTGACCTATGGAAAAGCTGACCCAAATCCAACCTGCGGATCGCTCTAGGTATTTTCAATACTGCACCCTAGAGACCTGGTGTATCGGCGATGCGCACTACATACTTTACTGCGGAAGCATTGCCAGCTTGCAGGTCTTTCAATGCTCCTTCAAGCCCCGCCAATCCGTTGGGGCGCACCTCGTAAGGATGGGCCGTGAACCAACCCTGGCCCAATCCCCTCCCGAAAAGAGCGAAGAATGCAGCGCCAAACTCGATGTTACCGACCGTCTTTCCTGCAGCTGCAGGTTGGTGAACTGACCCAACTTTTGTGGTCGACAACTGGACTCCCTCAGGGATTTCCTTGGAATTGATTCCTGGCAGGACCACAGTTATCTTCGCCGGTGCAGTAAGCACTGCGCCTAGGTTGTGGTAGGACCCCTTCTCGGAGACAGCGTCATATGCATAGTGAATTGGCAGGCCACCGGCAGCAGCTTTGATATTTTTGCGCACTGCTTCATCCCCTTCACGGTAGTCGATAATTGTATCGCCCTTGGAGTGGTCAATCAGAGTCTCGACGTACGAGGCGCCTTTGCCGGCCACTGCGATGATAGGGTGGATATTTGAGAGACGAGCCAGTTTGATCGCGAAAGCTCCTACAGCTGAAGAACCGCCATATACAACTAGAGGCAGCGACTCCGTTGCAGGATTCCAAGGAAGCGGCAATTTCAGCTCCTGAAAAAGTCCAATAGCTGCCGTCATAGCAGCAAGAGGAATCGTGGCAGCCTCTGTTTGATGTTAATTGGAGTATAAAAGTAAATAGATAAGATCCCTCAGACCTTCAAAGCTGGTTTTCTCGGGCAGGTGGAAGGTTGTGTGGGCCCAGGCAATTGCATACTCTGCATAGCTGCCCCCAGGTGTAAGCATTTCATGGAAAGCGGCCACCCTATCGCCCTTCCTGAAATTTGGTACTTCCTCCCCCACAGCCTCAATATAGCCAGCAATATCATCACCCTGGTTTGCAGCAGGTGCATCTGGCAGCCATATTGGCAATTTCCAATCTTTTGGGTTAGTGCCAGATACAACCACCTTGATCAACACTTGGCCAGGCTTCACGACGGGAATTTCAACGTCGCGGACCGCGACAGTGACTGCTTTGTCGACAACAGCTTCCTTCATTGTTCTGAATTTCTGTTCAGTTGGAGATGAATGGCAGCATTCACCACGCTTCTTTTTATCACCGGATGTTTTCGGAGGTCCGGTCCCGAATCTGATTTGTAAGCAGCTGGCTAGTTATTCTGAATAACTAAACATCGATAATATTATACAGGTTTATGCAAAGCATAATACCATATTTTACGACCTTCCTAGTCCACCATCCTCAGGGACTTAGATGTTTGGTTGCTTGGCTTCTATTTCTATTATCCTTTAAACGGAGATCTATAAGGCAATTGGAGACAACTATACTAGTTAGTTCTGTTTCTGCGACAATGCAGTACCTTAGGAGAGGATTAGGAGTATCTTATAGTAATTATCCTCTTCCCAATTCTCTCAGTCAGTAAATGGGAGAAAGCCGAGACTATCTGATTGGGTCTGGATGTAAGTTTGTCTTGTGTGGATGGAAAGGGGTTTCTGTCACGCGATGTGTATAAGGTCTTCATTCATCCTTGATCATGTATAGACTCAACCTTAGATTTCAAAAATCTTCTGCAACAATCGACACCTTGATAGATTATTAAGACCCCTTCATTCTGTTAATTAGCTTGTATTTCTAGCTACGGTTTCTTATAGGATCAGGTATCAGTTTCGTAATAATCTCGTAGGACACCCTCCGACAGTCAACTATGCTGGCGATGTCGTTTCACCTTCGACAACTCCAAAAGACTTCTGTTTAGCTAACCCTTACCCCTTCCGCTGCAGCGTGTGATATCCAAGCTTCTCTCGCGCCTCGGCAATTGTAGCACCATCGGCAATCATTTCTCGGATACCGGCTTCACTCTGTTCTATCCTTCGTGCGACTTCGGCCACCTCACGGGCTCGGTCTCGCGGGACAATAACGACACCGTTTGCATCGGCGACAACAATGTCGCGAGGGTTGACACGCACCTTGCCGATGCCGATCGACTCGTTGACACCTCCCACTTGAACTCGATCCTTGCCGGTTCGCATCCAACGTCCAGCGGTGAAGAGTGGGTAGTCGTCATCGATTGCACGGTTCACATCGCGGCACACACCGTCGATCACAGTTCCAGCAATATCTCGTAAGCCGGCGTACTGAGTCATTATATCGCCCCAGACGGTACAATCTGTGCGACCGCCGTTGTCGATGACTACGACATCGCCTATGGCAACCTCGTCGATGAAATCACCCACACTTCCTGGTGGATCGCTGGCAGGTACGTAACGAACAGTGAAGGCCGGCCCGACGGTGACCTTGTTGTAATCTGTCAAAGGCATAATACCAAATGCTTGTCCAGGAATGCCAAGTCTATCAAGCGCGTCAGAGACCCCAGGGGTGTCTGAGTCGGCGAACAGCGCCACCAACTCTTGGTCCTCGGCACTAGGTCGCTTTGGATTTCGTTTGGAGGCTGGCTCTGCTGGCTCGACTGTTGATGATGGTGTAGTTTCGCGGATGGCCTCAAATTGCTTATCGTGCATAACCTCGGACACTGGCTGACCAGCTCGAACGGCCTCGACCATTCGGGCCTGACGACTGTCGATCCGCTCGCCAAGTTCTAGGACTTCTTCAATGCGCTGGGCCGGGACGAACACTGTCCCGCATCGGTCGGCGATGACATAGTCATCTTGATGGACCGTAACGCCTCGCACCTGCAGTGGTGTGCCTGAGTCGACTTGTACTAAGCGATTGCGCGCGCTGATCATGGTGACGCCACGACCATAAAGAGGGTAGTTGACCTCACGGCTGCCGTCGATGTCACGACTCATGCCATCGATGACGGTGCCACGGATACGCTTCTGTTTCGATGCATTGGCGATGATATCGCCCCAGCATGAGACACCATCTATGCCGCCGGAGATGACAAGAATGCGATCATCCGTCGTTACCGCATCGATGACCGGAGTGAGAAGATGGGTCGTGGGTGCAGCATCAGTTTTGGGGCCTACTTTCACTGTGCTGGCACGTCCAACGATCTTGGGACAGTCCCAGAGTGGTCGCAGACCGTATGTGGCTCCTTTGAGGCCGAGGAAATCCAAAGCATCAGACACCGTGTTGGTGTCGAGCGCTGAAAGCCGGTCTAAGATACTGGTTTGACTCATCATGTCGAGTATAGTGATCGGTATGTAATGAGATCAATGAAAGTCGTTGAAGGTAGAATGGCTCAAGTGAGTACTGGTAATCGTTTATTGCGAAGTGTAGCAAGCATTATTGATATAGTTGTACCGTCATCGGCAGCTGGTCATGTTGCCGAAGCTCGACCAAGCGAGTCAGCTTCGAGACAGGCAGCGACATATGGGTACGGTGGACAACATCAGTATCCTACAGGCCTTTCTCCCCGGGAATTCAGCGAAGACTTCACCCGGTCAAATTCAGATTGTAGCATCGTGGGGCTAACCTGGGGAAAGTTCAGCGCCAGTTGCACCCCCTCAACCCGGGTAAATATTCTGCTGTGGTTCTGGGTGCTAAGAGTCGGCAAGTTGCCATTACACCGATTTGGATGCTTTCTGCTGCCTGTACTTACTGCCTGTCGTTAAACAAAACAAAACAAAACAAAATAAAATAAATAAATAAATAAATAAAAAATAAAAATAAGAATAAACAGTGAGGAGCTGTCGGTGCATATCTGGGGAGGGGTACATATGGATACGACGGCGGTACATATGGACGAAGGCGGCGATGTTATATTGCTGGTCGCGGATAGATGGTCCTATCCTGTAAGCTATCGCCATCATTTAGGAACGAAGATAATTTAATTGCATGTAATAGCATGTAATAAATGGGAGTTACTCGAAACGCAGATACGGAAACATGACCTGGGATGTATGAAGTCTAGAATCTTGGTGTCTAAATATGAGTGGAGTGAGTTGAGTCGCCTTCTCCAATCTCAACCTTATATAGCGTGTCTCTCATCACTCGAGGCTCTATCGCGACGGCGACCCCAGAACGATCCAAATGAACAACAAAATAATCGACAGCGATCTCCCCGTACATTGGAGTATCGACAGAGCTCCACAGCCCAACGCTTTGGTCCATAATCTGGCGTGGGTCAGTCCCGTGACTCCTGTCCCTCTCAAACATTACTCGATATGCCACACGACGAGATCGAATATCTTTGCCTTGAACAGTGGGCATTGATTCTATATTTGTTGCCTGGAGGCGTATCGATTTAATTGACGGACTGCCAGGCTGAGCAGCATAGGCCTGTATAACAGCCTTGAAGTCAACACCGCGATTGACCCACCGCTCCAACATGAGACCATCTGCATCCACGGCCACGGTGAGGCTAGAGTTTTTACTCAGATCAGGCGAGTTATAAGTTCCACATAAGCCATTGCATGCTTCATATAGAGTTTGGTTCTCCATCATTGGGATCAAAGACTGGAGGACAATTTCAGAAGCGACTTTTATAACCGCCGCGCTGCTTGGACCAGCCACAAGTATCGAAAGCGCCACTCCATAGTCCGGGAAGACAATCAGCAGTGAATCATACTGGCCGATACTGCCGGACTTAGTGTAGAGATCGATAGTGCGGCCATGGGAAATTTGACTCTTGGTCCTCCAGATCTCCCAGGGGCTTCCCACCGATAAAGAAGGACTTGAAGTATGGGCGTTCGGCTTCATCCAGCGTCTAGTGTCGACGGGTGAAAGCCTCTTGTTGAGCAGAATACCACGGCCAAACTTTGCCAAATCAGACGATGATGAGTACATCCCTGCTGTACTTGATATCGACATGGTTTAGCAAAGGTCGGTGATACGGGGGTGTCCAAAAATACTTACGGTGTCTCGTCACCCGTGTCTTGATACCACCCGCTCTCACCGTTTGGAATCACCCACGAACCTTCGTCCTTAGGAATTGCAGAAGTGGTAGTTGTCAGATCCAAAGGCTGAAGGACTGAATGCTGTAGCAGTTCATCGAAGCAAGTACCGCTGAGTGTTTCTACAATGTACCCGAGCATTCGGTAGGCAGTGTTTGAATAGACAGGTGTTGTTTGCGGTGCGAAAACTGGAGCTCTTCGAAGTAGACCCTGGAAATATTCTAGAAAGAAGAACGATGAGTACAAATATTGAGAAACAGGAACAAGGAGCTCGGTACCATTGCGATCACATGGGGGCACGCTCGCGTTGCCGCCGCATCGTGGAACATCTTCCGGTGACAGTTGCGGCAGTCCAGCTTCTGACCAGGAGATATCCATATTGGCCAAGTCTCCATAAGAATCTTTGATTAACATTAGCTTTTTATCTCTCTCTCTCTCTCTTATTCTGCTTAACGTGAAACTCACAATCCCTGCCAATACCAGATAGCTGTGAGGCAAGATCTCCGATGGTGATCTTGCTCCAGTCAACATGTGTAACCGAAGTATCATCATGGAGATCAGCAGCGCCTTGAAGTTCGGGAAGATACTTCGTAATGCTGTCGTCCCAGTGCTCCCAGCCGTAATTGACCAAAAGTGTATAGACAGTGAAGAGTTTGGAAATGCTACCAATCCTGTACAAGGAGGTATTGGTCACCTTTTCAGTGCCACCGGCTGACTGATTTAAAAACGGTGAGGAGAAATGAAAATCAAAAAAAGGAGCGTTTTGATCATCCTGGGTGGACAATGCCGTGATGGAGATTGAGGACGAGTTGGCAGTGAACTCTCCAAAGATGCTCTGGCCCTGACGGATGGCCTGAGCCAAGGAGGTGGACAGATTCGTAGTAACAGCGCTCACGTAGGGGGAACTCAAGAGCCCTGATGGTGGCTGAGAAATAGGGCCAAGAAGGAAGCTTGCCATTTCGACTAGATAAACCGGGTCAAGGTAGCTTCCAATGGTAACTGATAAACCAGAAGCTTGAAAGAAATGGAAAAAGATTCTGACAGTTGAGAGGCCGTATAAATACTTGAATCATGTCTCGGATTTGAGAAGTTTGCATTCACGGAGACGGAAGTTCGACGGGACCATCGCGGTACCTTTTCGGTAGGTACTCAGGTTCATAACCAAGCCGAACTTTATGTGCTTAGGATCGGTCGACCAACTCCATTAAAGCATTTAGCTGCTCGTTCACCCGACTGACAACATGCGTGGTGTCCTTGTGGGACGCAGCTTTTGCCGCGGTATCTCGTAGCTTAGTCGCCTTTTTCACGTAATCTTCAGCCCTTTGCCTGGATAGAGCTCTGGAGTGGTTTGTGTGTGCCAAGTTCTCAGCAGCAATCAGTGATCCATCCCGGTCTTGTAGATACAAAAGCTTTCGGGCACGGCTGCAAAACCAGTATGAAGTACCAACGCAAATATTGCGCAGAATGCCTGGAGAGAGATCGACCAGGGGATACCAATTCTGCAATGTTATGGCTTGCCCGCAACCCTTGAAAGTCTCCATATGTTGTATTGTTTGGAAGATCTTGTTGGCTGCCTTCAACGTCTCGTATTCAATACGGAGCTCAAGCATCTCACCTTCAGCAGATGCCTGTTCGTGAATGCCAAACTCCAGGCATCTCTCAATTTCCATGTAGCAATTAAGCTCTAAGAGTGAAATCACTGTCCGGTGCAGCAAATTGTTGCTCGTTGTGCTCGAGGATAGACTATCTCCTCGCTTCGCAGAGTCAGAGTTGATGTCTGCTGTGAGCCGTAGTCGAGACGGGCATGAATCTTGCCCCCACCTGGAGAGCTGCTCATAGAGGTTTACCACATCCTGGATTTTGACTCCCTTGCGTTTAGCTCTAGGACTACAGATTGTGCGTGTTATTCTCCGTGCGGTAGCGGCCAGTGAAAGCATGGTGTCGAGATAACTCCCTGTCTCATGTCCGGTGAAGCTTTCCGTGGGTTTGACATCCTCAATGTCATCTTCTTGTATCCGAGACATGACTCCACGATCAAGACAATAGAAGGCATCTAGTCCGTATACGTGCCACAGCAGAAGTGCTTTGCGCTCCGCGGTTCGTTCCAGCGTTGGAGGGCATTGGATCTGGTACTGCAGCGTCATTAAGACAAGAGATTCGTGCGTCAAGAACAAGGTCCCCAGCTGCGAGTGAAGCTGGGCAGGGATGTCCCCGTCTGATTCATAGGCAAAGCCAACCATGAGTGCCAGCGCTTCAATGTCATCAAGTCTAATGGTTTTCTGAGCAGGTGCAACATTTAGCGCCTGCAGAAATGCTAACCTGAATCCAGAAGCAAATTGCTGCTGCAAGTTCCACTTGTCCGAAACGTGGAGAAAAGGACAACCTCGACAAGCCACCGCAAAAATGAGGGTAGAACTACTTTGGTGGTTCTCGTAGTCAGCCATAAATGCGTCCCTGTGGATTATGGGCAGAACTAGAGCTGCGTAGTCAAAGTATGCAGCGAGGGCTGCTTCTAGGGTGCTGGAGTCGATTCCTTGGAGCTTGAAAGGGCTTTGATTTGCTGTCGCTCCTTCCGTGCTGTCGCTTCCATGTTGTAGACTAGGGTCTGACAGGTCATCCAGATTGACCATTGATTCTGAAGGGTTACATTCTTGCACGAACACCTCATTCAGAAACGAAACGCTCTGCGAACTGAGTTCAAAGTCCAGGTCTGTCCACAACGACTCGCTGGTCGACGCGTGCAAAGGAGAGTTGATATTAGCATCTGGAGTTGAGTTTGAAGCCATAGTGGTTTGTGGCGATGGTAGTAACGAGGTACTCCCATTTAGAGGCTGAGTAAATTTGCCCCCCTCGTTCAAGGATGACTGGGGGAGAATCGAGGCCCGGGTGCTTCGCTCCAATTCCGCACTATTGGGGCTCATCCTGCAGCGCCTGTGGATCCGCACATCATCGGAATCCAAAGTACATGGATTCTGCCGTAGATCACATTGAGAACACGAGCCATTGCCCTCTCTCGCGCGAGATGCCCGATCGCATTTAATTTTGCGCCGAAAGCAAAAGTCGCACGACTCACGCTCCAGCCCTCGTTTCAACGACATTGGGATTTGATGGCAACAAATCTCATAGACACATCCGGCAACCGAGTCGACAGAAGTAGACCCCTGAGGCGTGTTAAATCTAGAGGTGACGCGAGGAAACTGAGAGAGGCATGAGTTAAGCTCATCTGGAGGCGAATGGATCTATCTAGACTAGATACACAAACATGGTCACATGACCATCTTGAGGCTAAATCTGTCAAAAAACGCGAACTTTGGGCTGATACAATTAGCAACAAACGTGTAGAGGCATGGTTTCGGGCGCTGTCCTGCCGCGGGAGTTTTGCGGTGCTTTCGCGGAGATTCACAGTCTCCAACCAGACCACAGACGGCAATCACGTGCGCTTCCACCGGTAAAACATTAATCCGAGAGGCGCTGGAACCGACCGGCTTGATCAGCTCGCGCTGCAAGCAGCCAAGCTACTGACGCCAGAGCAACAGATCGTGCCCGTCTACAAGAAGACACCACAAACCCTTACCAGTCCACTGATAAGATATATGACACCGTGACCTGAGCTTTACGTGACCCCCGCTGTCAAATCAAAGCGCAAGTAGAGCTGCGTAACTTGATAATGAAAGTAGGAGATAATTTCCATAAATTGCCTGGCGAAGTTCCTATACCTAGCCGGGGAGGCAGAGCTGCCTGAGAGCCAGTATAAGATAAAGTTGAACCAGCGCCTCACCCATAAGGTTCATGAGATGAGTATTGCCTACCGGGGAAGTGACAACTTTTGACAAGTTCTGAGCTGGTCATTATAGTCAGCCGTAGTTCCTGTCTTGGTACCATGTTTAATCGCTTTGCACTGCAAGGTCAAAGAGTATCTGCGGATTGAATCAAGTAGTATGAGCCTACTAAACCCCATTGAAGAAACTGAAAAAGAGGGGAACCAAAAAAGGGAAGATGCTGTACAATACGCGGGCTTCTTTCGCTTACCAGTTAGATGGGCGAGGTTGTTGAGTTTAGATCCAGATATTGATAGAAATCATCATGTTCACTTTTTGCATCCATGAAAGAGGGCATTGTCACGCAGCTTGCGGGTATCTGACAGTGAAATACCGGCGATAACATTGGGTTATCGAATTTGTGATTAATTATTTGGGATGGTTCCATCCTGTATATTTCATCAAAGGCATCGAAGTCACTGTTGGATAATTGCGACAGGCCGTGTGAAGTGGTAGGGCTTCCCGCTCCCTGTAACCACACTGGTTCAATGTATAGCGGATTCTGAGGAAGTGTTTGAGGTTGAAGCTTGATTGTTGACGCCTGTGATATGAAGCTTGGAGGCATAGGAGGAAGTTCAAATGGTACGCAGGCATCTCCAGAACATGAGTCTGTGGGCGGTGTTTGTGTGCTCTTTGAACTTCTGTTTGATAGATCCAGGTTTTGAAAGCTCCCAGCGCTCTGATCCCACAATTTCTGCTGCAGAGCCTCGATATTTTCTTCAAAATAACTCTCTTTCATATGGTCCAGAACGCCGAGCTGTGTGAGTAGATCATGTGTAAGTGGGTGACCATCTTGTCCGCATTTCACTGGACTATTTTGCGGGCGTTCCCTCTTCCTAGAAAGTTGATATAATTTCTGAAGGCCATACACAAGCCAGGTCTGTTGCTGCTCTAGCATCTCAACATATCTGTATACGCAAGTTATACGTTAGCAAAACTCACGTCCTATTTGTCACATCTCAAAAATAAAAACAGAAAAGAATATAAATAGCAAGGCCATCGCTAAAGATTGATGCTCACCCCTTGGGGTACAATCTTCCATAATTGGGAGTTCTCTTCCTCTCGCCAAAGAAACAGATAGAATTATCTGCCCTACACCGTCCACAAGGTGTAGTACCGTCGCACTGTAGCGGTTTAAGGCGTTAAGGAATGATGATGTGTTAGGCTGTGGCTTGCTTACCTTTGACTTCTTTAATCTACATCGATCACATGCCTTGCTTACCCTTTTGCGAAGATTGCTATCCGAACGTGAATGGCATGAGGTGGTTGATGATTGATGTGCGTTCATTATGTACTATTCAAATAGTCAACCAGACAAAGCACTGTTGATGAAGCGAGAGAATCAAGGCATCAATTTCACTGGAAGGCGGAAACAGAACTTCCCGCTGTTTTGACATTGGAAGCTAAGGGTGTTCGACGATACAACAAAACTCGTCGAACGGCGAACGGTGGACGGAAGGAAGCAAAAAAGAAAGTAACAGAGTTACGTACCAATATGAATGTCCCAGATGGAAGATTAATGGACTTTAAGCCAACCTAAGGTACTGAAGTGGCTGGGTATAGTTATCGATGAGGGCAAAGAGTCGACAGTTTTTGTGCAGATCGAAAGGCGATGTTGATGTTAATTGGGTTTATAGTACGCCATAGAAGTTAAATGTTTGTGGAGAGATTGACTACAGCCTACGAACTGTAAACAAACGAGTGATATCAGCATTATATGGGTTGGAAGTAGTCATGGTCGTGCCGCAGCTGCAAATAAATCCACTTCCGTTCTTCTCCGATCTACCTGACGCGCCGTACCCAACAGACCTAGCAGGGGCCAGAATGCCCAGAGAGGAAAAAAGCAAGCCAGGCTAGCTTTCTGCGGCGATTCCCTTCCCCACTCCACACTAATATCCTATCCGCCAGTACCGGTCGCGGGCGGGGCAATTTTCCTGTCTGGATTGGTTATGCTTGCCGCCAAGGCATTGGGTGCATGCAATGAGGTTAATCCATTCTGCACAGGTTGATCGGCGACGACTATCAGATCCAACCAAGGACAAGGATACGTACCCCTGATAAGGTAACTTGGCAGCTAGTACTCCGTAATTGAACACACATTGGACATGCCAAACATCAAGAAACCCAAAAGCAGCAAAATCCTGGACCTGCTCTGCGATTGTGTGATCGACTACACAGGTATAGCGTGCGTATCAGTAGAATACGATCCAGCTCAGGAGAACAACAATCATGACGGCCTCTTACATGCTTCGAGCTTGTGCCGAGATTTTGCCGAGATGCAACCGAGATTCTGTGGATCATGCGTGATTTAGTAATTTCCAAGATACTTCCTCTTAGAGCGTTCCGCTTCGAACTGATCGGCTTCCATACCCGAGTAGCTTGGATGAATGATTAATGGAAACAACAAGAATGCCTGCTTAAGATAAAATAAGCTTATGTTACTAGGCCGACAGATCTTGGCTCTTGATCATCAAGGTAGTCACTTATGCTAGATTCAACAGGGTAGCCTACGACAGGAGTTGTTCGCTGCCACTTACTAGAGGGGGAAAGCATATGTTCATGTAATGCTAAATGTTACAGTATATTATACGATATTTCTATAATCCTTACAACAGCTATTTCGATGTATACACAAGTAGGTGGATACTTGCAGTAGGAAAGTAAATAAGCACCTCAAGGAGTTCGTTCTCATCTTCCAAAACGTGGTGGAGTGTAGAGACTCCCTAGTAGAATTCAAGATAGTATTATCGTTCGTTATCTTATCCTTTAGCTAGAGGTCCAGCTACGTCATCGACTCCCAGGTTCACGAATATTACTCAAGATGGAATACAGAAGTCGGAGAGGGCCCCAAGACCAGCATATCAGTACTCCCTGTTCTTATTTACTGCTTAGAAGAAACCTATGATTAATTTTAGCAAACGAATTTTCCGCGTAAGTGGATAAAACTAGCTATTCTTAGGCGGTTAATTATCGTCGGTGAGTGGTCAATGTAGCCTAATCAGGAACCTGATTCGAGATCGAACCAAGCTCTCGGCCTCTTCTACAGAATTGTAGTCTCTGCCTGAAGCCCTCATTCTTGGCTCGTCTCTGATTTACTGTATGAATCTGAATGACTGTGCTTCTGAATGGGAAAGTCAGAATCGCCTTCATACTTTTCCGTGGTTTTAATCTGAGACACCTGAATGATAAGTTGACACTGCAGCTTGGACTTCCTACAGCTACATATACCTTCATTCAATACATGTTGATATGGGTTTTCAAGGGCTTGAGCTGATTGCAACCGGGCATAGTTCGCTTGAGAGTCCAGAGCAGTCTGTATATCGCTGCATTATTCCCGATTAGTAAATCCACCCCTATCTCCCACGCCGTCCTCCCTGATTTTCCCGATTCAAAGGTGAGTACCTTCATAAGGAGTAGTAGCTTGTCCACTATTGGCCTAACAAGGTGGATCTTTGCGCGATATTCCAACATTCTGATGGATAGTAAGCACTTGTTTCCTTGTCTCCGGGGCCACACCCGCCAAAACTCGGCTGTGAGTGCCTCCCACAGAGCAGTCGCTGCATGTAGAAGGTATGAGTAGGTGTGGATACAGTAGTTACTAGTAATTACAACCCCTGTAGCACGCAGATTCTAAATTTGGCTCTGCTCTAGAACATCGGTCTATGTGTATATATATGTCCTTTCCCTCCCCTAAAGTCTTGGTTAGTTGAATGCACACTCCATATCTTCTTCTAGTTCGACGGAATTCAGATCCCTTCGTTGCTCACGATTACCTCTTCTTCTCGCATCATGGAGAATCCAGCCAATGATCCTCTTGACTCGAGGGCGCCCACGGAATGTGGTGAATATGACAAGGATGCAGACACGGAAAAGGAAACCCTCACTGTTCCTGAAATCCGAGGAGCCGCCAGCGCAGAGACCCTTATAGTACCAGGCACTAGCAACGCTGTCAGCACAGAAACCATCGCCTCGCCCAATTGTAGCGATATCATTTCAACACCCAAAAATGACCCAGGATGGGGCATGACCGATCATGTCATCTCGACAAGGGAAAGAGAGGAAGCCGCGGGTTACAAGCCACGACAATTGGGCATCACCTGGCAGAATCTGACTGTTGAGGTGCCATCTGCTGAGACTGCAGTTAACGAAAATGTCATCTCGCAATTCAATATACCGCGAGTGATCGGAGACTTTCTGCGAAAGCCGCCTCTGAAATCAATCTTGCAGGGTAGCCATGGTTGTGTCAAACCTGGTGAGATGTTGCTGGTTTTAGGCCGGCCTGGTTCTGGGTGCACAACGCTGCTCAAGTTGCTTGCTAATATGCGTCGGGGATACTATAATATCACCGGGGACATAAGGTTCGGCAGCATGTCTAGTGACGAGGCCCAGAAGTACCGAGGGCAGATTGTTATGAATACTGAGGAGGAGCTCTTCTACCCCCGCTTAACGGTGGGTCAAACTATGGACTTTGCAGCGCGGCTTAAGATTCCCTTCCACCTTCCGGATGGAACCAAGTCAAACGCAGACTACACAGCTGAGACTACCAAGTTTCTGCTGGAGGCAATGAAGATTTCACATACAGTTGATACAAAGGTGGGAAATGAATATGTCCGCGGTGTTTCTGGTGGAGAGAGAAAGCGTGTTTCTATCATTGAGTGCATGGCTACTCGAGGCTCTATCTACACCTGGGATAACAGTACCCGTGGTCTGGATGCTAGTACAGCACTAGAATGGGCAAAGGCTCTTCGAGCCATGACCGACGTCCTTGGGCTTTCCACAGTTGTTACCCTCTACCAGGCAGGTAACGGAATCTACAACCTGTTTGACAAAGTCCTCGTATTGGACGAGGGGAGGCAGATCTACTATGGGCCGGCAGCTGCTGCAAAAAGGTTCATGCAAGACCTGGGATTTGTGTATACTGATGGTGCCAATGTTGGTGAGTTGTCTTACTACTCTCCCCTGGAAGAAACAGCCGTATTGATTTATTTATGCCAGGGGACTTTCTGACTGGTGTGACTGTCCCAACCGAGCGCCAGATCAGACCAGGTTACGAAAGCCGATTTCCTCAAAATGCAGATGCCATTCTAGCTGAGTATAAGAATTCGCCAGTCTATCAACATATGGTTGCAGAATACGACTACCCTAACAGCGATATCGCCCACCAGAGAACTGAAGACTTCAAGGAATCCATCGCCTGGGAAAAGTCAAAGTATCTACCCAAGAACAGTCCGCTAACAATTAGCTTCTGGAGTCAAGTCGAGGCTTGCACGATTCGTCAGTATCAGATTTTGTGGGGGGACAAGTCAACATTCCTGGCAAAGCAGATTCTGTCAACTATTATGGCTTTAATAGCAGGCTCCTGCTTTTACGACTCCCCTCCAACATCTCTGGGCCTATTTACCAAAGGTGGTGCCGTCTTTTTCGCTCTTCTTTATAATTGTATCGTGGCCATGTCTGAGGTCACTGAATCCTTCAAAGGTCGTCCGGTCTTGCTGAAGCACAAGTCATTCGCCATGTATCACCCAGCTGCATTCTGTCTGGCTCAAATTGCTGCCGATTTTCCTGTGTTGTTGATCCAATGCAGTGTATTCTCGATTGTGATATATTGGATGTCCGGCTTAAGGCATACAGCAGCCGCGTTCTGGACCTTCTGGGTTATTTTGTTTACCGTTACCCTAGTAAGTTCCTCTATTTGATAAAGACCGTGGGGTCTCCGACTTCTTTTTCCTTCTTCCTGCTTCACGATTCCTATTTCGTCATTACGGCATCCGCTGATAATTATGATACAGTGTATTACCGCTTTGTTTCGTTGTATTGGAGCAGGATTTAGTACCTTCGAAGCCGCCTCAAAAGTATCCGGAACTGCAGTCAAGGCCATCGTTATGTATGCTGGTTACATGATTCCTAAAGGCCAGGTCAAGAACTGGTTCCTTGAATTGTACTACACAAATCCGTTTGCCTATGCCTTTCAGGCCGCTCTCACCAACGAATTTCATGATGAGACCATCCCCTGTGTCGGCAATAACCTAGTCCCGAATGGTCCTGGCTACGAAAACGTGCCCTCGGGTCATAAAGCCTGTACAGGTGTTGGTGGAGCCGCTCTTGGTGCAGACTTTGTGACCGGTGATCAGTATCTCACGTCATTGCACTACAAGCATTCACAGCTGTGGAGGAACTACGGTATTGTTTGGGCTTGGTGGGCATTCTTCGCAGGGCTTACTATGATTTGCACCTCATTCTGGAGTGATGGAGGCAATTCTGCTTCCCTATATATACCCCGCGAGAAAGTCAAGCATGGGCATAAGTCAGATGTCGAGGCACAGAATGAGAAGAATCCCAATCGAGGTGCGGGCAGCAGAGTCTCAGGCCCGGAAGATGAACATTTAACCCGGAACACCTCCATTTTTACCTGGAAGGATCTTACATATACGGTTAAAACTCCAGCTGGAGACCGGGTCCTACTGGATCAAGTGTGTGGGTGGGTAAAACCGGGAATGCTGGGTGCGCTGATGGGCTCCTCAGGTGCTGGAAAGACAACACTACTTGATGTCCTTGCCCAGCGTAAGACAGATGGAACAATTAAGGGATCAATCATGGTTGATGGTCGGCCATTGCCGGTTTCATTCCAGAGAATGGCAGGATACTGCGAGCAATTAGATGTCCATGAACCCTATGCCACTGTCCGTGAAGCACTTGAGTTTTCTGCTCTTCTTCGTCAGTCTCGAGATATACCTGAAGATGAAAAGCTCAAGTATGTCGATACGATTATCGATCTTCTAGAACTTCATGATCTTGAGAATACTCTGATTGGTACAGTAGGGAAAGGTCTTAGTATTGAACAACGAAAGCGTGTTACTATCGGAGTCGAGCTGGCCTCTAAACCCAGTATTCTAATCTTTCTAGATGAGCCTACATCAGGTCTTGATGGCCAGTCTGCATACAACACAGTCAGATTTCTGCGGAAACTTGCAGATGCTGGTCAAGCTATTCTGGTTACTATTCACCAGCCCTCTGCCCAACTCTTTGAACAATTTGATACCTTACTACTTCTGGCTCGGGGAGGAAAGACAGTTTACTTTGGTGATATTGGTGAAAACGCTGCAACAATCAAATATTACTTTGGGAAAAATGGCATTGAATGTCCACCAGAATCCAACCCAGCTGACTTTATGATTGATGTGGTTACTGGTAGTCTGGAAGCTGCCAAAGACAAGGACTGGCATCAGATCTGGCTGGACTCAGACGAGCACACACGCATGATGATTAATCTGGATAATATGATTGCCGAAGCTGCTTCCAAGCCTTCTGGGACTCATGATGATGGCTACGAGTTCTCTATGCCTTTGTGGGAACAGATTAAAATTGTGACGAAGCGTATGAACGTCTCCTTGTTCCGAAACACCAACTATATCAATAACAAGGCTTCATTGCATGTTATTTCTGCCTTGCTGAATGGGTTCTCCTTCTGGCGAGTTAGCCCTAACTTGTCTGCTTTGCATCTGAAGATGTTCACAATCTTCCACTTTGTCTTTGTTGCCCCTGGTTGTATCAACCAACTACAACCTCTCTTTCTCCAGCGCCGTGATATCTACGATGCCCGAGAGAAGAAGTCAAAAATGTACTCGTGGTTTGCCTTCACTACCGCTTTGATCGTATCTGAGTTCCCTTACCTAATCATATGTGCTGTGCTCTACTTCCTCTGCTGGTATTACTGTGTCCGGCTCTTTCCCCATGACTCGAATCGATCTGGTGCGATGTTTTGGATTATGATGTGGTTTGAATTCGTATATACTGGTGAGCGTTTTCCCGTCCTATACTCCTCGTCTTGCTCTGGATAAGTACTTGTTAACACGTTTGTTTTTGCCTCCAGGAATTGGCCAGTTCATTGCCGCTTACGCCCCCAACGCTGTGTTCGCTGCGCTTGTCAATCCCCTCATCATCAGTATACTGCTGCTATTCTGCGGTGTTTTTGTGCCCTATACTCAACTCAATGTCTTTTGGAAGTACTGGCTGTACTATCTGAACCCATTCAACTACGTTGTGGGGGGTATGTTGACCTTCGGTATCTGGGATGCTCGAGTGACCTGCAACGAGGATGAATTCGCCGTGTTTGACCCACTTAATGGAACTTGTGGCGAGTACTTAGCCACTTTCATGGCTGGGAACGGGCAGAGAATTAATCTGACCAACCCCGACGCTACCTCACAATGCAAGGTGTGCGAGTTCCGAACAGGAAGTGACTTCCTGGCAACCCTCAACATTAACCACTACTATGTTGGTTGGAGAAACGGTGCCATTACTGTCCTTTATGCTATCAGCGGATATGCATTGGTCTATGGACTGATGAAGTTGAGAACCAAGGCCAGCAAAAAGGCCGAATAAATCCCATTCCCTTCTTCCCTCCCTTGCCCCGCTTTTTCACCCTTGTCCTTTATTCTCTTTCGATTACCTCATTTGGACCAACGGATGACGTCGAGTAATCATCTTCCATGATTGTTCCGTCTCCTCACTCGTTGCTTTCTTGCCTTACCATTATAGACTTTCTTTTAAGCTTCTTCAGGGCTAGAGCTGGCATCGGGCCGGGTTCGGGCCCAAAATCTAGGACCCGCACCCGTCTCGAACCTCGGGCCAACCTAGGTTGACCCGACCCGAAAAAGCCCGAAAAACCCGCTACTAGACCGAATTAGATAAGGTTTTGCTTAGTAATTAGATATCTTATCTATATAGGCTTAGACTAAAATTTTAATCTGATTTTTATAGCGCTATATCTCTATCAATTCTATATATATTGTTAGTAGGGGCTTCCGTCTGGCGGCCTGGAGGCCCGGAAGTACGGGTTCTTCCGGCCCGCTAAGCGGGCCCACAACGCCTAGCTAGGAAGATAGAAAGCTTAGATAGGATGAGAATTCACGAATGAATGAAAAAAGTCCTCCCACCTATGCATTAATATATATAAGATCAATATTTTCTATATATATATATTCTATATTTTCTAGTTTCTTTGACTATATTATACTAAGAAAAGTCCACTTAGATTTCCTGGATTCGGCGCGGGTTTGTGCAATAGAATCTGAACCCGGAGCCGGATTTTGTCCTCTGAGTCTGCCCCTGGAAATTGCCGGGTTCGGGGCGGGTTGGGCTTTTCGGGAACCCGGCCAACTTCAGTTGGATGTCTGGCAAAAACTTCTTCATATGGCGTGAAAGTGCCCAGCACCTCAAAGGTATTGGCTTCCAGGATGTCATGGAATTAAACTTATTGTAGTCGCAATGTGGGTTAGTTCGTAGTGTCAAATATATAAATCAAACTGTTAGTCCTCACAGTTGAGCACTAATCCTCTCTTTGCATGAGCTTGGTCATTTTAACCAATATCGACTTTGCCAAGGAGTTGAAGAGTTCTCATTTCAAGTGCTAATATCGATACTGAAATGGCCCCAAGAGCGCGGATGCAACTTTATAACGCAGATGCGCTAAATGCTAGAACATGACGAGACCCGTGTATATCTGCCAATCACTGCCGTTTACGGGAAAACAGGTAGGCCATATTCGATCAACTAAACTCAGCTTGATGCATTATTAAGAAACAATATTTCATGTCCCTTAGTTGTAGCATCCCAAATTCTGATAACAAGTGTATACACTAGATAGACTCAGCCTATCGACCTTGATTTACTATCTTGTAGCTGTTAGCTTCCATGAGCACCTTGGGACCTGCGGGGCCATGGTTCGACATCATTCTCAGAAGATCGCAATGAATTTGAGCCGCCAGAGTATTCCACCAGATGGCCAGCTGGTAAGCAGAGCTCTTGATTGAACATCTCAGGATGATGGCAAGGCATAACCATTATCTCAGCGGTGCCTACGTGAATTTAGTCCACCCGCCAGTGTATGGATCTACTCAGATGTACAGGCCTCACAGACTTGTACCCGAACAAATTGAGCATAAGCTGCTGGTTAGCAAGGGTACTCAGCAGTACATGATGAACAGCATTTCTTCCAGCGATAGCAAGTCCGTACACAAATGGACAACTTTTGAGGAGCATCTCGGTCCCGAAAGGTTACGGCCTTTACCAAATCAGCAACACAGCACATTCTACAGTCGAAGATGACTTCTGGGTCGTTTCCCGCCTCTTCCACAATCTCCGAGAGCATGTCCAGAGAGCCCACCCCACCACCCTACTGGCCGCTACCATGGTTGGACTCTACGCCTCCCTGCATGCCATGCTGAACCGCCAGTTTCACATACTCAGCGGTTTGTATGTCCTTCAGTGCGATCGGCCAGTCCCAATGCTGACGGCAGAACGGTAGATCTGCCCAACCATGGGTTAGTCCGGGAAACGTGATATGGGCCCAATCAGCCGCTGCAGTCGACATGTCTTCAAAGCTTCTGCCGTGCCTTTTCTGCGAACTTATTCGAAGTATGGGATCGGAGAAACTGATTTCAACTCCGACACTGTCATTCCGCAGAACCCAGGCTGGTGCGACCGCAATCGGATACTCATAGCCCCAGACATATCTGAAACTATCTGCTAAGAGACATTCTTTCGCCAGTCGTTCCCATGTGTGAGGATCAAATGATAATCCTGAGTTTTCTGTCATGGAGCCCTTCACAGTAGATTCCCCCAACCCAACCACCGGGGAAATGTACGGCAGTAGATGATGCTGAGTTGAAGGTACTGTGGCTAAGCTAAGCTTAATTTGTTCTTCCCTCTCTCTCCCTGAACTTAATTATTGCATATGAAAATTAAAGTGAATTTATAGAGACGTGTGAATCCTTTTCCGATAAAGAATTGAGGTATTTTTCCGTAGAAGCTTGGTTATCACGAGTAATCTATATGGACCGAAAACGAAGTCCTGACGTAGTACTATTATGGGAGGCGATCGTGATAGGCGAATCAATGTCTCGCCTCCGCAGCCGCGAGGCGCCGAGGGACTTTCGGCCGACAAAAGCAATCACATCATAACTCCCCAAATCAGGCAACCCCACTGGTTGATGCTAGATATTATTAGTTAGATTCTGGTCTGCCGGCATATGGCGGCTACATTATTTTGACCGAAACCAAGCTCTTCTGATTTTCTGAGGACTTACCAGTAAAAGTCTTTTAGCCCTGAGTAGCTTGTATCTTCCATCTCTAATATTTCTTAATCATGTAGACCTGATCTTTCTCAGGAGGGGCCACCAACTACCCTTTTCGCATAGCGAGCAACGCAACCAAGAAGCTCAAGTGCAATCAATACTGCAGTAAGTGGCCATGGGGGCGTGAGCCAACAATGTTCAGATGGCTGAGCCGTTTAGATTATCAATGAAATGGTATGTCCTTTTGTATACTTGCTAAGGTCTTATAGAATTGGGTTGATATAATTATAATGGCCAAACTGAGTGTCATACTATTTGCGACTCATGTCTACAAGGGATGGGCGGGCCCTACTTCTTTCTTTGTGGCCTCACTGAAAGTATGTTTGTTCTTACTATCTAGCTCGATCACGCAATGATCTTCCAGTACAGAGCAGATTTTGTCTATACAAAAGCCGTTTTCCAATTAATCCCATAATATATGTGTACGATCCAAGTCTATTGACAAGTGACTATTCACTGAGCTTCCCTTGAACTGTAATAATCCTCTTTAGAAAATAGCTAGACTGAAGCATAATACCAACTTTCCGCTGTTGCTAAATGTGATAGACCCAAAAAAGAAAAAAAGAAGCTCTACCAAAAAGATTTACACAGAACCTCCGAGATTGTTAACTACTCATTTGATGTCTGTGGCAGCCTATCTTGTTACATGTTCAATTTTGAGCGCCTCCTGCCTAAAGCTCTAGTCTGTCCCAACTTTCTCGGAGGAAGTACATTGAGTATTGTATTTTCGCAGCTCAAGTTGCCCTTCGACCATGGCTTTCTGCAATTGCCAGGCTTGGCTGTCTGCTTCAAGCCGCTCAATCTTTCGCAATAGGGCTTCTTTTTCCCGTAACAGTCGAAGAATCATACGCTCCTTCTGTTCGTTGCATGCGACCATTTCCCGTGCGTGCTGCTGGAGCGTAGCTGCTTCGTAGCGTGCTTGGCTCAAAAGTAGCTCAATTCTGTATATTGTATTTGCTGTCGCTATTGCTGCGGTCATATCAGTGCTGCTATAATCACGTTTCATATTAGATCCTGGCTAGAGATCCCACCTGGACACTGTGCGGGGGTTGTCTTTCTCTGGTCAAAAGACATCATATTAGGCAGTGAACCGATATTCACATGCGATAGACTTCATTGCAATGTTGGTTAAATCATATCAGTTGCGCCCTGCGGCGGTTGGATATAGATATCGACTTACCTCCCTCTGCAACATCCAGGTGTGGCTAAGGTATTGTTGACCCTATTGTTTAATTTACTCGACTGGATCTATTGAAGGTCATCGGTCTTACTCAGCAACCAAGCAACTAAAGTAGGATATGCTAGTCGACACAAGTCTGGAAGGCTGAGACAAAGGAACAATATCATGTTGCGTCATTTTTTTTTTCCAGTGACATAGCTTGATGTGCAGTGTACTAATATGCAGGCAGAAATGGGTTTCTAATTCTTTCCGGGTTGTAGGGGAAAGGGAACGAATTTTCAAAAAGACGACGTTCACATGACTCAATTTTACAACCAAATTCCTGCCAACTTGGCAATGCTGATGAGATGTAAATGGCGGGATCACACGGTTTGGAACGATATGAATATCCGCTGGACCGGGCGATGATGGGATCTTGTTTAGCGCGATTTTCTACTATAGAAGCTTTTTGTTCTAGACTGGCGAAGATTCGGTGTTGGAGGCTTGTTTGCCTATCAATCGTGACGGCCCACTGGAAGTCCCCACTATATCCAACGGGATTGCTACCCGGTTAAATCCCTCATCTAACTGGTAGCATCCATATCACTGCGTTACTGCAAGTGGTCGATGATCAGACGGGTGAACGCATTTCACGTTATCTGCAAACATCAGACAAAAATGTTTGGAAGGGTATCTAAAAATTCGGTGTCCGGCTTGAGCATTGGAGATCCAGGCCACGGCCACCACCTTGGACTTGTAAAAGAAATGCTAATTCCAATGGACCGCGATAAAGCACGTAAAGATGCTGGCTGTTACTTCGTAGCTTTCTCGGTGCCGAGAATTCTCCCACGCTACTATAATAGTGTATGCACATAGTTTACTCCACTTGGACGAGCTTATCAAGTTAACAAATCAAAATACAGAGTTAAAGGTCGTTACATGGGAATCAATAAATTTCGGATCAGCGGGATGCTGTTGTAAATTGTGCTGGCGGGTTAAATACCATATTACCTTTCCTCAACCGAAGAAATAATTCATTATGACAAGTATATGTTGAGCCACGCTTGCAATGTTGAAATGGCCATCTGTCGTCGGACTATATAGCACATATCTACCTTTTCTGTTACATTCAAGACACTTGACCTCATTTCTGCATTCTCACTCATAAAGCTTATCTTTTTACATTCCACACGCTCATAATGCCGCAAGAGTCGTCCGATGAAACCCAAAGAGTCAGTCTCAATACGTTGAGGACAGAAACACGGGAGACTCTTCAAGCATCGAGAGTGACGGAAAATAGTCCACCACTGGGTGTCAACTATCCTGAGCTTGGGCGTCCAGCAGAGCCCCTCTTCCCGGAAGAATACACTGTTGAGACACAAACAGGCTTGGTTCCGGTCAGGACTCTTGAGAGCATCCGGTCTACTGCCATCGGCGCGCCACGGCCTTCAACTCCCAATGTTGAAAAAGCAAGTAAGCCGTACGAATTTGTGACTTTTCAGATTAATGACCCGGCCAACCCATTTAATTGGTCTCGTTTGTATCGTTGGTATATCACGATGGTTGTGTCGGCCCTGGTTGTCTGCATTGCCTATGGCTCTTCTATTGTCACTGGGGGCCTGGGCTTGATCGAAGAAAAATATCACGTCTCTCTGGAAGTGGCTACCCTGACGTGTTCCATCATGGTTTGCGGGTTTGCTGTGGGCCCACTACTGTGGTCTCCTTTATCGGAGATAATAGGTCGACAACCGGTATACATTATCTCGCTGGCGCTATATACCATATTCCAGATCCCATGCGCCCTGTCGCCAAATATCGGTGGCCTCCTTGCCTGCAGGTTTCTGTGCGGCGTCTTCTCCAGTTCTGGTCTTTCCCTGGCTGGTGGTACCATCGCAGATATCTGGAACATTGAAGAACGCGGTATGGCCATTGCCTACTTTGCTGCCGCACCGTATTGTGGCCCCGTTATTGGCCCCATAGTCTGCGGTTGGATCAATGTCGGCTCACATCGGCTCGATCTCTTCTTCTGGACCAACATGGCTTTTGCAGGAGCAATGACGATTATCGTCGGGCTCATTCCAGAGACATATGCGCCGGTAATCCTCAAGCGCCGTGCAAAGAACCTTCGCCAGGAAACCGGCAACTTGAATATCATCACAGAGCAGGAGCAAGCCAAGCCGAGTTTCCGCGACATCGTCCGGATCAGTCTCATCCGACCCATTACAATGATTTTAACTGAACCTGTGCTAGATTTGATGTGCATGTACATCGTCCTCATCTACGCCTATCTTTATGCTTACTTTTTCGCCTACCCCGTCGTTTTTGGCAAACTGTACGGGTACAATGATGGCCAGATCGGCCTCATGTTCATTCCTATATTAATTGGCGCGGGCTTCTCGCTACTCATTACGCCCATGATCGAGAAGCGTTTCAAGCAAGTGTGTCGAACGCGGGCGCCCACACCCGAAGATCGTCTTGTTGGTGCCCTACTCGGTGCACCATTCATCCCCATTGCGATGTTTATTCTCGGCGCGACGTCGTTCAAGCATATCATCTGGGTTGGTCCAGCGTCATCTGGCATCGCTTTTGGATTCGGAATGGTGCTGTGTTACTACTCAGTGAATAATTATATCATCGACTCGTATCAGAAGTACGCGGCGTCGGCGCTGGCCGCGAAGGTGTTTTTGCGGTCAGGTGGCGGAGCTGCGTTTCCGCTGTTCACAACCCAGATGTATGACCGGCTGGGGTTGCAATGGGCGTCATGGCTATTGGCCTTTATTGGAGTAGCGATGGTGCTTGTTCCATATGGGTTTTATTGGTTTGGGGAAAGAATTAGAGCCAAGCTGTCTCACACATGAGCTCAGATTTCAAAACACAGTTGCAACTGAGCTGGAAATCCTTGGTATGGAGACCTCCGTAGAATTGGATAGAAGGACCAATCATTACAATCTAATATAGAGTGTCCTTTTTCTAATTCCCAGAAATCGGAGGGAATGTTGTTTATATAGAATTTAATAAGAAAATTTCAGTGCGATGTGTATATTCGGTAACGCAATTACAGTTTTGTCTCCATGAGCACAACTCCATTACATTCAGACAAGCTCGAATATAAGGGAGCCTGGAATGTTCAGCAGGTCCATTAGAGACTACGGTTTCATATATCAATGTACGATAAAAGTTGCTTGTACAGTAACATGAAAGAAAGCTTAGCGCTCACAAATCTCTCCTTCCTCAGCCAGATTGGCCAAAGTTCTTCGCATGTAATGTTGGTCATTACGCAACCTCCCCCAGCTCCTTCTTGTCGGTGATCAGTCGAGTGGTAAAAGTTCAGTTTTAGAAGAGCTCAGTAAACTTGTGTTACCACAAGAGAGCGGCATTTGCACAATATATGCGACACAAATAGATTTGCTCTGGACTGAGGAAATTGAAAGGAAAATCACGGCTTTCTTAATCATTGAACTCAATGTGGGTAGTGAACGTGCCCCACAGCTAAAGGCTTGAGCGGCTGAAAATATACAAGGCCTAATACTAGACTTCTTAATGATAATAGTAGAAGTAGGCAGAGCAATTACGATTACAACATAGCCTTTGATAACTTCAGCCTTATATAAGTTTCTTCCCATGAAGCACCATGTTGTGTGACATGATATGCGCCATATTGGGATTCCTGGCATGCGGATAGCTAGTCCTCGCTGAGAATCAGACTTCTACGCCAGCATGAACGCCTTGCGGCCGTTGGAGACGTCTGAGGCTCCCAACAGTGTGGAGGACCATAGTTTCTTGAAAGTGTTTCATTAATATGTGCCAAGGTGCCTGAGGGCATGGTGCATACATACCTCAAATTCAGCTTTGCCATCATAAAGATATTTATGCAAGGATAAAAACTTTTCGGTTAAGGTAGCACCTTAGGATTCAAGACAGTGCAATTTACTAATACTAGAAGATCTCTGGATATAGGAAATACAGTCAATATATCTTACAGAGCAAGCCGTATAATATAATATTACATCAGAGAGAGCGAAAAACGAACTCGGGTCAACCATCGCTCCAAGATGTCTACCATAATAAACAGTATCCGGGGTAACGAAGAGAGAACCGCTAAGGTGAGGCTTAAATTAAAATTCTCAATGTGGACAAAGGAGTCATGGCATTCGTAGCCAATAATCTAGCATTTAGATACATACGCTCTTTCCACAAGTGACAATCGCAGACAAACTTAACAAGGCATGTGCCAACACACCGCAGCCTAACAATCATCTTCATCCCCATCCTCGCACTCGCACTCGGATTCGGACTCACTATCATCAATATATATCTCGTCTCCAAGTCCTGAATCCCGGAGCGCCCTTCTCCTGGTCGCTTTTTATTTGACTTGGGCACTTGCAACATCCAGTAAAAGATCCTCCTCGCCGTTCCTGCAAGATGCCCCCTTTAAAAGGTGTTTATAATCATTTCCCAGCTCCTCCACCAAGGCTAACAACATGTTCTTTGGTAGATAGCGCCCAGGGGTTCCCCAGAAGGGTTCGCCCATTTCATCGCGAAGATATACGTCCGCAGTCTTGTCTTGGTTAAACCGCCATGCTCGCCGCAGAACTTGCAGGCAATAGTGAAAGTATAGGTACCGGGCTGCTGGGCGGAATGATGTTCGAAATTGCAGCTTCCTCCCATCTAGATCTCTATATCTGAGCGGCGATTCTGGCAGAGGTCGCCTGTCTAGCTTATCCCACGTCATGTCGATTATCCTGATCTTGTACTCTCGTACTTTGCCCTTCAACCACCCGAGGAGCTCGGCTACCTGTGGCCGTTCTGGTAGATCTGGCACAATAACCAGTTTTCCATCGTCGAAATATTTCTCTATGATAGATGAGATAAGAAGCCCATTCCGGGCAGATAAAAGCTCTGGTTCGCTGGTTTTGCCGCAAATGGCATCCATTGTGTCTTGTCCATGCATCCACGCAAATAAATGAGCGGCAGTGACCCCATAACGCCACATACGACATATAGTATCTCGAGTTTGTTTGTCTAAACTACTGGCCAATACTGTGATACATTTTACGAAACTACCTGAAGTTGACGTCTCCCACAGGAACTCGCTAGTTGTTATCATGGAGATCAAATTCATGGTTGATCCTTGGATGCAGAGACAGCCTGTCTGGATCGTGGATACGCCACCGCTTCATAAGGTCCCGGTATAAGGGCTGACCCGTCATCAGTCCACACTTTTGCTTCGCTCGCGAATTTATCGCTTATTCCTAGAGCGAAACAGGTAAATATAACTGGAGGTATAGTATTTGCCAGGTGAGGCAACTCTTGGTAGCAGAGACTTCATCGGTCTTTAGCATGGTACCTATAGCATTCCGGGCGTTGTTTAGAGAGAGTAATGAGATAATTGCGAGTAAATCTCTTTGAACAGCTGCTTGGCCCAAGACCTAGGTTGAAACAAAATAATGTACTGTGACAATTCTAAATATGGCTTCTGTTCTTTCGAACGAGATTTCTCCGCAGTAGGTCTGTCCCGGCTAGGTTGTTCGTGCAAGCGATGATAGTTTCATCTTATCTGTGCTATACTGCGCGCGCTATAATGAAAATATAGGTATCTGGCTGCTGGGGAAATGAACTCCGGAGTCTCTATTTATCAAGAGTTTCCACGTAGCTCGTAGCGACACTAGGAGCCTTGGGACGCGCCATAACTTTCCCCACTGCCTGGAGATCAAAGCGTAACTGCATCTCTACGACTAAGCTGCAATTTGGAAATGGCCCACTTGCCCAGTTTGTTGCAATGTAAGCAGGATTTCCCTTTGCCGCCGTACGAACCCCCGGACAACATCTCAGGTTAGTGCATTCCAGCGGATATTGCTCGTCAAGCGGCTATTCCCATGATGGATGTAGACACATGTCCCTGTTCTTTTCTTGCAAGAGCAGCTGTGTATCACAGTGGTATTTTCGGCCGAGGTGCAGTAAGTCCAGGGCTGCAATTGAGCACGGCAAGTACGACACAAGATCGTGGCATGTTTATCCTTCTAAAGAGCACATGGACAGACTTCGTCACTCTTTTTGCATCAAAATACTACGCAGTGCACTAAGTCATGACCCGTTATAATGAAGCCCATCCCGTACTGGTATCGCAGGATGAACCAGGCACCTTCTCAATCTTAGCTTTTTTGCTGCCCGTACCCCCTTGCTGCTCGATTCTACGAGCACTGGATGTAGTCATTTCAGCCTCTAGCATCGCTGCCTTTCTAGCTTGGACCGCCACGGCATGTTCTATCTGTCGGACATGGAATAACCCCTCTCTGACATTGGTTGAGGTTCCCGGCGTCTTTTATCACACCTCTCTTGACTCTGCTAATACAGTCTAGGGTAGTTTTTCCTCCATTCTGCCCTTCGCATATCCTCTTTCTCTGCACTTTTCCCTTGACCTCTCCATCGAGATCAGCTGGCAGCTTTATACTGTGTCCTCCATGAACCCTCGATATGTAACTTTGCTTACAGCCATCATGGGGTATGTTTGAAAAGGTGCTCCGTTAGATTGGCGTTATACGGACGCCAGCTGAGGGATACCACCCCCGGACGGAGCAAGTTGAGATAGCCGGGATGCTGTCACAGGCTGTAACTTGCAGGCTGCCCACCCCGTTTCCGGGGCTTGGAGACGTTAATTATGACTGGCCCGTCCGCCTCACCGCGAGTATTTTTAGCGACTCGGTCCAGAATCTGTGTGAACAGGTACCTTTCCACGTGGGTCGGGACTTGGACGGCCAGTGGCCTTTCCTAACGGCCCACGGCAGAGGACCTGCATGACGAACATGGTGGCTGCGTCAATTATTCGTGTTTTGCCTGTGCCCAGATATCCTACCATAAAGGGAGAAAATGTGTGTTAGCAACTGAGTAGTTGCTTGAAAGCCTTTGCTGGGTTGCCAGATTGGTTGTATATACCCGGGTTTCATTAGTAAGTTGGAAGGCCCCAAGAATGTAGGCATACATCGCCTCAGCGAAAAGATCCAAATGTCGAACACTGGCCTCTCGCTTGGTGCAGGACAAAGTGCAGCTATCTGCCATCGTAATGTGACACCATGGATCCAATGAACAATACCTTCGTCTGTTCCCGTACCATAGATTCGCAGGACGAGCTCTCCCTGTCGTTATGACGATGAAACCACTCGCCAATAACGGCCAATTTATCAATATGGGTGGTATGCCTTGCAGCACCCAACATGGCGAAAGCAAGGGCGTAGAGATGGCAATCTCGCAAGATGGCTTGTTGGCGTTCTCTAAGCTCTGCACATGCCGAACGCACGATTTGGTGCAGGATAGTCAGATTCGATGGAAGAATATTCATTCCTCTGCATCAGGAAGGTATTCATGGGGAGGTGACGTGTTAAACGCTCCGAGAACCGTATTCACTGGCCGATATGGAACGAAAATTGTGGCAAGTTCATGGTGAGATATATCGACATATGGATTGTTTCTTCATCGTAGCATGGCCAACCAAGGCTTTCAAGGGGCTGTTGACGAAAGAGCGGGTATGAGCATAGAGAATTCCCGGTGGGCGAATACCTCGTCGGCAGCGATACGTAATTGAAATCAGGAATTCAAGTCTTTTTGAGTCTCTCGTACATTATGTTCAGTTGCTGTAGGCTGTCAAGAGTCTCATCTGTGATATATACTTCCCTCTTTTGTACGTGATATGCTGGCTGATATGGACAGTATATTACAACGATCTGCATGTGAACCGCGTTAACGATCAATCCGTAATCAGAGCCACAGACAGTCAGCATTAGCATGTCGAACAAATTCATGCCCGCATTCCGCAATAGATGGCCGTATATCCGCAGGCTACTGGCAAACTCTAACAGACGGAATATTCACCAGTGGTTTCCCCAGCCAGCTCAGATCGTAGAAGTACTGCATAATCTCCTCATCTGAATCAAGCAAGAAATCAGGGGATCTACGGTCATCCCGGATCCGTATTGTTACCAAGACATTCAAATCTTACGGCAGTAGTCTTGCCATCATATCCCGAAGAGCATATTGCCTACCTGACACACTTCAGCAACTCCAGCTGAAACGTTCATCTTTCCGGCACCCGGTGGCCCAAGAACGAATGGCCGAATGTGAACGTAGAGCTTCCATCTGCCTGTGGTTATCCACCTTGGTGGAGCGGTATATAGATCGTCTACGGGCCGTGGAGGTGTCCAGACGACTTCGGATTGATGATGAGCATGCGCATTTGCGGGCTCTCTATGGTTATATTAGTTTAAGAAGCCAACGAGGTCAGGGGAGTCAAATTCCTCTTTCCTTATAGGGAACAATGAGAGTGATATTGCCATGGAGGGACCTACTATATAGTGGAGACAACCTGGAGGTATACGTTGGTCATAGTGGTAGCAAGGTAATTATTAGAACATGTTGATATATAGGATGAACCTTGAGAAGAAAAGGCATACAGAAACAGCGCATTTGAGCAAAGAAGGAAGGGGCTTTATATAGACCAGGGATTCCAGTGAAATACAAAGGCTCCAAGATGTGCAGTGCACTGAAACGTAGGAGTGAATATAAATGTATGGCATATAGCCAAGGCGGAGGATCCCTGCTATCAGTACAAAGAGACGCAGGTGGCTCTGGGTATAACCGCTTCCCCTATGGTGATATTTTGCCGACTGTCTTCACCAATACCAATTCACGTGCTTAGTCCGTTGTAAAAGAGAACAGATCCAAGAGCCATATCGAATGGCCGATATGGATAACGCATCAAGTCGGTTAATGGCAGGTCGGTCGTATTTTGATGGGAATACCCAAGTAGACACAATGACTTCGGGGCATTCTATGAATAGGTCAGTAGAGATATCACTTGTTGACGGATGGGCCATAGTGAATGTATATGGCGTCGTCTATTCCAAAAGATCCCGCCAGTTGTCTAGGACGTGAAGGTTATTCTCTTTAAGAGTTTCCAGTCCTTACTTTACCTTTACTTGTTATTATCCTAGGAGCTCTGATTGGCGGTGTGAACACCCAAGAGATTTCGAGCGCTGCAGCCGCACGAGAGCAGTCTAAGCCAAGCAGCCAAGCATTGAATGCCGGAAGTTAGACCAATGGAAGCCTAAATCGAAATAGTTAAGTCGGCATGTCTACATCTGACAGCTATGAGAAGAATTACAGCAAGCAGCACGGAATAGGAACAGAAAAACGTTCTGACAGGGTAATTTTCTTTCCGGAAATAGAATATGATATCTTCATTGTGCTGCCTTTGAAAGGAAAACAGCGTCGGAGATATTGCATTAACTGAAAGGCAATAAGGAAGGCAAAGACCAAGAGAACCCAATCGAATGATATAGTACATAATTGACAAAGAACGTGTGACTCCGTGCAAACCTCAGCCATTAGTGATTATCGAATCAATCGTATGCATCATGCGCCATGCATCATATATTGTACAGTCAGGATCTGCATGAGCTGTTAGCGCCATGATACAACTGCATCCTGGTATAAGCATCGTACCGAAATTAGTTTTATTTTGATTTTTTCTTATTTCTTTCTTGTTTTGTTCTCCTCTGGTTTCGTGTCGGATCAATTCTCGTGGACCGGCTTTCGCAAGCGAGGATAATAGAACAAAAAGAAGACGATCACCGCCAACAACACGACCAGCGTGGGTAAAAACATAAAGGTAAACAGCAGCAGACTCAAGCCGAAGGCGGCACTCTGTCCAGGAAAGAAACGACGAGCCATGATTTCACAAGCGTCCCAGAACATGGAGAGGATGGGAGTTGAGAGAAAGGCGGTGATGGACATCGGCGGTCGGGGAGCAACGGCGCTAGAGCTCTTTCCGGTCGAGGGCGATCAATACCAACTCAGTCTGGGGATGGTCGACCGCCGGTAAAAGATGTGGACTTCGAGTGGATTTATTCAGCACAAAGGTTGCAATGAGTCGGTGTCGGAAAATAGGGGAGTCAATAGGTGATTTATTGAACCGCTCATGGAAGGGGGTTCCAACACATGCAGATGGAGAGATGAAGGGGAGGGAAATGAAGGTATACATTAAGTACATTAATTAGGTTGTACAGTTAGAGAGAGAGTCAGTCACAATCTGCCGTTTACTTCCCGCTGACTAAGAACATGCGTTCGTCCTGTACACCGTAATGCGTCTGGGAAGGGAAAATGGTATATCGAGGAAAATAAATTACGGGCTTAGTTTTCAGTTCAGTACTCCCACGAATAGATTCAGCGTCTATTTCGCAAATCATAATTTACACCATTACACCATGACGGTTGCTAGAAGCATGGGAATTCGACACAGACGAAGAGGAGTATCCGCGATCCGCCGTAAGGATCCCTCCACTAGTGAGAAACGATTGGCTCGCAATGGCAGGACCCCCAATAACTCCACCAAACTACCGGCGGCTAAAAGTAGTTGGGGTTGTCACTAATCCTGATTCGGACGAATGACGCCAGAAGTAAGGCACTTCTTTTTCTTGCGCAGGCAGCAACATTCCCAATCAGAATACGTACGATTACTCCGTACTACGTACTCTTTACTGGTATCGTACCGTTCTGGTATGAAACACCCCCTCGTCCCAGGGCGTGTTCTCAGTGAAATGAAGCGCTTCTATATATGGAAATAGTACAGGACACAAACTCTGTGGAGAACGAAACTGTTTTGCCTGGACCGACTTCCTCTATGAGGCACACAATCGATCATGTGGGTTTCTTTGGTGGAAGGATCCAGATTAGAGACAAAACCCCCCGGGGGGAAAGAACCATAGCTCCCCTCTAGGCAACCACATACCAATTAAATTAATTCGCTTGAAGGTTCGGTTGCCATATAAAGAAATTACTGTGTAAGTAGCACTGCGCCAGTGGCGTGGATAATAACAACCACTTCCGAATGAAGTAAGTGATTTCTTTTTCTTTGGTCGGGATATTTTCTATTTCTTTCTTTGCAGGATGCGTCCTTGGAGTGTAGTACTAGAGAATCAATGGATCACCGCTTACGAGTCCTTGGGAAATATTCCGAGGTTTATCCACTCATGCTCCCATCCTAGGAAACCATGCACAATACGCTAGGCCATAGGGCAACTGGCCAGTGGCAAACAGGGCAAAACAAAGGTCCCATACTTTCAACCGTGAGAACCAATTGCCTTGTAGGGCTGAAAGCTTGGCACGGATCCTCGGTTGTCACTTCGTTACTTCCACGGATACCAACAGGGAGAGGAACACAACTGCTATTAATACACCAAATTATTTATTATTTATTACTATGTTGATTTATTACCTTCCAGGAATGTTGTGTAAGATCGACAACAATACTTAAAATGTCCGTGGGGCGCACCCCTTGCACCCCGAAGAACCCTGATTAACCGCTTTATCTCTCGCTCTCTCTCTGCTGTTCTCTTTCCTTCCCTCTCTCCCCTTCCTTTTTTTCCACCTGCCTTTCTGCAGGAATTTTCATTGACCGAACCGCGGATATGCGGACTACCCTTCACCGCCTCACCATCGCACCTTAAATCCCCTCTAATGAATTTATTGCTATACCTTCTGGCACAACATCCCTCAGTCGACATGGGTCTGCTTACGGGAAGCCGCCAACTCGATGCGGCCGATGCCCACAACTTTGGAGTGGATTGGGTCATCCACTACCAGTTTGAGGATATGGGTATGTGATTCTTCCAATATTCACCCTATTATCGAGTTGAATTCGCTCCCGCTAAACTTGCCTGCGTTGTCCAGAGATGCTGAAGGCCATCGAAGAATTCCGAGCCCTCATCAAAGATCTGCAAGAAGCGAAATTGCAAGTGCAAGTGCGCCCTGGTTATGGCGCTTCCTTGTTGCTGTGCATTCGCGTCCCTCGCGACCACCTGGGAAATATGGTCTATAAATCTCGGTAAGACCAATGACTTTCTCCCACCCCGCGTTTACCGGTTTCTAACCCTGTCTAGGGTGAAGGATTGGCTGTATGGGATCATCCACGAACTCCCCATCGGCGACGAGCACACCGCGATCGACTCCGAAACGCCAGCCGAAGAACTCCGATCCGTATACCACGCCGTCACCTGGTCCAAGGCACTGGGTGGTGCGGGCGTCACCGCGCAATTAGGCCAGTGGAAGAACGTGGCCAGCACCTTTCCGTTGCATGACCCGACCGCCAACGCCAATCTGTTGCGCAAGTGGAGCCACACGCTCCTGCTAAATGCAGAGGATCTGGATGCGATTCGCGCCTTGTATGGGGAGAAGGTATGGCCGGACCACCCCCTCCTGATCAGTGGCGCTAACGTGCCGGGATTCTAGGTCGCCTACTATTTCGCATTCATCCAATGCTATTCGACGTTTCTGGTCTTCCCCGCCGCGTGGGGCATCTTCACATGGCTCTATCTCGGACCCTACTCCATTACTTCCGCTCTGGTCAACTGCCTCTGGTGCATCGTGTTTGTCGAATATTGGAAAGTCCGGGAAACTGACCTTGGCCTCCGATGGAACGTCCGGGGCGTGGGTGCCTTGAAGGTGAACCGCCCACAATATGTATGGGAAAAGGAAGTACGCGACTCCGTGACGGGTGAGACCGTTCGTGTCTTCCCGGCGCACAAGCAATTTCTTCGCCAGCTGTTGCTGCTGCCATTTGCCTCCATCGCCAGTCTCGCATTGGGTTCGTTGATCGTGGTGACATTCGCCATGGAAATCTTGATCTCGGAAGTTTATACAGGCCCATTCAAGGAATACCTCGAGTTCCTTCCGACCATCCTTTTCTCCCTGTCACTTCCGTGGATTAACGATACCCTGACGGACATGGCCACCAAATTAACCGATTACGAAAATTATCGCACCCAGGACCAGTATGATATTGCACAGACCACAAAAACCTTCGTCATGAATTTCATCACCTCCTTCCTCCCCACGATCCTCACGGCATTTGTCTATGTCCCATTTGGCGCCCGACTGCTGCCGTATCTCGACGTGATCCGCGTTGGAAAGCTGGCAACGGCGTTCGACACCCGCCGAGTCCATATCGATCCCTCGCGGTTGCAACAAGAGGTCATTTATCTCTCGGTGATGGGACAGGTCATGAGCTTTGGTGAGGAGATTGTGCTGCCCTATGTAAAACAAGTGGTCATGCAGAAGTGGCGCCACTATCGACAAAAGAATGTGCCGGCCGGACAAGGCCGCCGTTATTCCTCCCGAACCGACCAGCTGTTAATAGATGCCCCGGGTGAGGCATCCTTCCTGTCGAGAGTCCGGAACGAGACGGAAGCCGACGAGTACAACGTCCATGACGACACACTAGAGATGTGCGTCCAGTATGGGTATCTAGCACTCTTCGGCGCGTCATGGCCGCTGGTACCGCTCGGTTTTCTGCTCAATAACTGGCTGGAGCTACGGGGAGACTTCTTCAAGTTGAGTCTCGAATGCCAGCGGCCGCCTCCCATCCGAGCCGATTCCATTGGGCCGTCGCTCCAAGGATTAGAAGTTCTCACTTGGCTCGGAACTTTGTCCACCGCAGCCATCGTTTACCTGTACCGTGGCGGTATGGCCGACGTGCGTCTATCCACGCTCCTCTTGATCCTCCTTGCGGCGGAATGGGCATATTTGGGGCTCCGCTTCGTTGTACGGACGGCTGTAGAGAAGATCGCCACCGGCTCACTTCGAAAGGAGGCCGCCAAACGATATGCCCTTCGCAAGAACTATTTGGACACACTTACACGAAGTACATCGCCTAAAGGTCGACAACGCGTCCGCTTCGAAGACCGTGTCAATGTTTATACCACAGGAACGGATGTCAGAACCAACTCTCAGGAATTCCTGCACCCCGGTCATCATGAGACATCGAATGAGGAACGATTCTGGTCTTGTCCTACCCAGGATACTGCGGACGCCGGCGTTCGGTTGATTAAAGCCCTGTGCATGGGAGATCGGGTGCAACCAGAGAATAAGTCCGAGAAGATGACAAAGGGTGCATAGAGTGCTCCTTTACAGCCCATATTCGATGATAGATTTCTTTTTTTTTTCTTGCGTTCTCCACATTATACGGTTGACCTGTAACCATCGCTGGTGTCGATAACTTCCCTGCTGCGCGGGATCTCTTGTCGATGTCTGTACCCGAGGCAATAAACCTCGGTTACCGTGGATTTGACATCCAATTCATTGATAACGATAGCGCTACCAGTTCCATGGATGCGCGAATAGCTACGCTCTTGTACATCCTGGCATACATACCTTCCTTCCGTTTCCGTTTCCTTGAGTCACGTGGTTCCAGGATTTTCTGCGCGAATCACATTAGTCAATATCTAACTATTTAATATACGTCGGTTCTATTGAACACGTTTCTTTGCATATTAGGAATTGTAATGAGCGTTCTTACCGTAAGGCAAAATACTGTAGGGGAAACCACCCTCTCGTTCAATAATTCATGCTCGTGAAAATTTGGGACTGAGTCTATTGGCACCGCGCGTTGATCAAGTTGCTTACCATAGACAGTTCCCTTGCTAGTTTCTCATGCTTAATCTTAAATTAGAAAGTGGTGATTAACTGTGAGAAGATAGTAAGAATGGAAAGCAATGGCTTGAAAAAAAAGGGAAAAAAAAAAAAAAAGGTTAGCCTAAAGGGTAATCATTTGATAATGTGGTAAGGAAATATATTTCGTCACATCCGCAAGCGGTAAAAGTACAAGTACTAACTATACTTTCACCATGACGCCCTGTCCGATAGAAAACATGTACTACCTATGTAACACAGCAGCCTGCATGGGTCACATGGCTTTTATTTTACCTCTAGCGAGTCCACGTGCATTGATTTGGGAAAAGGGGCCTGAGGATTTCCCACTCCCGACTGGGGAAGATGAAGTCCCACATCCACATCGTTCCACGGACCACACAGAAGGTTCTACCACTAACACCAGATCCAACCATGCATTGCTACGTATCCTCAATACGAAACTAGGACTCTGACAGGCAGGGTGGCCCCCGGAAATGCGGAACGGTATGAGTTCCCCTCATTTCTTGAAATAGGTCATCTCCGAAATGGGTCAACTCCACGGTAGGGCTGAGACATGGCATTGGTGAGGGATCTGAAAAGTCAAGCGGGGCACCGGTCGTTCGGCAACAGAACATTACGCAGCTTATGATAGGTACATCAGTAGTTGGTCCTAGTTCGCATGTTGCCTGCAGTATAGAGTTGATACGTGGATTGGGTAGGGATGGGTATGGATGCAGATGCTTGGTCATGCAGTAGAGGGATGCGTTGGGAAAGGTGATGAGCGGTAAAGGCATGCCACCAGTTATCAAGATCAAAGGAAGGATGACTGAGAGGAATCGTCGAATCCTTCTAGTTCTTCAGGATCTTACTAGTAGTAGTTATAAGATGAAATTAGTGGCAGTCCACTTTCAGCCCTACAAGGCAAAGCCAAGTTCAGGGAAAAGTCAATCAGTTATCCATGGTGACCAATCGCAGACCTCGGCTAGTTCCCCAGTTCATTCCACCTCTTCTTAAGTTCCGTGACCGACATTCCAGTCTTTTTAGTCGCCCTGTTCCCCTTTCAACTTTCATTAATTTCTTTGCTTTTCTTTTTCTTTTTTTATCTTTACCCGTTCCGTTAAAACAGGGTGCTACCCGCCCTTCTTTCTTTCCCCCTTCCCCTCACTCCCTTTTTCTCATTCTGACACTAACCTCCTCTTTCCCCCCTACTTCTTTCTTCCCCCTTCCTCGTTGACTTCGCTCTTCTGGAGGAGCGAGTCTCCTCCGGTTGCCCAATGTGTCCCCTCTCCGAATCGAAAACCGAGCTCTTTCTCCAGGAAGAGAATGAAACGGGAAAGATCGTCCCTATGGTGACTGTCGTCCGTCGGCGGGGGCGATTGCATTTGGTCCACCCTCACTGGTACCGCAATAGTTTATTGGCGAGCACAGGATTTCTTGAGTTCGCTAATGCCGGTGATTTCGCTGCCAATGTGTGGAATGAGATCCCCGTACCCCGACATGCAATGATCTTGATGGCCATTGGAGGACCGCTCGCTTTGTTGATGAGTATTGTCGCCCTCCGCGACTTTATTCTAAGCTGGCGGAATGTGAAACTGCTCCGCGCCGAACGTCAATATTTACAATCGTTGAAACGTGACTATCTTGCCTCCCCCAGCCCGGAGTCGGATCTGATCCGACTGATCGACAGCCGTCTTGGCCTTAGCTGGCGCGAATTGGGCACAGAGCTTATTGACCGTGTCGCTATGGACGTTTTCCTCGGTCTCGGGGCGCTCCTCGTCGGTATCGGTACGATTATGGCCATTTGGGGAGCCCATCCGAAAGTCTTCAACGCCAGTAACCTCCTATCGGGGTTCGTGGGAAACTCCTTCGCCGCAGAGTTCGGCGTCGTCAACGCGGTCTGGTCCATCTACCTGGCCCGGCGATTCCATCGCTATGATAGATTCTGTGCGCGGACCCCGGCCCTCTCATCGTTCCGCGACCGTCTCCACCTCCGGTTCAACAAATTCAAATGGCACGCCGTCGTTTCCGGACTCACCGGTCTCATCGCCGGTGCCGCCTCCATGGTCACAGCGAAGATGTGGTGGGGGTACGTGGTGCTAGCGCCCTGTATGGTTCTGCAGTTGTTATGCAACCGGTTCTGGCGAACCCAGCTGGGCTACGACCGCCCGATCGTCAGCGACTACGATCAACGGGGCATCCTCATTCGCGAGACGCAAGAAATCCGCGACGAAGAAAAAGACGGACCGCTACTGGATAGTCTGGCCTCTACGGTAACCCTGTACAACGCTTTGGGTGCCCTTCCCTCGCCGAGCGAGGCCCTCGACTGGACGAGTCTGGACTCGCTTGTTCAGTTCATGATCACGAATGACCTCTTCGATTCCCTTTGCGACTGGCTCGTACGCGATAAATCCGTTCCTTCCGACGTCCGCGACGCCGTCTTCCGTGACCCCTCATCCTCCTCGGAACACACCGAGATTACGGTCTCTCCTGACCACCTCCTCCGCATTCCAGCCCAATTGCAAACGCAATTGCGCGATCTTTGTCGTCAGTTTCTCCAAGGGGACGGACGGAGGGTGCTGCTCTATCGGGAGCGGTATCTGTTAGAGATGATGGGGTCGATGCTCTCCAGGGAGAGTCAGTAATGTAGCACACCCTGTATACTATTATGTACATCGCATCTCTTGGATGGGGACATCGATTGGGACACTCTGTGCCGGCACATGAGGCAGTAGATCTGCAAGCATAGATATTAATGTTGTTATCTTAATGGATAGAGATGCTCATATATTGGACAATTTTATTAAATCTTACTGCCTAATGAATAACATGAAGTGAACAAAACGCCTGGAGAACTCCATATATTGCCGTTCTTTTCGTATATTACTAGTTATCGGTGCACCCATCCCATAGGGTACAAAAAATGATGCCTCAGGCCCCCATCCATCGCAATGGATTCCAAAGGATGAACGGATAAGCAGTAAGTCCGGTGCCGAACCGAATCGACTCCGTTTCCCGCCCCACTCTTTTTGTCCACCAAAGCAATCAACAACAGTCTACTACTAATTACTTCCTACTCATCACCGATATGGGCTGTAGAGGACTATGGAATCTACACATCCATTGTCAGTAAGACCAGAATACCTCTCTAATTCACTAACGCTCACCCACCCCTCTAGGAACATGGTACCGCTCGTATCATCCTCGGGCACTGATAAGCCATCCGGATGATAAACGGACATTGCGAACGGTTAGAGAAGTACTTGATAAACCCTCCGATCTTAAGGGATGGGTGCTATCTCCATGCCCCAGTCCGATTCAATCGAATTTAGATTACGTATACACTATCGACCACGATGCAGATGTTTTCATAATCTCGCTCTGGGGAGAGCCCGACGGTATCTTGGTACCAACAGCGATACGAGTCGACCTAACTAGATTTCATGAAGAGGATTTCAGCCTCTCTATCAACCATCCCCTTCCACGATCTGAGTATTTGGTCGGAGATAGTATCAGCGTGGTCAACAGTTGTCCGTATACACTACTACTAAATTTAGAATTTGGTCTCCCAACTCCCATGAATGAGCTTCAAGAGCGATTCTTTACAGCCTTTGTCTTCTTATGGCGCTTCTATATCGATGACCCCTTGACATGGAGATACACTTCTCCCGTCTTCAAATTGCTATGCATAGCTCTGCTACGCCTTGCTGCCTGGGACTTTGAATTGTGCCCCAACTTGGACTTTGGAAACGTTGAACTTCCAATTTCCTTCTCCTCCGCTTCATCCTGGAGCTACCCCATGACAGACATATATTGGTTCCATAGGTATCTTGTAGTTTTACACGAAGACATCAGGCCCGTGAACATGAGGAATGAAGCTCTTATGAAAGTGAAATCATATATCAACAATCTCGACTACGAGTGCAATAACGTCCACATGATCCTTATCTCACCATGTCATGTTGCCTTTATGGAACTGTCCCATGACACCATCTTAGCCTCCAAAAACCTACCCCTGTTGACCAGTTTATCAGCAAAACAATGCTCACCGGGATTTCGTGCTCTTTCCCGGATTCTAACGTCAGATTGCTGGAAGAAATTCCAAGCTTGCAGAGAAACATGGAACCATAACCTCTCACCTGAGATTCTCCACAATATTGTCCACTCACTGGACCCGCGAGATACCGTCTCATTTTCACAAGCTTCCTTTATAGCCGAGCAATGCTATTATGCCACAATCCCTCAGATGAAGAACACCGTCCTACAAAGCTTCAAATCATCTATCCCATGCTGTGGCAAACGTAGTAACTTAGAGGAGCAGGGCATCTGTTGCTCTCAGTGCCTTTCCTGGCAACACATGGAATGCATTAGTCTTCAAAATCGACCCTTGGACAATCAGTATGTTTGTTCAGATTGTTCCGAGAATAGAACCTGTACGACACTTAACCCCGGTCAGATCAACAGAACCAGCGGTCGAATAAGAAGAGAAGGACATCCGATCAAAGTTGGATGTTCTGAGCGGTTGTTTCGACTCCGACTCTCTAAGCCTTCCCAGCTGCGGCCAGGGCTACGGTTTATGGGAAATCTATGGGCAGGGCCCCCTAATCTTATAGATTACACAATTCTGTTCAACGGAGCATTTTCCGGCTTGGCTTATGGGTTGGAAATTAGAAGGTAGTGAATTAGAACCGTGTAGACTTTGGTGACGATAGAACATGCAAGCCAAGCCATACATACATGACTATTTACCGTAGACATCCAAATATTCTGTTAAATATTAAAGCCCACCCCCAAATACTACAAAGCAGGGAAACTAGAAACTAAACAAGCCACTCCTCCTCTTCCCCAAGGGATAAACCACCAAAGCTGCCACAAACAATCCCACCGTGATCCCGATCGCAACCTGCACCATCCCGAACCCCAAATCCTGCACGGACTTCTGCTGTCCCACGCCAGCAGAGCTTGTATCCCCATGACTAGCATTACGGGTGATATTCGACCGAATAGCATCCGCCGACTCAACACCCGCAATCAACGACCCAGACGCCGCAAGCCCAGACGGAACGAGGACAAATATCCCCGGTAAAATAGCCGTAGCTGCATGGCCGTGCCAGAGTCGACTGTACAGGTTCCCCATGACCCCTATAGCGAATGCGCCGACGGTGTTGGCGACCTGGGTATTTGTCCCGAGACGTTTGGTGACGAAGTAATTTGTTACGTAGCCTGTGAAGGAGATGATGACCATTACCGGGCCTTGTTTCCATTTCCCCTGGTTGATGATCAGGAGACAGATGGAGAAGGCGATGACGAAGGGGAAGCGGGCGACGTAGGGGTTCCTGAAGCCCAGGATGTTGGGGCAGGTTGTGTTAGATGTTGCGGTGCGGTCGATCAGGCCGTAAATGGTTGTTCCGACTGTGACGCCGTAGCCTAGGAAGAGGGAGTAGATGATTGCGTAGACCATGCGGATGGAGCCTGGGACTATCTTGTGAGACTGTAGTTCCAGACTGCTGCAGAGGACTGTGTAGCCGGGGAGGATGAGGGCGATGGAGGATTGGGCGATGGCGGAGAAACAGAAGAGGTATTGGTGTGGCTTGCCGTGGATGGTGGTTGTTATGCTGCCGATGGCACGCGCAATGAATGAGGTCAGCACTGCGGCTGTTACTTCGAAGACATTTGAGTAGAGGACTGAGCGTGGGGCAATGACATGTTGCATGATGCCGAGCAGACAGCCGTTGAAGAAGATGATAGGCATGTCGATGGGTCTGGCGCCGAAGGCGAACGGACCGACCATGGCGGTGGCTAGGCCGCAGACTAGCACGATGATTAGTTTGTTGTACCGGGGTTTTCGTTTCATGATGTCTTCTAATTCTTGGGTTGCTTCTTCGATTCCTATCACGTCGTGGATGACGTTTTTGTAGATATCGTGAGTCTCGGAAAGACGCCCTAGGTCGACGCCTTGCGAGACGCGGACGAGTTTTACTTCTGCAGTTCGTGTTGAAGGGTCGTCGAAGGACATTATCATGCACCCGGGCACGTAGAGATACTGGCTATCGACTTGGAGGACCTTCGCGGTCATTTGCATGTATTCCTCTAACCGATGCGTGGGGGCCCCAAAGACCATGAGTGCCTTGCAAAGCTGCATGATGTATCTCTCTCGCGCAATAATCTGTGCAATGTGCAGGGTAATTTGGATCTCATCCTCAAGCCTCATATTCCCGGGCGACTGTTTGCTGCGCCGTTTCGAGGCAGCCGTGAGCACTTCACTCGAAACCGGCGTGCTCGCTCCACTGACATTCGTCGAGGCGGTAGCCAGAGCATTAGGCGACATATTCGGTGGCTTCTTATACCATTTCATTTTCCGTGGCGTAGCTGTCCCAGATGCGCTCCCACTTAGAGGAGTCCCCATCTCCCTGGGAGACTGACTACTGGTTGATGGTGCGCCTATATGCGCATGATCCAGGGCTCCATTGAGTTTCAGAAGCTGTGACAAGACACCCCCAGTACTACCACGACGTCTTATTACTGCCCCATTCCACGCATCAGCAGGACTACCCCAGTAATCCGGACCCTTGTGCGGATAGTGTTTGTTATGTCTGGGACGATGATAAGCCATCTGGTCCTCAGACATTTCCCGAACAAGACGATGGGCCTCAGAGCTCGATCTACCGTGGTCATACCCCTTCTCGGAAAGTGTGAGCTCGCTACCTGCCGCCGAATCAGGACGATACTGCATAGCTCGCACAACCTTTTCATCCGAAGGTGGGCGCCCAAGCTGAGTCGCGAACTCTCTCATTTTCTTTGTTGCCGCATGTCTGAGCTCGTTAAGTCGGCCTAGAAACGAGCCATTGGTAGTACCAGGGTCAGAAGGATGAGCAAATGACTCTTTCTCAAAATCCACACTATCTGTCCCGCGGGGCTGGGCAAGATAAATCGATCGTTTCCTCGGCCGTGCCTCGGTGATATCTATAGACCCCTGAGTCGGGCGATGATGACTTTCAGGCGGTGATGCGTCGGGTGAGTCCTCTGATTCCGTGTCGACATCGCCATACTCGTATCTCAAGTCTGTTCCGAAATGGACCCGATGGCGAGACGGCGACACGCTGGTCGGGCTGACGCTCTGTGGATTGGTCTCTTGTGTCTCGGCATGCTGCTCAGGTGTTCCTTGCTCAGGTGTATCTGGGCTCTGATTCTCGACGCTCCGGTAGCTGATTAATGAACTCTGGCTCGCTTCACTGTCGCGGCGGTCCTCGGGCATTGGGGGTGGGCTGGTTGGAGGCGGTATGAATACGCCCGTGAGTGGAGCTGTCGGATGTAGGAAGTCTAGCTCTGTACGATGAAGAAATGGACTGTTTATGGTGTCTCGGGTGTATATGAAAATATCCAAGGTTAGGATAGGGCGATGTTGTTTATATCCAGATACGAGTGAGGCATAAAAATCAGCAAAACCACATGGCTAGGAAGGTTCTGGGAAGTCGAATAAACTTCACAATGACCCGCAGTCACAACAGCATTAGTCCCTCCAAGAGCAATAGAATTAAAAGTCTGGAAACAATGGAAAAACGGAAAACATCTACTGGACGCTCATCTAAGAATAGAAAAGGAGTAGTACAGGCTGCAGCATGGAAAACCAGAACGGGTCCTACCACGGGTAGATCAACGTCATATAAAGATCAGCGCACGATAACACCGCCAAAAAGCACCACTAGCAGCCTTATCGGAGTGGACAGCTGGTGTGGAACTCCCTGGACGTTGCATTGGAAGAAGAGTCTATGACGCAAACGGGCAGTATGTGGGTCCTTAAGAATTTCGGAGTTTTCAAATATATATACGACCTGTAGACGTTATCACACCGGCTTGAGCATTACTAAGTGATTACTCTAAAGATCATCTCAACACCTTTTTACTTGGAAATTGTTGCCCATTTTGTAGTATGCGATTGTGCTACAGAGTCGATCACTCAGTCGGAGTGAAAATATTTTGACCCATGTGAAAGCTTTAAATGTGGATCGCCGAAGGTCTAGACATTAGCTCTCAACTTAGAAATTCGATAGATCCAATCTAGAACCATCGGTATAGTCCTGTCAACGCTTGATTTGAGCATTTATCGGCCATTGCTCAATCGCGGAACTCTCTGTACCCGAGAAGATCCCGGCGACAAATCGGAATCGGAACCAGTTTAAGATTCACAGTGCGCAAGCCTCGGGATCTCTGAGAGGAAGCCGAGAAAGCTTAAAGCAGGTCGATTGTGGCCTGGAATATGAGGCAATTGCGTACGCTTGACAGATGTCGCTATGTTTTGCTCTATGTATAGGCTTTGGATACCTTTAAAGTCAGTGATCGCCCTTTACATGACCCCAAATTAGTTAGCGATTGAGTCAAATTCCGGTTGAAGACGTGTCAATCCTTTAGAGTGCTGTAAGTCATGTAGTATTTCCCGAGCCACGTTGAATGTATAGAAGCACATTATACGGGTGCCAGGCTAAGAGCATCGGGAAATTCTCCAATGAACCAAAACTTAGAATGTGTGTAGATGTTTAGGGAATGTGAGGCTACACGGTTTCTCATGATTCCCTGATTAGATGGGGTAAATACTCGTCCATAATTGACGACGCGTCTAAGCAAAGAAAGCCCATGTCTAGGTCAAGCTGGGAGTCAGGGTTCCTACTCTACCGGCCTCACTGAAGATTGCTTGGGAGCGAGTACGAGAGGGAGACGAAAACGAGGCAAACGAGGAAATAAATACCCTAGTACTAATCTCTCAGCTAAACGCTCCTTACTCTATTAATATCCCCTGTGGGTCTCCTAAGATTTAAACTACCGTGCGGCTTTCCCGAACGCGAGAACGAAAACGAATCCGACGAGAAAATAGCATTGAGAACCTGAATAACCTCTGCTGGTGCAATTTCAACAACATATCTGGGAGGATATAATCTGAAACAGCTCCACATAGTTCATACATAGCCCTTTTTACTTAATCTCTGTTGCTGCCAAGGAAGGCTATTAGAAGTATGGAGGTCTTCAGTTTCTGGCCTATGATTACTGGCTATGCCACCGTATTTTCCAATATGATTTCTCGTCTGCCTAGTTTTCTTCATTCCTTATATATCTGCGGTGTCTCTTAGAGACTAAATTTTACAGCGCCCTTGTCAATTGTGCCGACCTTGTTCTTCCACGACCATCTCATACACTCTTTTGTATTGAAGGATACCCAGCAGCAGCAGATAAACATGAATACACGTCGTGCAGACAGTGACCCAACAGGGGATGCAGTATCATTCTCCTTCTATCACTATGATCCGAGCATGGCCGGTGCCGTTATCTTTATCATTCTTTTCGCTGGAACAACGCTCTTTCATATTTACCAGATGGTCAGAACCCGAACTTGGTTCTTCATCCCTTTTGTGATTGGAGGCATATGTCAGTGACACTTTTCTCGGGGGAATAGAACGCTTTCATGAATAGGTAATGCTAACTCAAGTAGTTGAGGTACTCGGCTACATAGGGCGCGCCCTGTCCAGTGGGGAGTCTCCAAACTGGACCCTGGGACCATATCTCATCCAAACCTTGTTCCTTCTTCTCGCTCCAGCCCTGCTCGCCGCTTCTATATACATGTACCTCGGACGAATAATACTGGTTCTACGAGCCGAGTCTCACGCAATCATGAGAAAGAAATGGCTGACCAAAGTCTTCGTGACGGGTGATGTCCTGTCTTTCCTCCTGCAAGGTTCTGGTTAGTATTGAGTCGACTTACAACCATTCAACAACTGTAAGAACACTGCTAAGTATTGCTTCAACTATAGGCGGCGGTATCCAAAGCGGCGGCAGTCTTGACAGTATGAAGCTAGGAGAGAAAATAATCGTCATCGGCCTTTTCGTCCAAATATTCTTCTTTGGCTTTTTTATCGTCACGGCAGGCTCATTCGACTTGAAATTAAAGAAATACCCTATTCCGCGATGCCACTCCGCCCAGATCCCCTGGAGAAAACATATGAATGTGTTATACGCATCGAGCATGCTGATCATGATCCGGTCTGTATTCCGCTTGATTGAGTATCTGCAGGGGAACAATGGGTATCTGCTGCATCATGAAATTTTCCTATATATCTTTGATGCGGTGCTGATATTTATCACGATGGTGATCTTCAATATCTGCCACCCGAGTGAAATTGGCCGGCTTTTGGCTAATGAGGCGGATTATGAACTCAAAGATACGTTTGGTGTTGTACCGTGACAGTTGCCTTGTATATATTGCAGACGAGACGGCGTTCATTAATATCGAAATATGTTCAGTATATGAAGATTCGTTGTGTGGTTCTTGCAGTATTGTAAGGTTATGGGATTTACCAGAATTAGAGGAAGAGAGTTTTCGATATAGTGAGAGAAAGATACAAACAAGAGGGAATATTAAAGATATATAATCCCAGGTGAACATAATGGTGGGCTCTAGGAATCAATGCAGGCTGAACTGCACTTACTGCGTCAACGAAATACTAGTAAATAGGGATCAAAGCTTCTTTTGCACTGGACCACCATGGCCATTTCTTTGTGGTAAATGCATGAAGGCTTTACTCTCGTGTGCTTGTATGTATCCTCCAGGGGTGATACTAATTCTTTTTTCTTATAAAAGAAATTAATGCACCGTAAACTCAACAATTGGCCGGCTGGCCCAATGGCAAGGCGCTTGACTACGAATCAAGAGATTGCAGGTTCGATCCCTGCGTCGGTCAGAATTTTTGGTTTTTGCCACCAGGGTTCCATATCTTTCCGAATATGAAAAGTTGTGGATCTTCAGGGCAAGCTTTTTTACCGACGTTGCCGGGCTGTCATGTGATTGGCCAGCGGTGCCAAGTATATCAACCACCTTCAATGTAATCAGGAAGGATATTCATCATTGTGTACGACTCTGTGGCAGTGGTCATATGAAAGATAATCTCATGTATATGGATCTGTTACAGAATTCCTTCTTGTAGCATTCGTCATATCTCCTTTGAGTATAGCGCGGTCGGTTCCTGGATGATTTCCCCTTCAAGCTGCACTTTGCGCCCGTCAAGCAGACCGTACCCGGTGAATTGGATTCATATGTCCGTGCTGAAGGACCAGGACGGTCTGGCGTACTTTGAGCCGTTGAAGGGATTGGCATTGGATGGGGTCTTGGGATTGGTGCATTTCGACGACGAAGTGGGGAGTAAACGTCGGATTAAAGCTGCGCATGAGGCTACCAGAAGGAGGTTCAGTGTGGCAACTGAGTGTGGAATGGGAAAAATGCTGACAGAACACCTCGACAGAATCTTAAGCATTTCGAAAGACGTGATGGAACCTATTTACTAGGCGGGCACGAGAGGCTCTTGTCTGACAGACGGATATCTATCACTTGCTGTTATATATTCTTTACTCGTTATAAATAGTAGGCTACATAATGGACTCGTGTTTACTTCAGGGCCCCCTGCTAGGCAACCTCAATGGCGGTCTGGCCCCAAACAACTTCTATCTGCCCCGAAAATATCCAAAAGTATTCTTTCTCACGATACCTATCGTCAATAACCCGTGACTCAGCATAAGAAGGTTGGGCTGGTTGGGGATAGGTCCTGGCTATGACACTCGAACTGGGAGTTTTGCGACTCACCTGGCGCCAATTCTCCTATTTCGTCGTTTCCTAAGTATATACGACCATTAGGTATGGAAAACAAGGCTTCCCGCCAGCTCATTCTTATTTACACCGCAGGAAATTCGCCGGGTCAATAGGTAAACACCTAGCCTAGTGAGAGTTAATTAAAACAGGATGATCTATTCCCGAATAATCTATGGATCAGCCGATTGGAACCCTCGGATATCACGAAGCTTCTACTCTTACCAACCCTCTAATATATTAACTAACTAGTTAGTTAACTAAATACGCCAAATAAAAAGGGTCAACCCATTACTAACGGAACCCCTTACAGACCCCTATACTAAAAAGCGTTTAGTACGTAAAATAAGCCTGGACCCTAAAGCGGGACACAGTAGTATTTACCCCTCATTATATTACGAAGTGGGCACTACTTACTGATGACATTATTACATGTAACTATAATATGATCAGAGACTTTCCACGGGCATTGCTACTGAAGAGGAAATCTTCGCGGAATGATGCCTTGATATCATGTCACAAACCCTGCATGAAATCACGCATATCGAGACATTGACTGGCGTTGATCCATGTGGCTATGCAAGCGCGGGCTCAAAATTTGCGACTAAGAAGGGCTAAGCGGCAACGCTAAGCATCCTTGCCGTCGTTGCTTCAACCCCAACCCCGCCGTCATGGGCTCCTCACTATATAAACTGGCTCTCTGCCTCTCCATTACTCTATCCCTTCATCATACCGCCATACCACACCACACTAGACACCAGCGCCAGGGTAGTCTATAAGTTGCAACTAGTTTGACTGGTGCAGGGCCTCATTAAAACTACAAATCTTATAGAATTATCACCCCACAATGTCTTCCTCAATCCTCACTTCAAACGCGACGCTCGTCAACATTGGCACTCATTCCCTCGCCCTCTATGCCCATGGCCCAGAACCGAGCAGCTCGAAAGATCCCGTCGTCCTATTCGTATCGGGCGTAGCAAGCTCCAGTCTCAACTGGGCAGCCGTAGTACGGCTACTTCCTCCTTCGTTGCGAAGCTACACCTACGACCGTTCCGGCTATCGCAACTCCGGGCCCTCACCGCTCGAGCCCACAGCCGAGAATATTGCTCTGGAGCTTTCTCTCCTAATTAAAAAGGCTCCCATCCTGAACCCTCTGATCATTGTGGGACATTCCTGGGCTGGTGTGCTTATCAACGAATTCATCGCCCTTACAGGGAACGGCCCACATATCGCTGGCCTGGTGCTCGTCGATGCGAACTACGAGACTATGCCAGAGGTGCTGAATGTAAATGATCCAATTCTTGGGGTCATTGCCGAGGGGGTCCACCCATACACTGGTAGGGGCATTGACACTGAGCATAAATTGACGCAGGAAGAGTGGGATGCGTTTAACAGCGACCAATTTTCGGAGAAATGTATGTTGATTGGGGAGAAGGAGGATGGTGAGCATTACCTACCAAGTTTTGAGACGTTGCGGAAGAAGGAGCTACGTAAGAGGCAGCCACTGGTTGGAGATAAGCCAGTTTATGTTATTGGGGGTATGCGGAGTAGGGATTGGAGTGGGTTGTATAAGGCGGGTGTTGAGAAGGGGAATGGAACTGAAGAGCAGAGAAGCCATGTTAGGGAGTTGATTCGGACGGCTGATGAGAAGTCTGAAGGTCTTATGAAGGAATTTCTGAAGCTGTCTACAAAGAGCATGCTTGTGTTTGCCCGTGAGAGTGGACACTTTGTCCAGTTAACTCAGCCGGATGTTGTTGTTGATGGTGTAAAATGGGTCCTAGATAACTTTCAAACATCTCCTTAGATGGGGATGCCAAATAGCGAACGCTTTATATTAAGACGTATCATTCATGGATATCTAGGGAATCATTGTAAGATACTAGACAGTGCGTCACAGAGCTGCGACCGCCAAACTATGTCCCAAGTAATTTAGAAAGGGTCTGCATGTACTTTCACTTACTTTAAAGGTACTTTGTTCTGAAAGGTAGGGGTTTTCTATAAGCCACGCGTACTTAGGGAAAGATGCATTCTAGGATAGAAAGTTCCGAGTCTCTATTCATTTATTTTTTAATATCATATTTTCCAGGGTGTTACGGCTTATCTAATATTCTGAGATATAGAATTATATCAACGACGTGTATCACCCTATATTACACGAGTAATTGGAGATAATGACATAGAAATTATTATAAAAATAACCCAAGCAACACTAAGAGTAATATTTCTAGTTAAAGTACGGCTTCATGTAATATAGTATAGAACTATGGATAGACAGAAGTAGAGTTGTAGAGATAGGATTTAAAAGATAGACGGAGCTGTTAGAGCAGAAATTATGGAACGGTATAGAATACAGGACAAGTGTATATCTCCTAGTCTTGGTAGTTCCCATATATAATAGTAGATATTACCATTGCATGACTAGCCAAAGGCCCTCGGTCGAGAATAAACGAAAGACTGGAGATCAGTTTGGTGCTAAACTACTTCGGGACCCCGATACGGTTTTTCAGCGCTACACCAATAATTCTCGCGATTGAACCGTCATAAATGTTCAATGATTGCATAGTAACCTGAAAGGTTGTCCCGCATTGCTAGCATATATTTTATCCTAGTCACCCCTTTGCCTTTCTTCGTATGTCCGAGGGCACCCAGTCACACATCAAAGCAAGATGGCCACCTTAACTCCCGTCCCTGTGAGACTTCCTAAAGACAAAGCACCGACTCAAAATAATGTCAGGGACATTATCGGCACATTCCTGACGAAAGAATGGCCATCTGTGGATCCAGAAACCTTGACCGTGTCATACCATGCGTCGTTTGCCAACGCCCACTGTCCTGTGGAGCGACCGAGGCCCGCTGCGGGTACACCCACTGAGCCCTTGAAGGTGTTCATCAAATTCCATAATGACACCGGGGGGAGTCTCGAAATCTTCAAGCCTCTGGCACCAACGAAGCACGAGGAAGCACTTCTCTGTTACGAGTACGGTCGAACCGGACTGGGAGCCAAAGTCTATGGATTCTTCAAGACACAGGATGGCACACTCGGCAGAATCGATGAGTTTCTGGATGCACGTAACATGGCACCGGAGGATGTTGAGGATTCGGTCATCAGAGCGGATGTTGCTAAAGCACTGGCAACGTTTCATGTCTTGGACATGTCACTGGAGAAAAAGGCAGTGGAATCATACTATGAAGCTGTCATCAATGGACTCAGGAAGTACCACAAGATGGACAAGTTGAAGGCGCTTGGGAAAGAAGGAGGTATCACTATCGACCAACTAGTTGACTACGACTTTGGAGGGCGGCTGAGAAATGTGACGGACAAGCTGGAATCCATAGGAGGAAAGACAGGATGGTGTATTCATGACATTCAATTCATGAACGTAATGGTGAAAAATGATCCGAAGGAAGGGGAGAGCAAAGTTACCCTGATTGACTTTGAGTTCGTCATGCAGAACTACCGAGCATTTGACATCGGTGGGCACTTCATGCAAAAGATGTTCAAATGGTTTGATGAGGAGAGCAGGATAGCAGCTTGCAGGAAATATACGGAAGAGGAGAAGAGACACTTCTGTGACGAGTATGCTAGAGAGTGGAACAAAGTGACAGGTGATTCAGATACTGGGGATCAGGTGTTCCTGGAATCCGAATACGGATATTTGTTGGCTATCACTTTTGACATCCACAACATGCTATGTTTCATGGATGAACAAGATGACAAGGATCCATTGAACCTGCTCGGGCTAAACAAGCTGTTCGATGAGTTTGTGGATCAGTATGCCAAACTTAATTTAGAAGATTTATGATAAATAAAAGTGCATGTGTTCTCTTCTATTCCTCTGTTGTCTTATGCCACTTCTTACATGTGGTCCAGTGCTTAGTGCACTGGCGTTTTCGGTGTATTTCGGACTTGAAATGAGATAGTGATTATCATTTCTTTGTCCTCTTCCCGCGAGGACAATTGAAGAAGTGGCATAACTATTTCCCCATCCGCAAAGCTCCGGGAATTGTGCCTCATTATCTCATTCTTTTTCATGGTATAAAAGTGGAGAATTTATAAAAGGCAAGGTCTGGCATTGAAATAGGGACAGCAATTGCGAGCTGCGCAGTTTGTCAAGGTTTGCCAATGCTGTCCGTATTGAATTGGGCCTTGCAAGCTGTGGAGCTATTTTGTTTCGCGCCATTGGCGCAAGTATTTCCTGCAGCTGAACCATAGCGTAAGGGCTGGCGATTGCGAAGAGGCGAGGTATATTGTATTTATTGCGGATCGAACCCCTGACTCTGCTGAGACGGTGATGGTAGCGAACGAGAACCCTAGTGAGCTTTAAAACACCAAGGAATCGGGTGGATAGAGCTTTTAGATAGCTCTTAATCACTTCATAATAGGGTATTCTATAGAAATCGGCAAACGGCTTGGCAAACACTATCACTTCCCCGCTAAACGATTAAATCCCCACAGGATGAGTCAAGCCGCCTCGGAGTCTCCCCTCATAAACAATAGAACAAGATTCAATGGGACCCCATCCATATATGTCGACCTCATATTAACGACGATGGTATCCAAATTACCCACTGAGCTGCTGCATGCCATTGCAGATTTTTTGGAAGAAAATGACATTAATTCTCTCGCCCAATCGAACAGCTGTTTATTCTCTCGTTTGAATCCTGTCTTGTACCAAAGGAACATGCTACAGTCGGATGGCTGGGCACTTATCCATGCCATCATCAATCGCCAAAACCATGTAGTGGCATACGCACTCAGCATCGGAGCCACAATCCTGGGTGAGGCGCTTGCCCTTGCGGTTGAGGATGGACAGGAGCAAGTCGTGGAATGGCTTCTGTCTGTCAAGTTTGCTGATTTCTCCCCACAGTATGAATTCTATGGCCAATTCACCAATTGGACCTCTCAGGAGCGCATTGCTTCCAAGTGCACAGCAGCCAGCTCGCGATGTATTGAGCAACTCAAAGCTCGTCAGCAGTGGCAACGTCATGGCGCGTTTGATAATCGGTCACCTCTTTCACGGGCAGCTAGAGGAGGTCACTTGAGAATCGTGAATCTTTTGATTGAATTTAATGTTGGCTATCCGTCCGTCGAAGACTTGGATGGGAAGACTCCTCTCTTCCTGGCTGTAGAAAGGGGGTTTCTGGATATTGCCAAAGCTTTATTAAATACTGGGCAGTATGACCTGAATAAAACAGATAACGACTTCCAAACAGTGTTATCATACGCGGCCAGCTCTGGTAACTGTGAGATGGTACAGTGGTTGGTGAGCTGTGGAGGTGCAATCAACCTTAATCATCAAGATAGATCTGGTCAGACGGCGCTGCATTATGCTGCTGAACGCTCAGATGTGTCCACCGCGAAGTTGTTGATCGAGTCTGGCAGAATTGATCCAGACATTACAGATCAAAATGATGAGACACCACTCCATCTTGCTACTCGGCGCTCAAATGCATTGATCATGCCGCTGTTGTCTGAGGCCAGGGCAGTTGATCCGGGCTTACGAGTTAACAATAACTTGACACGGCTCTATTATTCTACGAAGAATTTTTATGCGTCCTATCCGATACTGTCCATCGAATCGGGCAGAGTACATAATAATCGTCGGACACCGCTTCATGGTGCTACTGAGCACGCACACGCGTCGCTCTCGGATCCCTTAACCGATTTGAGTCCACGGGACCTTAACATTTTGGAAGAACATGGCCAATGGATGCTCTCCCAGGCTATTCAGAATTCTGATACGTCGACTCTAAAACTTCTAATTGGTTCTGGCAAAGTTGACCTGGACCGGCCGGACGATGAAGGGCGCACACCGTTTTCACGTGCCGCCGAACACTCAGACAGATCCATTATGAAGCTATTAATTGACTCCGGCGGAGTCAATCTGGACTCTAAAGATAAAAATGGTAGAACGCCACTTTCCTACGCCGCCCAGTACTCAGATGCGTCGACTGTTAAGCTTTTGGTTGATTCTGGTACAGTCGATGTGGATTCCAAAGATAACCAAGGGCGAACACCGCTATCCTATGCTGTCCAACACATGGACCTAAGCAATCTAATTAGTTTGGTAAGGTTATGGTGCGATGATGAGGTTGAACCCGGGCTCAACCCAAATAATATTGTGCCCCGCAGGTCGCTTGCAGGCACTTCCACCTTGAAGACTTTGATCGATTGTGGCAAAGCCGACCCTAATTCAAGAGATACACACGGTCAGACACCGCTTGCATACGCCGCTGAATGTTCCGATGCAGCAACCATAAGGCTCTTGCTTGAGAGTCCTTTGGTTGACGTTGATGCAAAGGATAATGCAGGGAGAACACCGTTTTTTGAAGCTATTGCCAGTGGCAATTTCGCTGCAGCGGAGGTACTTCTTAACTCGAAGATGGTCAATCACAATCCTAGAGACAATCATGGATATGCACCGCTATTCGAATTTTTGGACCTTTACACTTATCTCGAAACCCTGAATGACGATCAGGTATTGGAATGGAACATCGAAGAGATCGTTAAAACAGGCTACAACCGTCTTCTGAAATTGCTGCTCAGAAGTAACGATGTTAGTTTTGATTTTCGAGATCATCTCGGCCAAACGCCCCTTTCATATGCTGCCGAAGAATGCGGATACTACGTTGTTAGGCTTATGATAGAATCGGGAAAAGTTGACCCGGCAGAGCTCTTGTGATGATAGTGAATCTCAGGAGTAATGTAGTTACAGCTGGACTTAGCTGCCACATAGTACATACACTCACGATACCAATTGTACGTGGTGCGTGGCTCATAGGCACCGGCCATCAATGAGACGTGTGCAATGCCCGCTGCAGGGAATACATCGAACGGGATTAAAATTTGATTAGGCAGCAAAGAAAACCAGGAAATACCATTATAAGGGAGACCAGAAGGACTCTACATAGAGGATAATAGAGGCAAGGTTCGTTGCTGGATGATATATTTAGGTAATTAAAAACTTGACACCCTGTTGCTGAACAGTCACTGTATCAGAAAGGAGAGGTTGTCAATTAACAAGGTATTCCCAAGTAGAAAAGGGTAAAGAATAGCGCACCTAGTGAGAAAAGGTCTAGACAGGAAAAAGAAAGGGAAAAAAAAAAAAGAAAGAAAGAAAAAAAATATAGTTTAATTTATGTAAAAGTAGCGATAGGCCAGCACTATGTGACTATCCTGAGGTAACAGTAAACCACTCCAATATCAGCCTCATCCTGGTAAGAGATCGATATGGCTAGCTTCAAGAATAGCACGACAGATGGTCAAGTCCACATTATGCATATCCCATATCCCACCAGCACATGCTCTGTTTATTAATGTAAATACTGCGTATGTTACTTTCTCGGTGTCTGCCAATCACTACTACTTCTGGTCCCTGAAGCTCAGCAGCAGTACATCTGCAAGCACCGTACCCAAACTGCATTCGTGGAGGAATGTTTGGGAATGAAACCGTGTTTAGGTTCAATACCAGCGTCGGCTTTCTGCCTAGAGAAAATACTGTCAATAACACCATCTGGAATTCCGTCCACGGGGGCGTATGTCATGTCTTGCACGTCGGCCCCTTACCGAGAACTAATGTGGCCATTGCGGAATACGAACAATTCAAAGCATGGCACAAGGAGGACGTCTATGCCTCGCTCTTCGCGTACGTGGACAACGACGCGGATTCTCCTGCCACCTATCCCGCCAGCCAAAACCCAGATGGTTGTCCTAGCATCGGCTTTAGCTTTGGCCATTTTTCTCCAGCAAGCACGGACATGTCCAATGTCACCGCAGCTGTCTGCGACCAACTTGTTGAAAAGGTCTGGACGGAAGCGACGTTCCTCTTGCCGAGTCTCGAATTGGATGCCTCGCGGTCCCCTGTTCCTGACGAATCTACAGCTCACATCCTTGGGAATGGGCATGGGTACCAAACTCGACAGTATCGTCCTGAGTATCAGATCTCCAACAGTTTAGCGTCATTTCTTACCTCACAAACCGTTAGGTCCAGAGCTGGTTGGCGCTGACAATGTTCCGCGACTTTTGAACCGGATGAATGAAGGCTACGCAATATACATGGCCCTGGCAATCTTATCCATGATGCGGCAGTAGTTCGCCAACGGCACTGATACCGGCAATGCTATGTCTCGCTCTATTGAGGGACAGGACGATAGCCCAACATTTACTGCATCACTCGTGCAGCCTTCAGTCCGTACTGAAAAAAAACCGTGTGCCGAAAGTTATTTTGCAGAGCCTTCTTGCTTTTACCTTCATATGCAGTGCGATCGCCTCGGCCCTGACCTGGAAACCGGTACCGCTGATGCACGATCCGGGTTCCATCACGGGTGCAGCCAGTCTACTGGCCGGGAGCGAGATCGCCTTATCAAATTTAGTGCCAGAAGGGGCGGAATGGATGGATTGAAAGAAGATGGATGATGAACTTGTGTTCGAGGGGATACGTTTTCGTCTGGGATGGAGGCAATGTGCGGGACACGAAGAGCAGACATACGGGATTGATGCTACCAGATAACCCTGAAGGACTGCTCACTGGCCCTTACACTGTATTCTGTGCATAATACAGTAAGATGAGGGATTTTGTGTCGGGCAGATGATCGGCTATACGCGGTGTCTAACATTACGAAGAGTCACTGTAACGTGTTCCATTACTCAATCTAGTGGATGAGGCTTCTGATCGTCATGAAGTTGTTCTCTCCTCGTTCAGTTCTACCTCACTATCTAAAGATATGCTCAGCATGTGACCTGAAGACATGTGACAGTCACGCCACATGTACTACTAACATGCATACGATGAACCAATGCGGGTTCGATTTCAGATCCAAGCCCATGACATGACATAGTCACGGTAGTATCTGCCAGCCACCCTCGACAGGATCAACGATTCACACTGCTATTTATACTTTCTAAACAACTCTTTTTGCTTCTGTTACAGCATCCCTGCCGAATTTATGTGCTGATCCATGGATCCAGAACTCCCCAACACTTCCATTTGTTGCGTAGTAAACTACGTAGTGTGGTTATTATATTCACCAAAGTCCTTGGTTGAGAAGTGCTGTACCATTGTTACAGCAGTCGAAAGCCTATATAACGACATCTTAGGTCTCAGTACTGTATTTATTTTACTCAACGGTCTGCGTGTCATTGTCACACTGATGATCTTATCCTAATATTATACCCCAGGACTTCCTCTGTGACAACTCATATTCATTATTTGGTCGAGCAATACTAGTGTTGGACACAAGAGTCAGCTTATCTGTCCCTAAATCTTGTCCTTTTAGTGTGGGATGAAATGTCAATGGAGTCGCCACCATCCATGTCGACAATGTCTGAACTAAAGGACGTAATGCGAGACTTACTTCTACGAGGTCAATTCACTGACATGGAGATTCATTGTCAAGGGATTACGTTCAAAGTTCACCAGGCTATTGTTTGCACTCAGTCCAGCTATTTCCATAGCGCAATTTGTGATGGCTTCAAGGTACAATTGAAAGAAACGAAAACAAACGTTTCTAGGCACTTACTTATTCTTTCCTAGGAATCCACGGAGAAAGCTATCCATCTTCAGGATGAGTCCCCAGAAACCATGGAGCGTGTTCTATCCTTCCTCTATCTCAGAGAGTATAGTGAGGATGGGCACATAGTTCAATATCAACCCCCTTCGGAGCTTGCCATGCCTAACAATGAGCCGGATTCAACCATTTCAGAAAACGAGCCAGAAAGCCCAGAGTCAGCGAATCAAGCCGCTTTCAATAACATTGAAGTATTTATCGCGGCTGATAAATACGGAATTATTCCATTGAAGACTCTGGCTACCTCGAAGTTCTCCCAATGGGCGAATGCGAACGTCAGCTCTCCAAAGTTTCACGAAGTCGTCGAATTTGTCATGACCTCAGTGCCGTCCCATGAATCAACTCTTCGAGAAGTTATTGCCGACGTTATATCGAGACATATTTTCGACCAGATCCAAGTCCCTGAGATAGTTCAGATCTTGGATTCTTTTGGATGTCTTGGGTCACTGATTATTAGGAAATTGATTAGCAACGAGCTAGTGAGACGGCCCAACGAATATGACATTTTTGGGGGACTTATTCAAAAGATAAACTCCGCTCGTCACTGTCGGCATTGTTTAAAAGATTTTAATGTGAAGTTGATAGGCAGGGAGTATTTCCATGAAGGGTTCCGCTGTGCTTCTTGCAATACACGAAATTGAAGTGTCCCGTTGCAAATTGTATCTGGTTATGCTGCTGCTGCTGATGATGATGAACTAGTTTACCCGAATATAGCTCACTTTGAAAATATGCTACTATCAGGTCTGCTGGCAGCTTTAAGGTCATCACTAGAGTCTAGTCTGGCGGAGTAAATCGCGTCCAGACAATAGCGATTTCTTACCGAAACCTCAGCGTTTTACATTTAGTCAAGCACTTATTGAGTAACCACTAGGACTCTATAAAATCCACTGCTCTATAATACTTTAACATTATTCATTAAGTATGGAGCTTATACCTAATTTAGGATACTATAGTACTAGTAGTGATGAAAATACATGGAGAGAATAACAGTATCTGAAGTTAGCAGTAGTGGTGGTGGCGGTGGTGGCGGTGGTTGCGTATCTAAGCTTAAGGATCCCGGTACCCTAATAATAGTAATCCCTAGCTAGGGGCCATAGTACCTAAAGATACAAGGTGTAAAAAGCGGTAAAGTACTGCGGGATTAAGATTATAGAATGGTAAATATACTCAGAGCTAGAGTGCTACTTATAGTTATACTTAATATTTATTTAAAATAGATATTTTCTACTGTTGAAAAGGGAAGATATTAAGGGAGCTAGCCTCAACTCCGGACGCACTCCTGCGCACACTTTCAGTCACCAAATACTGCCACCTCAATTGGTAGGTTAGATTCTAATATAGATCTGGGTAACTTATGTATTTCAATCGGGCTACGTTGCATGATACAGCATACGTAGAAAGCCGATTTCGTTCAAGGTCACTTAGGACAGTGATATGACTTTGGGTAACGGCTCTTTAGAACTCTCGATCTGGTTGAGTACTAAATCACATTTTAGTTACCTGTGCTGAAATTGACTTGTTTAAACACCGTATTCTGCTCATCTCCTCGAGGTATGCAATACATGTTCATACCTTGCCAAAGTTCTCTTGGTTTTGATGGTCTCGTACAATAACCATTCATCATTCATTCTACTGTATTGTTCTCCCTTTCTTCTTGTTTACTGTGCTCCTGCTATATCCCAGCTCCTCGGCTGGTATTGACCTTGGCTTCAATCCTTTGCTCAGACCTTTATAAGATAAACTACCTATTCATATGATGCCCCACTAGAACAGGCGAAGGAAGCATCCTATAGTAGTAGACACCACAGGCATACTTACTATACAACTACATCAACCGCGCAGACGGATGATCGAACCTCAATTCAATAATTTGTTTCCCTTCCTTCTTTGGTATTATAGCTGCTATACTTGAACTTTTTCGTGATAAAATCCATAATCAAAAACTCCCTATGAGGGTATCCTCATCGTTCTACCTGAATTTCCAGTGGAGAATACAGCGTACTATAGAACCCTACGCCACCCTGCACTGGATAGCAGTCGACTATTACTCTTGCGGCAAGCTACCGATATCTATACAGATTTAGCTTGGGTAGTCCTAATGAGTATGTTAAGTGGTTTAATATTATGACTTTTTATATCTATAGAATCCAGGACCAGGAAATTCTCCGACTCGGTCCAATGGCAGCGTGGACATCACATAATATTACTTATCAGTAATAGGATTGAAGTATGACGTTATACAACAGGTGATCTAGATCAGTTTGCTGATGGCAATCAGCGGTGAGTCCGACAGGGGAGTTAGCCCTATAAGGTGGCCAGGCTAAGCCTCGTTTATTAACTCCCAGTCTCAGTTGTGATAAAGGTCATAAACGCAAGCAAGAAAAGGTTCGGATCGGCAACGGTATGACGTCATCAGTCTTATTCTTAGATTGTTCGTCTGCATCTTTTACTGAGTCTGCGCTGGACCCGCGCAAAGTGGACCGAATGATGCATCGAATGAGGTAATACCTAGAAAGCCACAGCCAAGTTGGTTGTTTACTTGCTTTCCACTCTGTAGATACCTGAACGGGTATAGCTCCCATTTGCCCCAGTTGACGACAACTAGCTGGAAGTAACTCAATTGTCTATAAATCCGAGGATTGCAGCGCGAAAGTTTAACTTACCATCAGCCCAACCCAGGCCAGCAACCCCGGCAAAATGCATCTCCTTCCCGTCGCCCTACTCTTCGGAGCCCTAGTCGCTCCCACCGCCAGCGAATCTTTCAATCCTCTCAACCACCTCGCCGGTATAGCTCCCTACCGCACCATCAACGACCCCCCAATAGAATCCGCACCGCCGCAGGGCTGCAATGTAACAAAAGCGGCGTACCTGATCCGGCACGCAGCTATTTATGCCAACGATTTCGATTATGAAACCTATCTCGAGCCTTTCGTAGAAAAGCTCCGCAACACCACCCAGGACTGGTCGAAAACGACAGACCTCAAGTTCCTGGCGAACTGGACCGCACCCGTTGACGAAGAGCATCTTGAAAAGGTTACTAAGGTCGGTTACAAGGAAGCCGTGGAGTTGGGCGTAGACTTCCGAACCCGCTATGCTATGTTAAAACATCCGAACAAAGTCTGGTCATCTTCTGCAGATAGAACAACCAAGACAGCCGCCGGGTTTATCGAGGGGTACACACTCAACAAAACCACGGGAATGGATCTTGTGGAAGTAAAAGAGAAGAAGGATACGGGCGTGGACTCCCTGACCCCTTACAAAAGCTGTCCTGCGTATAGTGGGAGCTACGGCAGTGATCAGTCCCAGGTACCCCCACCCACCCCCCTTGCTTCATTCATCTTCTCCATTTCTGCAGCTAACACAAGTAAATCAGGAATGGGTAGAGAAGTACACCGCACCTATCAAAGAAAGGCTCAATGCCCAAGCCCCCAACTTCAACTTCACCACTTCCGACATAGTGAGCATGTTCGAGTTCTGCGGCTATGAAACCGTCATCCGCGGTGACTCGCCTTTCTGTGCCACCACTCTTTTTTCCTCGAATGACTGGCTCTCCTTCGAATACGGCGAGGATATCAGGTACTTCCATAATGTGGGGTACGGGAACCATGCATCCCCAAGAATCGGGTTTCCGTGGGTGAATGCTAGCTTTAATGTCCTTTCTTCCAACTCCAGTCAGGACGTTTATGTCTCCTTCACGCACCGTGAATTCCCCCCGACTGTCATCACAGCCCTGGGTCTCTTCAACAATAGCGCCTTTTCGGGTGCCGATAATGTCAACAAGACTATGCCGACGAATAAAATCAATTACGGTCGACAGTGGAAGAGCAGTGATATTTTGCCTTTTTTGACGAATATTGCCATTGAGAAAATGAGCTGCGATAGCTATGGATATGACGAGGGCGACTATTACCGGGTGCTGGTGAACTCGAACCCCCAACCATTAGAAGATTGTCGCGGTGGACCGGGAGATAGTTGTAGTGCGTCGAAGTTTAAGGATTTCGTGAGGGGGTTGGGGGAGAGATTTGGGGACTTCGTGGGCGCTTGTGGTGCGCCGAAGAACGAGAGTCAAGTGGTAACTATTTATAACTGATTAGCCAGTGTGGACTGGTCTGGGTGATGGAAAAATGGGGAAGAGATATATAATGACTAATGAATAATCTATTTGGCGTTCTCAAGTCTATTTCATGTTCATGTATACTCCTCCTTTCACTTTGGAAAGTATACAATCAAAGCAATCCTGCTTTTGTGAATACAAGGCCTCATATTATTGCTTCAAACGTTTATCCATTGATCGAAGAATATAGTGTTGGGATCCATTAGGATTTCTTTCCCAATATTCAATGTCCTTTATGAGGTTAGGGTCTTTATATCTGAGCGACAACTACAATGGCCTTCACGGGAAAACGAGGCCTAGGACAGGCTCTCAGTGGTTATCAAAAGAATCTGTAGCTTGGCGAGGGACCCATGAATGACGTAACCTATATCAAACACCAGCCCACATAGGATAATCAGTAGTGGACTGCAGGTATTTGTCTCTGCTGTCTATGCAACACGATTTTGAAGTACTCAGCAGTCAAGGCATTTAGAACTCGACTTCATGCAGGGCACCAAGTACATATATAGACTTAATACTTGTGGTTACTATACGGTGTAGTATTATACACCTTTTCAATAGGCATCTCAGTTGCTGCACCAAGATAATACACGAAAGCCAGGCCTATGAGTGATTAGGTAGTAAGTCATTGAACGCCTTGCATTATTAAGTTTGTTCCAAGCAAAACTAAAGCATTACCAATAGCAGACATGCTACCATTATTTCGAAGAAGATTGGAGGATCGACTAATGAGAAACAACATGCAGATATCAATAGCAGTCATGGCACCGGCTTCCGTCGGATGTTTCTAGCTTCAGGAATCCATCTAATCCATATACACCATCCTGCTAAGGCGGTCGAAGAGTGGTGGGCTTAGCTGATATAGCCGAGCATAGATCGCGGAAGCAGTGGTGCGCATCTGCCGTGTCGCGCATCATCGTGGGGAGGTTTGGCCCCCGTCCAACCCCAGATTGGTTGATTGACTTGAGAATGAAAATTGAGAGACATTGTATTGTGAGTGCAGCATCGGATTGCTAGAGCGTGAGACCGGCCTCTTAATCGGCCAAGCTGACAAGCACGCTCGCGGCGCTAAGCCTTCGGCTTTGCTCTCAGGTAAATAGCAAAGTGCCTGTAGGAGGCATAAAACATTAGCACATGACTCTTCATTCAAAAAACTGACGAGGAAGAGAAAATGGAATCTATCTTACCCAACCGTCACCATACTCCTTCGAGAGGATAGCAGTTTGCCCCTGTTTGAGCTCTATCTGCTTGACTCTAACTGGCTTGAAACTTAACTCTACCGAGTATACCGCACCCTGCGAGTCGAGTGGTGTAATTGGGTGACTGGATTCTTCAGATCCTTCAGGCTCCTCGGGCACACCAGGCAGCGATGTTGGTGTGGCAGTCCGTGGTCTGATGCAGGTCTCAGCTTTCTGTGTGGTATAGGGCATCGATATATCCCCGCCTCGGTGGTAGTCTGGGGCCACCATCTCCGTGGAAGTAGCATATTCAGGGGGTTGTAGCTTCTCGATGTCGTGAATACTAGTCTCGTCTAGTGAAGGGGTATCGTTCGCATCAAGGTGGTCTTCACATTGATTGCCTGACCTTTTGCGGATTCTTAAGAACGAAGGAGCGATGACACGGGGCGGTTTCCTAGCAAACTTGAACAAGCTATATCCGCACAACGTGGCGAAGCTCCTCTTGAAGAACGATGGTCCTGTACCTTTGGTATAGTCTCCTTCTTCCAATGTATTGTTGCGCTTCCTTGCCGCCTTTGTGGCTTGGTATCTTCTATACAGCCACCACAGGATAAAGCCTGCCATTACGGCCGTAACAGCCCCTAGGCTAACAGGGACTGCAAGCTTCGTGGCATCGTGTGTATTGGTCGTAGTTGAGTCAGATGGATTGTTCGTAGCTGTCGGGCTACTTGTGATGCTAGAGCTTGACAACGGTGGGGACAAGTGCGTTGCAGTGCTCTCAGGGCGGGAGTATGTTGATATAGGTTTGGTCGTTGAGCCAGAACCCCATGCACCAGGGTGATCGAGTTCGCCACCTGGAGTCCACTGTTGTGCTCCTTGACCATTCGTGCTCGAGTGCTCTGGGTGATAGAGCCCATCGTCTGGGGCAGCTACTCCTGCCTGAGAGAGGCCACCACTACCTGGTGCCGACTGCCCTCCCTTTCCATTTCCCGAAGTACCTTGTCCCTTGTAGCCGAGGCTTGCACTGGGCGTAGCTGTTTGTGTAGGTCGCGTTTTCGACGCCGCTTGGGTCGCCTGCAGGCTGCTCGTCGTTGTACTGGATTGCGGACTTGTTCCCTCGATGGAAGCCTGTCCTGCATTAGCAACGGTATTACCTGGCGTCGTACCTTGCGACCATTGACCTCCCGTGCCGCCCACGCCTCCCCCGGGTTGCCATACGCCACCATCCTGAGACCATCCATTTGTCCCTTGATATCCGGAAGAAGGGAGACCATTCTCTGCGGCCGACTTTTTCGTCTCTTCGCCCCCCAAGGTCTTCCGGCCCGGATGATATAACCCATCATCCAGTGTGGATGATTGTGCTCCTCTATCCCATGATGGCCTCTGATTTGGGGAATAGAGACCAGCGTTTGATTGTCTTTGTGTTATACCAGGGCCCCATTGGTCAAATCGGTTGGCATTTTCACCTGCGGTGTCCAGCCTCTTGGGATCTCTCCGGTTCCCCAAAAGGCTTCTCTCACACTCAGTATCAGCCAAACACGCCCGACTGATGTCGCTGGGCTGCTCTGACGGTGGGAAGACGTCGTAGGACTGCATGGTGGCCGACTGAGTATCAATCCTTTGCCCTGGAGCTATCGTAGGGCTCCAATTGAAGCAGAACACCTTGATAGTGCTTCTGTACGGGTGTTGTAGATACAAAGGTTGAACGATTTCGACCACACGATGAACAGTGCTTACGCCAGACCTATGCAGCTGTCAATGAAACTCAACGAGATGATAAACAGAATCGTGGTAACATTCCACACGAGGAATGCGTCACCAGCGCCTTCAAAAATTTAATAAACACCCGATTTCCACGCGTAGGAGATGTCGCGACTCAAAATGCCTGGATTTCTTTACCAATGTGAATACTACCACCGTCCGTGCTTTGAGGTGGTGGTACAGGGGAATTAATTTAACCTGGAAAGCTCGCGAACGCGAGTGGTAAATAATTGAGCTCATTCTTAACAGATGGCCGACTGCCCACCTTTGAATTTCTAATAATTTTATTGAAACTTTGACTCTAACCTTGGTCCCCGCTTTTATGGGGGTTTTGTTTTGACATGTCCATAAAAAGCATGTCACTCTTACAATACAGGGTGAAGCCTTAATTGATTTTAGCACATTCCTCAGGGTCCAGTCAACATATGCCACAAAGCGTTTGGAATCTGAAGGCTGTCCAACCCACACCTGGCATATACTATCGCTGTCTCAGTCCAGTGCTATTGCACGTCTCTAATATGACACAGGTGGAAGAGCGTATACACTGCACTCATCCCACTGGGTTATTAAGTCTAGCCAGGAAAGATTATACTAAGCGGGTGCACAAGGTATCTCGGTATTGTCACATTAATGCTGTTCATAACTCCTGGGAAATGGATTGTAAATCAATCTCAATCAATGTAATCAATGTAATAACAAGACACCAAACGCGTAGAATCATTCTTTAAACTCACATTATTGCTTTGACACGAGAAATCTTGCCGGGTACGGACAAATTTTTTCTGAGCTTCACTAGACATTCCAATCTGTAAGAATATAAGGAACAGATTCCCGAATAGTAGCTTCACGGAATGGCATCTGCCCCTTGCATGCTTAGCCGACATTCTTGCGCTTGCCGGGCAGGCCCCACCGCGGCAAATGATTTATAAGGTTTGGCTTTCATTGCCTTAGCTTCATGAAGGGCGGGAATAAGAATGACATTAGTGCTTGAAGTTTTGAACCTCTAAGTTTAACTTTGGGATTTGTGCTTATCCCCATGCTATCGCCGCCACAGAGACATTGGTTATTGCCCTTTATAGATATTCTGGCATACCACTGAAACAACGCATACCGATACTATTGGGGTACCTTCTTGACCCTGACCCTTTGTAAATCCCTTGCTTCGATGTCGTAGCCCCTTCCAATAGGAGCTTTACCTGACATTGAAAAACAGAAGAAGGGAAGTGAATGTCTTAGGCCAGCCAGCCCCCAAGTCTTGGTTGTGAAGAAGGTATGTTGATAAATTCTAACATTATTATAGTAAAGTAAATGCTCATTATCTCTATATGTCAATGTACTTTATTCCCGCGCCGATCACTCACAACTGAGCGACATTTTCGACCCACGGTATATGGTCTTGGCAATGAAGAACCTCCTCACCAGAGCCTGCGTCGAGACATCTTCCCAGGAATCGACATCAAAGCCTTGAGAAGTCTCGCATCATCCCCGGACTCAACGCCCCGCTTGAAATTCTTCGGCCACACATCCGAATACGTAAGGTTCGTGAAAAGAGGCACGTCGACCTGACAGATCGTCCCTTCCGCGGGCAAAGTGCCATTGGAAAAGAAAGCCCGGACCACCTTGGCTGTACAAAGAGAGGGCACGGACAAGGTAGTATGCTGTCACAAGTCGATGGATTAGTTGTGTTCTTGAATAAAATGGGAGAACCAGGAAACTCTTACCCCGTAGCCATTCTGCTCGAGTAAGACACTACCCTCCATGGTAGCGCTCAGGTTCTTTGCCGCCGCAAGCGGAGTAGAGGGGTCGTAGGTGTTGCTTAGCACCAACACAGGATGGGGTGTCTTAATATCGAAGTCGCCAGTGTACCGTTCCTTGGCGTACATCTTCTTATTCCATTGTGCGCATCTCATGTCGCCATTGGCACCGTCACTCGCGATCCTGCTCAGGGCTGCCCTGGCCTTGCTGTATGGTAGCACATCCGACATGCTGGCCGACTGTGCTCTGTCGGAACATCTGATACCGGTCCCTACTTCCTTGGAAGATGAAGTCAAAGACGCAGACAGGCCGTATGATTTGATGGTCGAGTATACCTCGGAACTACCCAGGACGGTTGCGTTACGGACCAGTACATTGTAGATGAGTTCTGAAGTCAATGGCCAGGAGCTTGGAGCATATAGCGCCTCGTAGATGGTGGCTTTGATGTCGCTGTAAGTCACGATCCCTCCAATACTTGGGATTGGGATAGGATTGAACTTGAGCTCGTCAAGCATCACGTAAATCGCGGCTTCCAGGTTGGCAGCACTGCTGTATATCTTTGCTAGAGGGCAAAGGTCTGGTGCGTCAAAGCAGCCCGAGCAGAAGCCTTTCAAGACCGCGTCGACATCCACAACGGCTTGTGCGTTACTGTGTAGAAAGAAAAAGGAGATGTTAGCTTTTTTTTTTTTTTCTGGGGGCTAGCAGAAGTGTGTAATCACTCAATGTCCTGCTATAGATCAAGAGACGGCATCACTTACAATCCGCTCATGTACTCAGTTGGGTTATCAACACCATCAAGTGCAAGATATCCCATTCTTTCGGGGAACATGGCAGCCATAACAGCACCCACTGTAGTCCCATAAGAGATTCCTAGAGAGTGGAAATCAGGAAATTGTTCCGTGGATCTATGCGCGAATCGTGGCTCTTACCCCAGTAGTTCAGCAAAGCATCCTTGCCCCTGAGAGCATCAAGAACCTGGATCGTGTCCCTCGCCGCAAAGCTAGTACCAATCAAACTTCCATTCTCGCCATTCTGAGCATAACATGCTTGCGCATAGTTTGTGCCCTGGGCCCATATTTCCGCCCGGGCTGTGTTGGACGCTCTGCCATCCTGTGGAGCCTGAAGCGATGCAAGCTCTCTAGATGAATCATTGCTATAGCACGAAAACGGGATGGTGTTTCCGACGCCCCTGGGAGAGATGATTAGAATGGTTTAAAGTTTCACGGAAACTGAAGTTCACAAACCGAGGGTTGAAGGATATTAGATCATTATGTCCTCCAAGGATACTAAATAATCGATTCATGTCAGTGATTGAATGAAAAAAAAAATAAAAAAAAAAAAACAGGTTTTACTGTCAGCTTACGTTTGGAATTCTTCCCCATATAATCCAAGACCCTCAAAAGAACTTACACCAGGACCGCCAAAGTTGAAAAAGATAGGTTCTGCGGCTGGTGTCTTGGTCGCCGGCCACTTGGCGATATCGAGAGTCAATGTCTTGTTGGATTCAGAGTCCGTGTAGTCCAATGGCACGTCGAGTGTTCCACAGATCATCGGCCCAGTGGCATTTGTTGGGTCGCAGAGTCCTTTCCATTGAATCTTGCCTAATTCCGCTTGCGTGAGGGAGGCAAGCGAAACTATGGACAGCAGTCCGGCCGTGAACGATGAAGACTGCCTCATTCTCAAGTCACTAGTAGTATCTCAACAGCGATAGAGAGAAACTCTGAAGTGATTGTAGAGACAGGTGCAGGTACTCAACCCGGTGTTATATAGGTACTCGGGCACACAAGTCAGCGTAGAATCAATCAAGGCATAGCCCATATCGATTCTTAGAATGGATCAATCCGCGAGGTAGTTTGTTGTTACTGGACAAGGCTGACTCGGCCCCCAATGTCTCAAATCTCCACATGGTCTCGTCTATCTGTCTGTTCTGGCACAATGTGACAGCATACTCCATACTGCCCTACGGTCGGTAAGTGTGCCGTGCTGCGGCTGACGGTGGCTTAGGACTGAGATCGGCACGCCAACTTGAGCTAAGCTAAAATGGCCCCTCGGAGTTGATAGGCCGAACATCTCAATTACCACATTGAGTTTAGCGCATGGAAACAGTCGGACGGCAGGAGCTCTGCAAATAGTAAAGAGTAATGACCTAATTGAGATCGGCAACCAGCCAGTGCGAACTAAGCTCTTAGTCAAGAGTCAAGACGCCTTGTATACTCCATAGGATGGCCCCCACAATTGAGACCGGAAAAGAGAGCATAACACGTATCACCGGAGGTCCAGAGGAACAAGGAGAAGTTTGACCCATCCAATTTACATTCATCCCTCTGCAGAAGCACTGCAATCCACGCATAGGTATTCGGACTTGGCACCAAATTAAGCATTGTTGTATGTTGATGCTAAATAACCCTCTCCGGCAAGCCAATAGTACCGCCTCCACCGCATCCATTTTTATTTGCCTGTGTTTATTATTTGTTATTTTTATTTTTCTCTCCTATTCCAAGCTCATTCCCTTTACTTTCCCTGCCGGCCAGGTCCATTTCCTTGGGTCGCTTGAACTATTTCAAATTTTATAAATTACGGGAATCGCTTAAGATACTATGGGAATATATATCTCTCTACTCCGTAATTCGATCACATATATTGTTCATGATTATTCTATTTAGGTTTCAATTCCATGTAATTTACATCATACAAGTAGTAAGTAGTTGGTATATAATCATGAATGACTACATACTCTAAGAATAGCTATGCCATCCCTTTCGTCTACCTTGCCCATTGTAGCAGTGGAAGAGTAGATAAACAGGACAAAAGAGGACAAGATGGTAAAAAAACTTGATGGGTACTATATCTGAGAAGAAAAACATGTTTGTTTTTTTTTTTTTTTAATAGTATCTATCTTCTGGCATCCTTATCCTTCAGCATAACCTCTCAGTTACTCCCGACAGCCTAATGGTTGGTAGGGCCGTTTCGAGGGGAGCATTTTCATTGGAGGAGCAATCCCAGTTAAATATCTACACAACCGAGCCCACTGTGTATACTGGTCTGTGCTCTATGAGAGCGAGCGCCCTTCGTCTCAGTAG